AAGTAATGTGAATGATCTTGACTTGGTTCACATGTGATGAGCCAAACCGTTATTAATTAGCATAAAGAGAGTTGTGATGCATATTCATAAGTTTGTTGGGGGGCAAACTCTATTAAGTAGGGGAGGTCATGACTCATACTGTTAGGTCTTAGCCTTAAATTCAAAGTAAATGGATATAAATAGGACAGTGAAGCACAACCAAAAGTAACCAGAATTCTCATTTAATATCTCTTTTGTAATAAATCTCTACTAAATTTGTGAGGAGGAGCACGAATAAACTGATTTTACGTGTCTACGTTTTTCTCCTAAAAGACAACAAATATGGTGGGGCATTTATTGCTACAAAAAATATTTGTAACGTCTCAAAACCTAATCTCCACTTTTATAGCTTTTTTAGAGTAGTTGTAAGATTTTCTTACGTTGTTGTCAAAAAAGTATCACGTTTTCAAACTAGTGTAGAAATTGTATGTCTCTACCGTAGAGAGTAGAGACTAGAGACTCTACGTTCTCGGTTTTTCAGCCTTCTTACTAACTGTATAGCCTCGCTGCATTTCATCTATAAATATCTCAACTGAAACTAATTAATTTTCTTATAACATGAATAAGATAACATATGTTTGTATAGATGCAAATATATTTCAGATGTGTGGTGGTACAATAGTTGAGTGTTTACATGTATAGACACCATCATCTCCAATAGTGAAATTATTGCGATGATGTAGATGCCACTATATTTTACTTTTTCTTCTAGGTCTAGGTATAGACATACTAACTAACACCTTATTTTATACTGATATGTCTTTCTCATGGTGAAATGATTAATCTTTTTGAGGGACAACATAAAAATGTTCACCATGTTTAAGTGACATCCAATCAATTTTCATACACAATGCAATTGGTTTAATTTTAGCTACAAGGATAAAAAGAGATACTGCTTTATCGCATACGCTAATTTTTTATTGGATCCGTTCTTAGTTTAGTGTACTCTTTTAGAAGTGATGTTAGGTTGGTCAGATTTATCAGCCGACTTTGTGGACCGCTTCAGTGAATTTTGTTTTTGGAATGTGCTTTGGTCATTTGGTGATGAATGTACAGCTTGTATTTTTAGCGACTGTCTGTAGTTCAGTTGGTTGATCTACGATATATATTTGGGTGCAAATGTTAAGTCCACTCTAGATTTTGGTCCAAGAAAATACGAATCAAGTTTTGTTTACTTTGACCAAATGTCTCACCAAAACACACTTTAGACTGTTTTATAAATCAACTATACACATTTCACACAGTTTTATCAAGAATCACATATACATTGAAATTAGACGAAAGATAATTAAGGGCCAAATGTACATTAAGTTACTCATAGTGCTTTTGATATTCTTGTGAGATGCATGGAATGTCACATAATTTCAGATAGTATATAAATTTAGCACAAGAAAATTTATACGAAAGCCACTCGTAGAAATGATATTGATCCAAAAAATTATTGAAGAAAAAAGGCTCAGTTTTGAGGAGAATATTGACTTTCTCACACAATGTTAAGCCTATAATTATTGAAAAATAAATTATAGAATTTATCAACATTCTAAACGAGTAATTTCTCAGTTTCATTGACAGATAGTCCAGGACGCTTTATTCAAGTCATTTCGTGGAACTCAAGCTCTCCTATCAGACAATATTTTCCAAACATTGAGGTATTGGACAATAATATAATAAGTAATTATCTTCTAAATTAGATCTTGTGCATTTGTCCTCGCGCTTTACATAATTTTTCCTTAGTAAACACAGTTTTATAGAGAAAGTGCATACGGTGATCTCAATATCTAAAGAGGATCATATCTAACGTAAGGTAGATCAATGAACCTATCGTTCTTGTCTATATATGTATTTCAATTCAGACTTTCCAAAAGTTTCTAGTTCTTTTATTTTACTGATGTATGGATCAAAAAGAAAAAATGCATATAAAAGAGAATTACAGAAAAACTTATTATCGAAAACTTTTTATTTTGTAGACCTTAGGTTTTAATACATAAAAATTAGGTATAAAAGTGTGATCTCTATAATGAATCGCTGGAAAGAAAACATCACATATAAAACCAAAAAACAAAACCACCTTGTAGGACTTTGAAGAAAGTGGCCGTACACGCACACGAGTAAATCAATGTGAATCACATGCGAGCACTCAAGTCAAGACTCAAATAGTTGGAGAGAGTTTTTTGTGGTCGTACGAAGAAGCCAATTAAACATGAGCAAGAAGTTCGATCACGTGCCCATATGCTTCTTCCGACTTCTTTCTACGTTTCTTCTTCATTGATCTTCAACCAAACAATTATATATCAATTATTTTCCTGGATATGCATCCGTCAAGAATTAATTATATTATAAACATACACCAAACGCAATCCAATATTTTCGCACCTTTCTAGACGCACTAGAAGAACGTAACAAAATAGGCCCATGCAAGCTTCGTGTCGATTACTATATATATATTTCTATGTTAGGTGATATATAATGTATACAGTGGAATTATATATCACATGGGTTAGCAAAATGTTAAGATATTAGTACAATTACCGATTATAATATTTGTACGACAAACTAACATCAAGTAAAATCCAGAAAACTTAGATTAAATTTAGCAACTCAGAAGAGGTGTACTCTACCGACTATACAACGTACCACTACCTCACATTTGACAACGACGTCTAAACCACAACATTTCAATTAATTAGTTAACTAGAATAAAATATTAAAACTACACATAATTGAAATTAACCGGTAAGGGGAATATATATATCATCATTTTCCTGATAAATTATTCTGGATTTGTTTCTACATGCGGATCATGTCAACGCAATGCAATACCTACGTACCTTACATGAACTAATTATTAGGGCCGTACAAAACACAACTCTAACCGAACCAAATTTAACTAATTCTCCTTTAACAAAAGGCTGGTTGATTACAATGAAACTCAATTGCCTTTTTTTTGGTTTTAAACTCAATTGCAATGGATGTTTAACTATTTTGAAACCAAAGTCAATTTAGCCAAACTCCCGGAAAAAATGAAGCAGGCTAAACCGTAAATTGTAAAGAAAGGTACAAGGATTACTCCAATCATGGTTTCAGATCAACGTAGTTTGGTTACATACTTTCATTATTTTCTTCTTGTTGACATATAATTTGTCCTTTTTGATAAATGTTTCATGACATACGTACGTAATATATTTATGATATTTTTTTTATGAGGAATTTATTTTCAACTAGAAATTTGTGTGTGACTGTGTTCCATACTCTTCCTTTTTTCTGATAAACGATGTGTGTTCCATACTTCCATACCATGATGTCTTTTTATGGTAAACTATCAATGTATATTCTAAAATTTTGTAGTCAAGATAAGTCGCTAAAGTTAGATCTATGGGTTGATGTCTCCTCTCGTGTCGATTTCTCTTCCGAACATCCTTACTTTCTTTTCCTTTAGCATGCATAGTGGTATTTTTTGGTAAGTCTTATGCCGACTAGTAACTAATAGTGACAATTAAAAAAAAAAATTCAAAATACGATGTAGACATCTTCTTTTAGTACGATCTCTATTTGCATTGACGCTTGTCATTTCCACGCGCGTGAGTGGGATTATATTTTATTCCATTATCTTGACATGTTTGGTACTTTGGTTTGGTCCATTCGTGTTAAGAGACTGTAAAAAATATACTAGGTGGTGTCAGACAAATGACAAGCGAAAAGAAAAACCCTGATGGAGTAAATATTATGAAAATGGAGGATGCTTGAAACTGCAGAAGAATATAGAAAGTAGATAATCTCTTATTTTCTATTAGATTCAAGCCTGGGATCTCATGTTTTCTGATGCATGTGTATATTCTTTTGGATAACAAAGCCACCTGAAATTAATAAATCATTTGGAAACACACTAAAACAGGCAAAACTTATTAGCATGGAAAAATTGTCCAAATTGTTAATTGTCTTTTAACAAAGAGAAAAAAAAAACTGAACGAGAGCACTCTTCGGGACTATTATATTTCATAAATCATAGTAATATTCGAATGTTCATATAATTTTATGTAATGCTGGATCCAGCTAGTCAAAATTTGACATCTTCTTTAAAACTTATGGAATAGATATTTTCAGTAGTCCATGAAGCAATGTTACAAAATAAGGAATGATTGACACAGTCACACGAAAAATGATTTTTTTTTTCTCTCTGATTATTAACTTCCGATCCTGCGAGACAGCCAGACATGTGTATTTATGATATCCCCTGTTTGTTTATAGTGATACGAGTACACGTTAACAGAATTAATGGTACGAGTTAATTGCGCATATAGTTTTTTTCTTTTACATTACCTTGTTTTCCATATTCATCTCATTCTTTTTTTTCCAACAACATAAATTTATGATCCAATCGAGTAAACGACCATGCCAATTAATGTTAGTGCGCTTAGAGTTCCGCTCAAGACATATATTCATAAATAATAAATTTGATACAAAAATAAAAATTAATCGCTCAAGAGAGGGTTTGAACCTCTGACCTTGTGGTTAACAGCCACACGCTCTAACCAGCTGAGCTACTCAAGCTTATTACGTCATTAATATTTTAACAGTACTATTTTAATTAATATAATCCTAATGTATATTGATTTTCATTCTTAAAAGGAAAATACTATAATTAATACTCACAAAATAGTGCCAAAAATATTATAATCTTACTTGTCTATATCCCACAAGCAAAATAGAAGCAAAAAAGCTGACAAAAATGGTAAAAAGAAATAAAAACTAGAATAAAAGAAACTAATTAAGATAAAAATCAAATAAAAGAAATGGTCCTCCGTGTTTATATAAATACACACAAGACACTGATAGCATAAACACAAGTCTTCTCACTTTGGATCTTCTCTCCCAAATTGACTCATAAACTAAACTTTCCACAATCCTCCATTCTCCAGTTTCCTCCAAAGTTCCATTTCTCGTTGATTCTTCCTCCAGAGAAGATGCAGGTCGTCTCCAGCTTCGATTTCCAGTCTTCTCCATTCTCACACAGCGCCGGAGAGATCCTCATTTCTCCAGTAGACCGCCGTGAAGAATCTTTCGCTCAGTTCACCGACGCGCTTGAAAGCGCGTGTGAAGACTCGACTAGCTCCGCCGCTGTGAAAGTGCAGAAGGTTTACAGGAGTTATCGCACGCGCCGGAGATTAGCGGACTCTGTAGTTATCGCTGAAGAGCTCTGGTAATTTAATTAAAACACAAGATTAAATCATAATTATACAAAGAGATGTTAGTTTGAGTGATTAACGTTAATTAATGATGGTGATAATTAATTACAAGGTGGCAAGCAATGGATTTTGCGAGGCTATGTCACAGTACGATTTCGTTTTTCGATTACACGAGACCTGAAACTGCTGCTTCCAGATGGAATCGTGTGAGCTTGAATGCTTCTAAGGTATGTATGGCTTAATTTGTTCTCCTTTTATTTGTCTTATTATGAAAAAGTTTTTTAATAAGACAAGATTCTTACTAAAATCAAGTTCCTTTTTTCAACCTTTTTCACATTGAAAAGTTTTCTATTTGAGCATTTAGATTTCTTTTCCTTCCCATAAATTATCTGAAAATGCTCAATGTTGATTTAAAATATTTAATTTGTTTCAAATAGTATAAAATAGTGAGAATAATTAATTATCCACTTGGTTAAAACGTTTTGTAATCTTGTGGTTTGGTTGTGGTTAGGTGGGGAAGGGCCTGTCAGTAGTAGAGAAAGCCCAAAAACTGGCGTTCCAACATTGGATTGAAGCTGTAATTTTTCTTTTACCCTTTACCCATAAGTTTCATTTTTGTTTGGGTTAATATTCAGATGAAATTATTTTATTTACTGTGATAAGAAGACTTCAAATTTGAAATCAGATTGATCCGAGACACCGGTATGGACACAACCTACATGTGTACTATGAAGAATGGTGTAAAGCTGATGCTGGTCAGCCTTTTTTCTACTGGTATGCTTAAAATTCATTTTGTTAGTGTTTTCTTGTATATCAAGAATTATGGATTGGTGATAAATCTTTTATGTAACTTTGTGAAATATGGGTTTCTTGCAGGTTGGATGTAGGAGAAGGGAAAGATTTGGATCTTAATAAATGTCCAAGGTCTAAGCTTAAGCAGGAATGCATCAGATATCTTGGACCTGTATGTACACATTCATCTCTTAGTCTAATTTGTTTTACACATGTTTTGGAGATTTTCTCATATAAATATTTTTCCGGTTATCAGCAAGAGAGGGAAGAGTATGAGTATGTGATCATCGAAGGGAAGATTGTTCATAAGTTAACCGGAAAGTTTCTACACACCATGCACGGATCTGAAGGAACAAAATGGATCTTTGTTATGAGCACTTTCAACAAACTCTATGCCGGTCTGGTATGTTCTCTTAATTAAAACCGGTTTATATATCTTTCTGTTGGTTATAACTTCATAAGTTCTTGTTTTTATCTTCAGAAAAAGAAAGGAAGGTTCCATCACTCTAGCTTTTTGGCCGGAGGAGCAACTTTAGCCGCCGGGAGGGTTGTTGTTGACAATGGAGTTCTCAAGGTAAAACTCTTCTCAGTTTTTATGAGCCGTTGATCTCTCTGTCTTTGTGATTTTTGTCTAATCGTTATGTCTTCTTGTATATGTTTTTTTACAGACAATCTCTGCTTACAGCGGACATTACAGGCCATCAGATGATAGCCTGGAAACATTTCTCTCCTTTCTCCGAGAGAACGCAGTGAGCCTTGACGGTGTTGAGGTAAAAAACTCTTGTTGTACCCAAACCTTACACATCTTCTTGAGAACTAATAGTATCAGTTACTTTTTTTGTTTGTGTAGGTGCACAAAGCTAGTGAAGACTCGGACAACTACGATGAGTACTTTAAAGCCAATGCAGATGGATCCAAATCTTTGAAGAAAGAGTATGCAACATCCAAGCCAGAGGAGGCTGAGTCGGATATCAATGGGAACGGGACGACTGAGGAGACGAAACGGAGCACTTACCAGAGGACGCTCTCAGGTGGGCTTGAGAGTCCAAAATCTGACGTTCCACAGAAAGCAATACTACAAAGGATCAACTCGAAGAAACAGTCCAAATCCTACCAGCTAGGTCATCAGTTGATGCTGAAATGGTCGACCGGAGCTGGTCCAAGGATCGGTTGTGCAGCTGATTATCCGGTTGAGCTCAGAACACAGGCTTTGGAGTTTGTTAACTTGTCGCCTAGGTACCGGAGCAGCACACTGTCTCCGACCGGGAAGCTTGATGTCTGATCAGATCATATGTGCCTTGTGTAGTAGTTAATCATAATCTTCTTATGTGACTTGGTTAACGTGTGAGTTTTATCTTTTAAGTCTTTTTGTTTTGATGTTTTCTTTTCACCTGGATGATGTGGAGCAGAAGGATGAGAATGAGATATGATTTGTGTAGAAGCTTTTTTTCAAAAAAATCACTCATAATTATATCAATGTCCAGTTTGGGAATTGGGAGTATCATAAAAGCATGCAACAAATTCGTATAAGACTGTTTATATGTGTTAGATGTGCTTGTTAAAGTGGTGTCAACTTTAAAACAAAAATTTGGTGTACTTATAAAGTAAAACATAACACATAAGTGTCTATTTTAGATAACTGAATCAAAAAGGTTGAATCAGAAAGGTTCAATCCGAGAAAATGAATCCGAGAAAGCAAATCAAATGTTTAATTTAGAAAATGCATTGTTATGAGACAAAAAGGTATTTCGCGATACGGAAACATCTAAATTCCTTAACTCACGAATTATAAGAATGTGAATATAGGCCCAATAAAAGGCCCACTCGAGAAACATGTGCTCTTTTAATTCACTTCACTTAACCAGCGAGAAAGACAGAGAGAGATCGGCGAAATGGATTATAAGCCACAGCCGCCGGCGTCTTCCGAGCCTTCGCCGTCGCCATCTGACCGTCCACCGGGAATTACATCACCGGAGACTCCCTCGAACAGCCAGAATCATGAGATAGAAGACATTATGGCTTGCGTCACGGCTTTGGAAGCTGCTCTGCTCCCATGTTTACCCGCGAGAGAGCTTCAAGCCATCGACCGCTCTCCTCATCCTTCTCATCAAAGTTCGTCTCTTTTCTACTCTCAGTCTTTACTTTCAACCATATCGCTTCACTGTTCTTCATATCTACCGTATAATTTCAAGTTTCAGAATGAGAATTTACTGAATTTTTAACAATTGCCAGTTCACTTTCTAGGGTTTGGTTTGTGCTATTTTGATAGCTCTTACTCGATTTATGCTCAATTGACTAACTTAACTTATTATCTAAGTGAATATTTGCTTAGAACTCAGCTCAAACCGAAGCATTTCGTTATTCAATATTCTAGCTTAGCTGCTGTTCTCTGGCGTTTGTGATTTATGGATTAAACCAATCTCTCAATTTCCCTGATTGAATTCTGCAGTTGATGTTGAGCGACACGCGAGAGATTTCATGGAAGCTGCGAAAAAGCTTCAGCTTTATTTCATGGGATTGAAGCGGGAGGATCACGCGCCCACTAGAGCAGAGAGCCTTAAGAAGGTTTTGATTACCTTCACCTTAACAAAACTCACCAATGTGGTACTCTAGACCCATTTGTCTTTACCAGTTTCTGTTCTTAGCAGGAGATTGCAGTAATGGAGGAAGAGCTCAAGACAAAGGAAGAGCTTATAAAGAAGCACACAAGACTTATCGAAGAATCACAGAAGCTTGTGAAAGAACATATTGAGAAACACCGAGTGGAGCTGGAGAAAGTATGACAACATCAACCATAGTTTACCGTTTTGTTTTTGTTGTTTCCATGAATCAAGCAAAGTTTTTTCAATAGTAAATAATGTAATTCTACTCCATTATTCATCCATTTATGTCTATTTTACAACATTGTAAGAGTGTGAACGTAGACAAAAGGGGGATTCCATCTGCAAATCCGCATCTCTTACAAGAAGTGGAAATACACTTATTATTGTTTTGTGGCGTTTTTAAGTCTAAAGATTCATTTACATGAGAACATAGAAGAAAGTCGTCTGGGGCTTGTGTTGATTGAGAACTTGATTTCATATATCCATATGACTATGAGGACCACTTGAGTTGGGTTGGCTTTCCAAAGGCATGTACTGTGCCATGATCCCTCTTATTTCCGCATCCATGTAACTCTGCAAACACACAGATTTTGTTACTTTAGAAATCTACTATCTCTAGATGGCAAGATTTTATTTTACTTATTATGATAACATACCCTGATCCTGTACTTGTAGACTGCATATCCAGAAAGACCTGCAACACCCACTCCGATTATCAGAACCCACAAAAAGCTCCAGCTGAGTCTTGTAGTTCCAACTTTGCCTGAACCTACGCATTCACCAGATTCAAAAGCAGAAACAGTCTGACTAATGACTCCAAATTAAGTATGGGCTTAATAGGAAGGAAGATCTCTCTTTTTTGTTCGTTTTACCTATGCAAGTGTCGTGTTCATGCATGTAAAGCAAACCATTGCTGCAGCTGCATTCGTAACTTCCCCAAGTGTTTTTACATTTACACTCTGGGCACTGGCAAACCTTCTTTTCTTTGCACTCGTCCACATCTAATACATTCAAACAAAAAAAACAAGGTTATGATTTTGAATTCGATGTTTAACAATGATCTTACTTCTTTAGTTGACTACAGAAACCTTCACAGCTCTTTACTCCATCGCCCTTGAACCCAAGTGGGCATTTGCAACCATTTGAATGATCATCCTGAAAAATCCATTTCAAGAACCATATAAGTTTTACTTAAGGTTAAGAAGATGATTGTTCAAAATTTAGAAACTGACATAGAAGACAAAATACTTACTACGCAAGCAGAGTAAGTGTAGCTGCCTCGAGTTTCTCTCCAGCATCCTCCATTGTTGATACCACAGTGCAAAGCTCCAGAGGCTGCCAAGTGAAACAACGTTGAGAGCAGACCATACATATGGATATAAAAAATTCATCTTAACAAAAAATTTAGTACGACAACTCTGTTTTATGGATTGTTTTAAACATTTGAGTATCTATAGAATGCCACTGAAAGAAATTTAGAACATTGAAAAGATCTACCTGTAACAAAATATTTGCGAATAGACTAACCAAGCCAAAGGCTATGCCATAATTGTATCAAGCTACAGGGAGATAAACTAAAATACCTTTGCAGTGAGTGTATCCGTCACCAGCAAATTTAACGCCTTGAACAGTAGGGCACTCGCACAATCTTCCCCTAAAGGTATCCTAAAATGCCAATTCAGATCAAAACTAATCAGACTTGGTAACAAAAACAAAACCAAAAACTAGAAAAAAAAAGAAAACTGAAAGCCCAAAAGATACCCGGCATGCAGTTATGTTGGCAGCTTTGTCTTGCCAGCACCCACCATTGTTTTCCAAACATTCATTAGTGTTTAGATCTGCAAAATCCAGAAACGTATCTGATGACAATGTCCTCGGTGATATAAAACTCTAAACAAATTTTATAAAAGGAGAATATAGAACCTTCAGTTAAACATATAGCTGGTTCTGTTGACTCTTGAAAACCTGAACACATAGCTTTCAGCACTGCCCCTTTTTCCAATTTACCTATGCCCATGAAAGATATTTGAGTCAGGAAACAAACGAGATGTTGTACAAAGGGAGAAAAAACAGAGAAGTCAGCATTTCTCCAATACCTCTGTATTGTCTGTTGTTGACAACAAGAGTTGGGAGTATAGTCACGTCTCCACGAGAACCTTTGCCAATCTGAAATAGACTCATTTCAAGAACACGAAACAGAAATGGAGAATACAAACACGAGATCTATAAGAGTATAGCCAATTGGTTACAGAAAGACAAACCTGAGACTCCTGCTCTGCTTTAAGAATAGGATTCTCCACATCTGCATCAGGGTCTCCGATACACTTGTCCACCTTCTTGAGATCAATATCTGAAATGCATATAATAGAAACAAAAATTCAGAATTGACCATTATAAACTGTAATCTGACTGCTATCAATGAAGCACTACACTCACCAAGGGACTTAATAATTTGGTCAGCACATTCCTTGGTGTACTTCTTCTCCTTCATTGGACACCGGATAGCAAAGTCAGTGACATAGTCCCACCAGACCCACGGCTTCCCAGTCTCATTCAACACTCTATAGACGCAAGCCTGCCTTAAATTCTGAACCACAACATCCTTCCCATCATACCCTTTAGTAAAATCCTGCTCAGGATCAGGCGCACAGTACCTCCCATGGTTGATGCACTGAGACTTACACTGTTTACTCAGCGTAAAAGCTTCAGGACAGTACCAAGTGATGTAGTGAGGCGTGAACTGAGTATGCCCTCCCTTCTCAAGAATCTGAGCAGCTCCTTTGAAGTTCTTGAGAAAATCAATCTGGTTATCACACTTCTTCCCACACTGGTCATTGCTGTTAGTCCACAGCTCGTATTCCACACGCTCATCGGGATGTGGAACCGACTCAGTCCAGTCCAGCTTCATGTTAACCATGTCGCCGCCGGAGAGAGCAGCTTTCAAACTATCTCCCAAGGATTTGGTGATGAGAGCAGAAGGAATGGTGATGTTTTGAAGGTAATCAGCATCGGATTTGTCTTCCTCAGGTGTATCCATTGTGATCAATGGCTCAGATTTGCTATCCGCTACGAGAATCGCTGCTGCTCCAGCTTGTTGAGCTATCCACGCCTTCAAAGTGAAGAAACAATCTGTGTTCATACACACAAAAATTTCCAAAATCGAATCAAAAACAGATCATTAAACCCAAATTGAGGATCGAATTGAGAGAAATCGAAAAATCGAACCTCCGCGATCGATGAGGACGAAAGTGGGTAAGCGTCCGGGTTTGGATTTGAAGGAGATATCGAAGTCGCTGTAGCTTTTACAAGCTTTCTGATTCGATTTGGGATACACGACGGCGCCGACTAATGTACCGCCGTACTGAGGAACACCGAAGTTCCCAATGGCGCATTCGTAAATACCTTTGATCGAGTCCGGCGATGTGACTTTGAGGTTGTTCTTCTCCACGACGAATCTACCCAGAGCTAGATTGAAGATCAGAAGAAACGAGAGAGTGAAAACCCCTAGCTTCTCCTGACTCATGATCTCTTCTCAAGTTTTTTACCAATCGATTGAAAAGGGATAAGATCAAAATGTTTCTACTTCTGCAACAGTGATTAAGATCCAGAAAAGCTAGATTATAGAGACGAGGATCTCGGATTTGGACGATGATTTTTAAGTGAACAGTGTAGATTTAGGAGGAAGAGGAAGAGGAAGAGGAAGAGAAGAGAGAGACTTCTGAATTAAGGAAGAAGAAGACTTATCTAATTGGGAAATTACGAATAGAGATTCATGAATGCTGAGTTTATTTAATTTAATTAATTAAAAAGTAGCATGAGATAATGGAATTGTTCGTCTTTGTCGTTTCCGTTAATTGTTCATATGAAAGATTCAAAGAAGAGTTAAGCAAAAATTAAAAATGTATTAATTATAGTAAAACGGGGAACACGTGGGTGTGTGTCTATGTGTGTTATCTAACTTATCTTCTAGAGATCTTTAATGACACAGCGGTACTGAAAAAGAAAAATCTTGTTTCAACTTGTTTGATGATGCTTTTGCTTCAGACTCAGAGGTACATACACCCACATCTTTGTTTCTTTCCAAAAGATTTTTGACCCCACACTAAAAATAATTCAGAGGTAAAATACAATAAAAAGAACACTGTCTACATTTATATCAAAAACAATTTCAGGATTTAACATACTGTAATTACTTATAGAAATATATCACTTTTTGGAAATATCAATTTCTGTGGATAGACATTTATACACTTGTATAATTGTATTGTAGGTGAATACATAGAAATAACGTTCCTCCAAAATGAGCCAACAATTGCCATGTACATAAAGAATCATAAATAAGAAAACTTCATTGTGGTGTTCTTTTAACAAGAGTGATCCCACTTGGATCACCACCCCATTCCTCAAAGACAACCAGAAGGTTCCCAAATGGCTTTAGCCATGAACGAGGTACATGGTACCTGAAAACAAAGAGAACAATGTGAGTGAGATTTAGAGCAAAAGAAGACGAAGGTAATAGGAGACGAGAGAGAGATAGAGTTTTTTTGTTGTCCTCACCATCTTTGAGTAGCTTGGCCACAGTTGCTCAGACATTTCTTCTCGATGTAAATTCCGGGATAGTTGCAGCGTCCGCAACTCCCACGAGCCTTGTATGCGGGCCAGTGGCGTCCAATGCTATGTCCATTTACCCAAACTTGACCTTTCCCCATAGTGTTCATGTCCAAAGCCAACGGTTCATTACCTTCCGGTGTAGCAAAAGAAGACTACATGTAGAGACAACAAGAATCTGTTATGAACATCTCTTATATTTACTAGACTCTTATAAAACATGTTCAATAAAACTTATAGGTAAAAAAATTCGGATAAATTTGTAATATTCATGTAGATTAACCAAAATTTTAACCATAAAATATTTACTTTTAAAAATAATGTGAGAGAATGTATCTTACCTTGTACCACGTCAAAGGTTGGCTCTTATATGTTGTGATTTCGGATTGGGAAAGATTACGAGTTTCGGCCCAAAACTTCTTGATAATAAAAAAAAATGGTTGGTCCTTGACCACGAATGATTCTTCTTTCCATTCCTCAAAGGAACTTCCGGTTACGTTATGAAGGCTCATATCTTCACCTCTAGTACCAATCTACAGAAAGAAAACACACATTAGTTTAGTTAACCATTGTTATGGTTGGTATTAAGACGTAGTAACCAAGAAGTCAAACTCGTTTTGCTCTTAAATATCAAAAGAACCTTGTAGGACCATTTCCATTTAGACATGTCCCATGTTCCAGAGTTTACTCCACTCAGTGTGGCTGGGCCTAAAATCCCAGTGTTCCAAGTCTCATAATGCACCCCAGCATTCTACCAAAAAAATAATGGAGATCACGAAACTCATTAACTAAATCACACATCTTGAGAAGCTTTTCGGAATCAATTGACAATATATTAACTCATACTTGTTATATACAATGATAGCATTATATTTATAATGTGGGATAGTGTAACAGAATCAACATTATATTAGAACTAACCGGAAGACCCACTGCAGTACTCAACAAAGCAATTTTGTTGGTTCCTACGCGCAAATTGATCTTTTGACTAAATGTGAACTTGGGACTGCTCAGTGATCCATAGGCAGTTCCTAAAAAGAACAAAAGAAATGAATGTTTTAAGGTTTTTCAATAGAAAACTAGTTTGGTCCATAGGAATTTATCTTTATTTTACCTGCAAGTTGGCCATTGACGAATACATGAAGAGCATGCCCAGCTGAACATATGGTAAGAAATGGATCAACACCGGTCTTCAGGAATCTCTCATCAGAGCTAATTGTAATTCTGAGTTTTAACCGCAAAACAACATAAAAAACAAAACCAACTTTAATAAGCAGTTCATGCCGGATATAACAAGATTTTCATTTGTCAAAAAAATCAACCACTTACTCTGTTAGATACCAAAAATAGTCTGTAGTATCTCTGGTCATGCTTATTTGTTCCAAAAGACCATCTTGAGCAAATGTACCAGCATCACTCAAAGAAGGGATTTCTTCTTTGTACGATTCCCATAGAAATCGCGTGCTAGTAGGAACCATTTTCATAAGTATGCTCGGTGAACGGATCTACATCATGTTACACATGTATTTAGGTCAATCTCAATAACAATTATATAATTCCTACAAGATCAACAAGTTACGACCATCTTAAAGTATTCTGAAATGGAACCATATTTGAATGTACCAATTTCACTTCGGTCATAAACAAAGTAATGTTTTTGATATTATAAGCTTTTAGTTTATTAATTACCTTTGCAGTGTTGAAATACTCGGTTTTGCAGTCAGGTAAAATACTGACAGACCAAGGAGGCAAATCATATGGAAATCCTCCAAACATAACTTTTGCTGCATTATTGGTGTCGTAATTCGAAAGAAACGCAGCGCAAGAAGTCTTGGACTTGAACACATGAGCCTGAAAATATAACAAAGTAAAAAACAAAATGTATGAGTCTTTTATTCTTCTTCTCTTCAATGTTACATTGCATACTTACTTCTTGTTTATCGCCGAGGGATGTCATGGTGGAATCAACAGAGACCAACACAGGTTCACATAGCTTGATGACCTTATGCAACTCCTTCAAATGACTATACTTAGGTTCTCTCAGTAATCCTTTTTTTCGAAAAAAAAAAACACAAAACATTTAAAAAAGGTAGCTGAAAATGAATAGAGGCCATGCTTTATTTATACATAATTTTGTTTAATAAACTTAAAAGACACTATTGATTTTGAAAGTCTATGATATTTAACAAAAAAAACATCATGTGATTTCAGAATTGGTTACCATATTCATCAAGAGGAGCATCGTAGTCGTAGCTCGTGGCGACAAATACGCCAGCTGTTCTATCAAAGTTCGTCCCTCCATGGTACTGTACCAACGTTCTCTTAAATTAACTTGTTTATTTTTTTTTATCTAATTCTTTGTTTGATAAAAGTTTTGAAGTTACCATATAATAATTCATAAAAGAACCACCGTTTTGTATGAAACGAGCCACGGAGACCGCAAGGTCTTCGACTGGTCTGTTTGGTATCGCACCTCCAAATTCCATGAACCTGAGAATCATCACACACATTTTCATACTATATTTTTTTATTTGATAAAAACTTTAATATATAATTAAAGAACACAAAAGATGATTAATAGCTTTGTGACTTACCAACCAGTCCAGTTCTCACTCCACATCTTGGGCTGATTGACTGAGTTTGGATTGAAACCCTCACAATAAAACCCATTGCATGTGTTTATCTAGTATACGTTGCAAGTTAAAATAATGTTAACATTCGATATAATTTTCACTCTGAAATTGAAAATATTTGTTTTAAACATAAAAGTTCAAAGTTGAAGAAAATTTGTCCTCGTGGATTTTGTGTGTGCTTGGCCGGTGGCCCCATGTAGATTAAAATTGAAAAAGACATTAGAGGCCAACAAATAAACGGGGAAAACGATACTTTATTGTAACCATCAATAAGACAAAATATTTAACAAAAAAACGGAAGAATTTACAGAATGGAAAATTCATGGCGAAGAAAATATCAAAGAGGTAACCCACCAAAGAAAGAGGGAACGATACTCAAATTCTAAAAGAAACAAAAAATGAGATCATAATCGACATAATGGTAAAACAATAGTTAACAAATATCTTCTTTCGCTTAAAGAATATATAATTGCCGACAAAGAAAATCTAATCATTCCGGATAAATCATATATACATTAATTAATTCATTCAGTTAAATAATCTACTAGTACTACTAGCTAGTTCAAAGATTCGTTTTCAGAAAAAAAAAACTACTATTTCAAATCAAATACATAATTGGATTAAAAACAGAATTCAAACAAAAATAGCAAGTCTACCAGACACAACCACACTAAAGTTAGCATAAACTGATTACGAATAACGATACTTCTTAAACGGAAATTTAAACCAAGATTAACCAAATAAAAAATATAACATCCTACTTATATATATCTAGAGAAAAGTGAAAAAAAATAAGAGAAGGAAAGGAAGAGAGAAGCATACAATGGGGTAAGGAGCATCTTCTTGCTTGCACATAATCCATGGGACACCTGTGGACAGTCCCAATGCCATTGCAGCTGTCCATTTTGAGTATGCTTTTCCTGCTGATCCTATCTCCCATTGCATTGGTCCATACTCATTCTCTATCTACCCAAATTTTTTGTAATTATCATTATTAAATTTATGTAGATGTGATTCAGAAAACGATCAGTTTAAACAGCTGTGAAGACACAAACCTGTGAGAGAATGATGGGTCCTCCTTGGGTCTCAAACAACTTTTCTTCTTTCATCATATCCACAATCTTCTTTGTGAATTTTTGCATTGCAATCTTTTCAATTATCACATCAAGTTACAATCTTTTAATCCTCAAATAAGAAAAAATGAAAAATAATTAGTTTTAGAATTGTATACCTTGAAAGGTTCATTTTCTGTCCTGAAAACCATGCCAGGGACATATTTGAGCCAAACAGGAATTCCCCTAACATTTCAACACAAATGTATAGATAAATTTATATATTCAAAGAAAAATAAATTTTGTTTTTTATTCTTCGAACAAAGCATAAATGTGTTTATATTATATTTACCCAAAATTCCACTCGGCACAAACATATGGACCAATTCTTAGACTAACATATAGACCAGCTTCATGCACCAGCTTGATGAATTTAACCAGATCATACCTATCCCCAAAATAATACTGGAGCAAACGAAAGTATATATAGAGCATTAAGATTTTTATGACTTATGAATCAAGTAAGAAAAAAAAAAGTAAGAAAATTGTTCAATTCTTGAAATTACTTTTCCAGGAGAAGGCTCATGTCCATTCCAGAAAATATAAGTTTGTATAACATCCAAACCTCCTTCTTTGGCCTTGTTTATAAGATCAGGCCACATCTGCATATACAAGGCATCCACCGCAAGTTTTTATTTTAAACTTCTTCGATACAAACAAATATAATTAATTTTGTGATGAAAGAGCATAGACTTTAACAAAAAAAAAACCAGAAAATCAAAATCCCATGCCCAGAAAAACAAAGCAAACACTCAGTAAATTTTATCAGAAGCCAAGAAAGTTTGCATTTGACTAAATTGAGGTTAATAACTGTTAAAGATTACCTCAGGGGTGCTTCTTGGGTAGTGAATAGAACCAGAGATAAGGATCCTTCTCTGTCCATTGATGATTAAAGCTTTGCGATCATAGGAGACCACTGCTTTAGTTGAGCAAATCAGCAATGAAAAGCACAGAATTGCCAGAATAATCCAAACTCTGTTCCTAATATTCGTACACATCTTTAGAATTCCAAAGCTTTCGATCGATGTTTTTAGTTTCTTTTTAGAAACATGGTAAATTGGTAATGATAAGCTATTGGGACTGGAATGGATGATGGTCTTAAAGGTATATATATGTATGAGGCTGACACTTATCCTACTGTACGTATATACATTATTGAATGAATATGAAAGTGAGGAAAATTGGTGAGAGCCTATCAATATCATCTCTCTGTCTTTTAAGCGGATGACTTTAAAACCTTGTGCCCTACCTTGTTGGGTATTTTTCATTTTTTCCATTTATTTATAATACTTTGTTTTTGTTGAATTATGTTAAGCATCTTTTTGCCACAAAAAAAGTAATTTAAAGACTAATATTGGTTACATCCACTAATAATTGTCATTATGACTCCAAAATCATGTAGACAAATGGAGATGTCATTTCCGAATATGACTGCACATTATGCACCGACGCATACATATTCGATACCTTGTGTACAAATCAAAGCCTTGTAGTGTTGGGCTTGTAACACCCCATCTCTCTTTACGCTTGTGTATACTTATCTTTTGAGCTAGTGAATTTTACAGGCCCAAGAACTATCTGATAGCCCATTAGTACCAGCTAAAATGGTAAAAGATAGTGGGATGGTAAAAATGAATGGTAAAATGAACATTTCATGTTCATAAGTACTCTTATCGTACACAATCTGCATCTGCAAAATTGTTTGTGAACTAAAGAAAAAAGATGACACAAACGTACTAATGCTACACGCTTTTGTTGCATTTAGTCATCCCACTACAACGAAAATGGTGGAACTAATTTCACAATTTTACACTCCGGTAAAGCCTGAAATGCTGTATAGAAAAAATTAGTATGCGTCAGAAGTTATAGAAATGGATGTGGGTTGTGGAGTGAAACTATGTGGTAGATGTTATTTACGATATCAATTATCCAAAAAGAAGAGATAAAGTGTCCATCGTTGATCGTTCGTACACGGCTTTGGTATACGTAACACATGATGAATCATTTAATCATAAATTTGATTTGCATTAAGGAAAGATCCATAAAGCATATTCGTTTGTACCGTGGCAACGTGGCCACATGACATGATCCATGTTCTACATCTTCTCACGTTCCATTTGATTACTTGTTTTACTCTTTCTCGTCTTCCCCACTCGTTCATTGTTTGACACGTGCTCGTAATTTTATGGATAAATATTCTCCCCGCTAATTACGAAACACATGATATATTTAGATATTGTTTTTTTAAGATATTTCTTTTTGTCGTATTTTTTATATATTGTGTGAAAATTTGGTATATGCCGTGTTCAAACACGGATTTCTACCACACTAGGATTTAATGTCGGCCAAACAAAAAAACATTATAGTAAAGTCTAGTAGCACAACGATGTATGTTGGATGGTACCATATTACTCGTATAATATATGTGGTCTTGGGGCTTCTTGCTTTATCATTCACCAATCCACGTTGGAACTTAAAACTGGACCCCTCCCTTTCTTTTTTCCTTATTTGTTTTGTTTAAAAATGGACCACCTTTCTTCCATTTCTTCTTTTGTATTATTCAATTTGTTTTCGTAAACATCCTAACAGACCTTAATCTAAAATTTCACAATATAAACAACCTTGCACAACGTTATTAGATGGTATTCTTTCTTTTTATAGCTTGTTCTTAAAGGTACATTGATCAGTTTAAGACTTCCATCGTGTATCTTAGTTGGTGCTTTTTTATTTAATGCTGTAAAATTAAACGGAAAAAATGTTATGTTAATATTCTAGACAAAAAAACATCTGTTTATTAACTACTGTCTTATATAACGATTACTAAAGAATAAAATGCCACTATCAAGATTATTCTCTTGGGTCCAGCTCTTCAAGGTTACAAATACCTGATAAAAAATAACCCTTATTAATTAAACAATTCAAGCATTGACCTTGTAAATGTTTTTCGTTAAATAATAGAAAGATAAAGAAAGCTGCAAGCAAAACTCACAAAAAGTATATATCATTTTTTTAGAAAATAGAAAACAAAATGAAGTAACTTGACGCGATGGCTAACGATATGTATAAAGAATAATCACACCTGAAACATCCACCGATCTCTTCAATATTAATCCATTCTCCTTCACCAAACTTTAACTCTTTTAGACAACTAATAAGCATGGAACATTTTGGTCTCTTTCTTAGTTTGACTCTCTTGTTCCTTTCTCCGATCTTATCTCTGACCGATGTGCCGGAACTTAGCCGCGAGCCAGCTCGTCCACTCGCCTTTGTTCCCCATGACCGCTCCAAATCGGAACCGCAACAGGTTCTTCGATTCTGTTTCTCAATTCTCAATAGCTTCATATAAATTACTCCTTGTATTTTTGATTCCTAAAAGATTTTCATCGTTGGTTCTTATGAAATGTGAGATGTACATAGTCCATAATGAAGCTAATATCATAACGTTTTCTGTATCTCTTCCTAAAGAATTGTGTGTTTTAAATATTTGATAAAGGTGCACGTATCATTGGCGGGTAAGGACCACATGAGAGTAACGTACATAACGGACGACAAGAAGGTGGAGTCGGTGGTGGAATACGGTAAGCAACCGGGAAAATACAACGGAAAAACCGTCGGAGAATCTACTTCTTACAGATACTTCTTCTACAACTCCGGAAAGATCCATCATGTCAAGATCGGACCTCTTCAACCCAACACCACTTACTACTACCGTTGCGGTGGCAACGGTCCTGAGTTTTCTTTCAAAACTCCTCCGTCAACTTATCCGGTCGAGTTCGCCATCGTAGGTAAATTCCCTATTTTGGAATTGCAGACTTTTAGGATCTTGATCTTAAATTGTGTTCTAAAGTAGAAAAAAACAACATTATCGAACATATTAAATAACGGTAGTTCAACCAGTAAATAGGCTGTATAGTATCGCCAAAGATACGAAACTTTATTTTTATTTTTGGTATAAGTTATGAAACTCTTTTTTTTTTTTCTTTTTCTTAAAGTGTTTTGACTCATTTATCCGTTCTTGATTTAGCTTACTTACGAAAATATTTATTAGCACGTGCGTTTGGATTAAAGTTTGTAGATCTCTTAACTCATATGATAAATGAGCCACATGAATTTATTGAATTGAATCCTGCTGTCTGCTAGGTTATATATGTCGACTCTTAATGGTTGTGGATTAGTTCTTAAATCAACCAAAATTATTTATGTCAACTAACCGAAATCATTATTTTTGGTTCCGGTTCATACCGGTTAAGGACTAAAATTTTCGTTTGGACTTATGAAAGACCGGTTTTTGATGTAAAACTGAAGGTGACCTAGGCCAAACCGGATGGACAGAAGCAACATTATCTCAGATAAAGAGCCAAGACTATGACGTCTTTCTACTTCCAGGCGACCTCTCATACGCGGACACTCACCAGCCACTTTGGGACTCATTTGGCCGTCTGGTCGAGCCACTCGCGAGCCAGCGTCCTTGGATGGTCACTCAGGGAAACCACGAGGTCGAATTCTTTCCAATCATTGAACACACAACCTTCAAATCGTACAATGCCCGGTGGCGCATGCCTTATACGGAGAGCCTCTCTGAGTCTAATCTTTACTACTCTTTTGACGTAGCCGGCGTCCACACGGTTATGCTCGGTTCTTACACCGACTTTGACTCTGATTCCGATCAGTACCAGTGGCTTCAAGCCGATCTAGCAAAGGTTAGTTTGTAAATATTAATGCAACTTAATTTGGAAAATTGCTTGCTTAGTACTCAGAGACGATGTCGTTTTAAAGTTAGGTTTTTGGGTAGAATGCTAAGTAAGTAATCCATTTCCACCCTTTCACAGAAGAGGAAGAGATGTCGTTAGAAAGTTATTTTGTACGTAAATTTTTAATATTGTATCAAATTCTTAACAATTGGATTTTTCTTGTTTGCGTTGGCAAAAGGTTGACCGGAAAACGACGCCGTGGGTGGTGGTGTTGCTGCACGCGCCGTGGTACAACACGAACGACGCGCATGAAGGTGAAGGAGAGAGCATGAGGAAAGCTATGGAGTCTCTTCTCTTTAGTGCTCGTGTCGACGTCGTTTTTTCCGGCCATGTTCATGCCTACGAACGTTTCGTAAGTCCTATCTTAATCAATCATTAATTTTAATAGCTTTGGAATCGATCATCAATTTAAAATGAAATGTAAATGCAACTGATGCAGACACGTGTATATGACAACAAGGCCGACCCATGTGGGCCTATATACATAACAATCGGTGATGGAGGCAACCGAGAAGGGCTTGCCTTATCGTATGTTACCTCCCATTATTTAATTTCATTTTTTTTTCTTATTCAAAGTGAATATATTTCGTATAAACAAATTTCCGTATTTTCGATATGACTTGAATTACAGGTTCAAGAAGCCACCATCGCCTTTATCTGTATACCGTGAGTCGAGTTTTGGACACGGGAGATTGAAGGTTATAGATGGGAAACGAGCTCACTGGTCGTGGCATAGAAACAACGACTCGAACACACTTCTTGCGGATGAACTCTGGCTCGACAGTCTTAGCACATCATCGTCATGTTGGCCTTCTAATGGTTCCACTGATGAGCTCTAAATTATCATATCATAAAACGTTTTCGTTCGTAGAAGATAAGAACTACAAAAATTCATCTTGTTGTAATTTACATTCTTATTAGGCAACTTTTTTTTGTTTTTCATTTAAGAATGTATTGTGAGTTTCTGTTCACTTATTGCATGCCAACATTGGTTCGTTTGAAGGAATGATGGATATCTGATATACAATTACATTTTCATGTAATTTTAACAAGAAGAAAAAAAAGACAATTACATCTCCAGTCAATTACTCGTTTTTTTTTTTGTGTGTGCTAAATAAGTCATGTATAATGATGTTACATAAATCTTAACAACTCAAGCATTGGCTTTTTTTTCTTATCCAAATTGTGTTTTAAAAAAAAAGGAAAGATGAAGAAGTCAGCAAGCAAAACTCAACAAAAAAAAAAAACAAATAAGTGACTTCTAGAGTTGTATAAACAAACCTGAGACATAAACCTATCTCTTCCATATATAACCAATTCATAACATATTCACTAACACTACGTCTTCTAAAAGGAAAAATATGAAAATCTTTTTTAGCCTCACTCTCTTCTTCCTGTCTTCTTTTGTATCTCAAGCAAATCATGATATGGAATATACCCGCCCGCCGCCTCGTCCCGACTTCATCGTCTCTCACGGCCGTCCAAAGTTCCATCCTCAACAGGTTCGTTACTTTAAATCTCTTTCTCAATGCCTCTCGATCTGTGCTTTAATTCCTATAATTTTTTCATCTTCTAAAATGTGAAATGCATACTCCTTAACTAAATCACAAGTTCTTACGATGATTATTTAAATATATATATACATATATAGGTGCACGTATCATTGGCGGGTAAGGACCACATGAGGGTAACATACACAACGGACGACCACAACGTGGCGTCGATGGTGGAGTACGGTAAACGCCGAAAAAAGTACGACAGAAAAACCGCCGGAGAATCCACTTCTTACAGATTCCTCCTCTACAGCTCCGGAAAGATCCACCATGTCAAGATTGGACCTCTCCAACCCAACACCATCTACTATTACCGTTGCGGCGGCCACGGTGACGAATATTCTTTCAGAACTCCTCCGGCCACTTTTCCAGTCGAGTTCGCCGTCGCTGGTAACCTTTCATTAACTTTCATTCTCACTTTTTCTTGTCATTGATTTTGTATTGGTGATTTTATGACCGGTGAATATGAAAAAATTGGCTTAATTAGATCAACTCGGTTTATTGTCGTTAACCACATGTTGATCCGTATAGTCAAATGATCGATTCATGCCGAATCTGAATGTTTGCATGTATAACCATAAATTTGGAACTGTGTGCCTATTAAAAGATATTAACGTTGGACTAAATATCTTTATGCAATAACACGCAAACTGTGCAGGATGTTACATGTATTCCACTTTTTGTACATGTCCACAACTTTCCCGTTGGATTTTATTGTCATGAAGTATACGCCAAATTATACATGTGCCTGTCTCATATACCTTTGGTATCTATATTTTTGAGGGTTTCAAAATTGTTTATCTGTGCATGAATTGGCTTTAAATTATATATTTAGTATATGTTGTGGTTGAATTTTTTTTTTTTTTTTTTTTTTTTTTTTCAAACGGACATATAGTCAATGAGTCAAATGAATTTGATCCCTAACGGCTAACGTGAACATCAATGGCCGCCTCATGATCATAATTTACTCATACCTTATAGTTCCAACAAATTATATGAAAATTTTGGTTAGTTTAAAACATGAAATGTTATGTATATGCTAGATTCTGGTACACGCCGGTTATAAGAACTGTTTTTTTTTTCTCTAGTGGACTTACGAAAGACCGCTTTTTGTTGTGAAATTGAAGGTGACTTAGGGCAAACTGAGTGGACGCTGGGAACATTAGAGCAGATATCGAAACGTGATTTCGATGTCTTCCTACTTCCTGGTGACCTCTCCTATGCGGACACCCACCAGCCACTTTGGGACTCCTTTGGCCGCCTCATAGAGCAACTGGCTTGCAGCCGCCCTTGGATGGTCACCGAGGGAAACCACGAGATCGAGTCTTACCCGGTCATTGAACAATTTGAACACATAAGCTTTAAAGCATACAATGCCCGATGGCTAATGCCTCACGCCGAAAGCGCCTCTCGCTCCAACCTTTACTACTCTTTTGATGTAGCCGGTGTTCATACGGTTATGCTTGGTTCTTACACCCGCTTTGACAGCCATTCCGATCAGTACCGGTGGCTCCAGTCAGATTTAAGAAAGGTAACTAAAGCAACATTACTTAGAACTTGGAAGATATGCTTCATATATATGGGTCTAACTAGCTATTTGCAAAAGTTCACATAACGGGATTCTGAGTATTAGTTTTTGTTTTGACATGAAATCTCCATATTATTAAGAGAGAGGAAAAAAAGCATTTCAGATAATTCTATTAGGTTTTGAAAATTATATGTTTTTGTGTATGAGGGAGGTTGACCGTAAAAAGACGCCGTGGTTGGTGGTGGTGATGCACACGCCGTGGTACAGCACAAACATGGCTCATGAAGGTGAAGGAGAAAGTATGAGAAAGGCCATGGAAGGTTTGCTCTTTCGTGCTCAAGTGGACGTCGTTTTTGCTGGTCACATTCATACCTACGAACGTTTTGTAAGTACCCCACTTTTGTTGACCGTTTTCGTTTTAATTTTTTTTCAAAAAATACAATTCTAATTTGTAACTCGAGGAATGGCATGATGTTACAAAATTTAATAAATCACTTAACTCTGCAAACTTAATGGCTACAATCGAAATGAGTATTGTCCCAAATGTTTTTGGCTGATGTAGAAGCCGACATACAACCACAAGGCCGACCCATGTGGACCAATGCACATAACAATCGGTGACGGTGGCAATCGAGAAGGGCTTGCTTTAAGGTAATGCACTTCCTGATCTTTATCTAATTTAGATGTTTTTTCGCCTAATCAATTTGTTTTTCTTTTGTTAAAATTTGGTTAATTAGCTAAACTGATCATAAACAAAAAAAAATTACAGGTTTAGAAAGCCTGCTTCACCTTTGTCCGTATTCCGTGAATCGAGTTTTGGTCACGGGAGATTAAGAATCATAGACAATAAAAGAGCACACTGGTCGTGGCATAGAAACAACGATAACTACTCAGTTATTGCCGATCAAGTATCGTTCCAAAGCCCTAGGACATCATCACGTTGTATTTTCAATCGTTTTAGAAGTGAGCTCTAAATTATCACCATGTCACCATACCATAATGCATTTTATATTCTCTTCTCATCTCATAAAAGAGAAATGTGTACTTACAATTATCAATTTTAAGTGTGTAAATAAATCCAAATATAAGTTATTTATTATCACAGAGAAAAGAAATAGATAGAGACTTTAAATGATATTTTTCTAGTTGGGAATAAATTTGTACACGCAAAAGCCACACAAATTGCCGGAAAAAGAAAGAAAAGCCAACGCGAATATCTTATTTCTTTCTGTGGGGAAAAGAAAAATTAAATTGGGAAAGATGAGGAATGCGTCACAGACACGTGTCCCTTGGTAAATACATATCTTTTACAATAATGACCCATGATGAACGGCTGAGATCAATCGAAATCATCCGGATTTTTCTCTTGGGACTGACGCGTTTAAAATGAAGACGGAAAAGTCAACGCATCCGACGGCTCAGATCAAATCTTCTGAAGCTTCGCTGCTTTGACGAGCGGATTCGCTTTCGCGATCTCTTCGCGACCGGCCGATTTGAAATCGAAGGTGCATCCATGGATCTCCGGGTACCTGTGGGTCCCGCAAAAAGTCGTCCCGCACCGGCACTTGAATCCGGTCAACCCGACCCGTTTCCTGCAGGTCGTGCATCGATTCGGCCGTTTCTGCTCCGTCGTTGTCTGCGGCGGCGGAATCACCGTCACCTGCGCCTTCTTCGCCGTCACCTCTAACTCGGCCGAGGGATTCTGAGGGAGAGATGGGATGATCGGAGAAGAGATCGAGGCGATCTCCGGTGAGGACACGGAGGAGAGAGAGGATTCGACGGTTGATTTCATGGTGGATTGTTGCTGTTGCTTAAGACAGTGATCGCCGTAGCAATTGGAGCATAGATTCATGGTGGCGGAGCTGCCGAGGAAGCCGCAGTTGTTCACACAGAGACGGTGGCCTTCCGGCGTCTGACATCGATGCTCTTCCGCCATAGATCTCGAGAGATGGAAATTGCAGAATTTAAATCGATCAAGTTCGTCGGAAACCTGGAGAAGAAAAAAAAAACAAAGACGATGGATTAAACAAGGAGACAAATCTGCAGAATTTAATGAAAGAAGGAAGAAACAAACACGAACCGGAATCTGGTCACCGAGAAAAACAGAAATCGGTAGAAAAAAGCGAAGAAAAATTCAGAAGATTTTCCTCCGCTTTCTCGGCAACCAAATGGAAGGTAAACAAACAGAAATGAAAAGGAAGAGACGGGAAGTTTATTAAAAAAAGAAAAAAGTACAGAGAAGAGAGGAGAAAAAGAAGGAGATGAGGAGAGAGAGAGATGGAGATTGAGTTTACCTGTTCTTGTAAGAAAAGAGATGATGATTCACTGATTCTGATTTGTCTAAATAACGATGAATCGGGAAGAGAAAAGGATATACACAGAGCGAAGGAGAGAGAGAAAGATGATATGGAAACAACGGCGAAACAGAGACGACGCAGCTGAAATTTAAATAGAAATCAACGGTATTTATTTTTATTTTTTTAATTAAAAAACAATCAATTAACGAAATGTAACGAGTGGGGTACATAAAAATTGTAGAAAATTATTTATACACGTAATGCTGCACTATTCCACGATCAAATCTTTATGCTGATTAAAATGTCGTCATGGTGGTGTCACTAATTTGATTCATATATAGTATTTTGGTTTCAACTTTATGGTTTATTTTTTATTCCTACAAAAATAAAGTCTTTTTCCTTACCAGAAAAACTCATAAGATGGGTCAAACTTTACACCGTGTGAGTTAAATTAATTAGAAATGAAAAAATCGTACCGTGTTTTGATACCTTGGAAGAACCACTTGGGATCTTTCTTCTTTATGTCAACTTGGGATCAAATCTACCACTTGTTTCTATTAGATTTCTAAATTTCTTATAGAAACAATTGGACCGTCCAAGTAATAATAGAAATATATTTGATCTAATATAAGGAATTCCATAACCTCTATGATATGTAATAATTGATCAGTTTGATGCTTAAGAGGGGAAATGATGTACGCAAACCGTTTGATTGGGTTGGTTTAGAATTAAATATCCTAAGATATTGTTAGGAATGTTTATTAGTAGGGGAACAATAATTTGTTTTTGCGCCTTTGTTTTAAACTATTTTCAGTAGGTAAAGCACCCATGTGATCTCGAAATATATTATATGATGCATGAGGGTAATTGGTTTGCCGGCCATTCCGTTCGTAAGTATTCGATTTTTTCGTTTTTGTCGCAATCTTTTTACAATGATCAATGCATTTTTGTTTTTACTTCTGGATTATTAGCATTTTTGTTAAATTAAAAAAAAATATTAGTCGTTAGTTATATACATTCTTAATAAGAAAACAAAACTATATAATTCTATGTTCAATTCCTCATTGCCACTGGCCACATGAGTGTGTATATTTCACGTTTTCACAGAAACACACACACAAATTGTCAATATTCGTTGGTCACTTCAACTAACATCTCGTATTGCATATCGTTGGGAGATTAAATTCTAATAGAACAGACGGAACTTTCTATTAATAAACACAAATATTCATTTTGACAAACTGCAACACCCACATTGACTATTAGTGATAGGCTTAGGTTAATTTAATAAGATGCATTGACAATTGCATTGGCATACACAATTCTATCCTCAAATCACATCTTTATCTCGAAATCATAGTTTTATATGATCAACCTACAAAAATTAGTGAACATATAAGGTAACTATAAAAACTTGCAACAATCTAAAACGAGTGACGATAAAGGGAGAAACGAGTGAGGAGCAAGTGGAGGGACGACACGAGGAAATACAACAAGAGGAGTGACAACGAAGCGATTAGCTAATTGCCTAAATTTAAATGTTAATTAGGGATTACAAAGAATGTGTGTAAAGAAAAAGATATGAGAGGACAGGCTGGAGGAGCCAAATTGAAAGTGTAGCCTTTCCCTTTATCACGATACAAGTAGTACTACTCTATCTCTCTTATCTTATAATAGTATTTATTCACACACAATACACACACATATATATATTTATATATTGCCCAAGCATATACTACCAACACGTGCCCTATTTTGATCCTTACAACTTTTGGCAACACACAAAATCTAGTTGGAGAAGAAAACATTTATTTCATAATAGGATGTACTTGATGAGAATCGTCGTAGAAGATAAAAGATTTTTTTTTTTAAAGAACAAATATAGATGCCATCAAAAGAAACAGCGGTGGTGTTTTATCCAACAGTAGGGAGGCTTGATTGATTGTAAAAGCCTCATTATGGCTACATATGTGATCTTAAGCAGCAAATACGTAATTTAATTTAACAAAAAAAAAAAAAACGTAATTTAACCAAGAATTTGAACCAAAAAAAAAACAAGAATTTCAGAGTTTTAGATCTATTAGAAAATTTTGATTTGAAAATTATGGCAATTAAGTAGATAACATCTTGATGTAATGGAAAAAAGGCCCGTAGCATCGTACGAAATTTTTACTTGTTCAATTTTTTTGTTAAACCATTTACTCAATTTAGTCAAAATTCTAATTCATTGACCGAAAAATTAGGTTATTAGTAAGTTACCAAAAAATCACTATAATACATTTAAAAAGCAAAAACACATTAGTAAAGAAAACTTAGACTTACAATTATGTAAAGATTATCTCACAAAAAGATGGAAAACCATTTACTTTCAACAATTATTCTTTTATACTTTGACCATTTTGTTCATTCAATAACTATTCTCAGATATTGTCCTATTCAATTATGACCAAAACCTGTTCAAAACAATCTAACTAATTGATAAGTTACCAATATACACCACCTAGAATACAATATAAATTCTTCTAAAAATACTCTTAAGAGATACAAAAAAAAAACGTATACCTTACGATGAAAGTTTTTCTGAAGTTTGCATTGTTGGCTCTTTTTCTTGCCACTGTTTTCGGTAAGCATACATGTTGATAAAGCATTTTTAGAATACTAACTGAAAATGGAGAAAAACAAATAAAATTTCATTGTTTATATGTTTGTCCACTTTTATTGTTTAAATACTTTTATATTTTTTCTTTTAAATATTTTAAAAATATTTATCAATATCATTTTTACAATTGTTTTTGTTTGTTTCCAGGACAAAATCTTGCAACCGTTCCATACGATTGCTGCAGGACTATATGCAAAGGAGGATATTGCGACGGCGAAGTTTGCTGGTGTCATGGTAAACCTCTGGGTCCACCGGAACCGAAAGACGTTGGTGCTGGAAGACATCCACCTCGACCATTGAAATTTAAATGAAAACAATGCATGCATATGTCTTATTATAAGTAATCTGTTTACTTTATCAAAAAAAAAAAAAAAAGTAATCTGTTTAATAAAATAAAAACTTTCTAAAGAATTTTGATGTGTTTATACGTTGATAATCATATAACTTACATATAATATAAATCAAAATGGATTAAACTCACATAAATTCAAATCTATAAATGAATATTTGAAAAAAAAATGACAAAAAAAATTCAACAGAAAATGTTGTCCAAAAAATTTAAAATTGAAAATCCAAAATAATTGTTTTTGTAAGTGAGAAGTGTGAAGTTCTTTTTGGAAATTTAATAATTTTACAACATTCTTATTAATGTAAAGTTAAAAAAACAAAAAAAAAAAACAAAAGTTGTATGATTTTTTTTTTCTTTCTTCTAGTTTGTTAAACGGTACTATTTTGGAAAATGATAATACAAAAGCGGTATTCCTCAAAAAAAAAAACCATTTGGAAAGGGTTCAAAAGACAAGTGACCTAACACAAAAAGAACCTGCAACATTACAACCGTCTCAACTCCCGCTAATATTCTCACCAACTCCAACAAGATCATCATCATCTTTTATATCAACTTAATCCATACACTCGTGACATATATATCCACATAAACCATTTTCGTATAATCACCAAATATATCTCTTAACCAAATCCCTGACTGAATAGGTTCATAGAAATGGGTAAGAGTTCTTCTCATTCTGCTTCCATGGTAGTAGCGGAGAAGATCTCATGGTACTGCGCAGTGTTTGCAGCCACGATGCTGCTGATGAACTGCTTCCACGTCGCAGAGGAGGATCCCATTGAAATTATGGAGCAGCAGCAGCAACAACCGTCGACGATGATCGCCGGATATTCCCATCGACGGCCGGCATGCGATGAGATATACGAGGTGAAAGAAGGAGAGACGTTACAGACTATAAGTGAGAAGTGTGGAGATCCTTACATTGTTGAAGGCAATCCTCATATTCATGACCATGATGATGTTTTTCCCGGTCTACTCATCAGAATCACTCCTTCTTTCTGAATCTCAATTGATTCTTTAATGTATTTAAATTGTTACTTTTTTCTTTCTGAGGAACTTGTGTGTTTGTGATTGTAAAGCGTGAATTATGATGAAGTATCGGTCTCTACAAATTGCATGTAGTATATTCTCAGAACGATCTTTTACTTTCTAGGTTTTTGGGCTTTATTGGGCCTAATTCGGTTATGTCATAAGCTTTCATTTGGAAAATTCAATCTTTGAAGTTTTGAACATCTTTGCATTTTTAGTAGACTAAAACCATTTTTTTTCCCCAAACAAAACAGAGTTATTTTTATTTTTGGAAAATGAAAAGTAATCAAAAATAAGAAAGTTTTCAGTGGATGACAAATTTCTCTAAACAGACTCTCTTTACTAGTGAAATCCCATAATCCCATTTTATTGATGTAGATTGTTTTCCAATATGATTCAAAAATAAAAACTAAGAGAGTCTGGTGTACTTATTATTGAATAACATTGATTTTAATAGAGAATAAGGTCTGGTGTTCTTATAGTATAATGTTATTCAACTAAGATTTTATCTATTCATTATTCAAAATTAAAATTAATATATATAATCTAAATATAGCACTATTTTAAAAAAATTACTGATTAGTAATAAATTATGTTTGGATATCATGTAAAAATTCTATAATAAATTCATTAGCTCTGTTCTCTACATAAATATTTTCTTCCAAATAAATCGAAATGTTTTAAGAGCAACAAAAACTCTACTATAAATAGGCAAGGCATTTTTAATTATAGATATCTCATGACTTTATATAGCATACGTTACTCTTTTGTTAAAGCACACTTAATTACCAAAATTGTTTTCTTTTTGGGGGGTCAAATACATCTCCCAAATGGCCAAATCCAAATTAAAAAACATCCAAAACGAAACATAGAAAAAGAAAAAGGCGTACTATATAACGTGTCTCGTATTCCCTCTTAAAACCCTGAAGATCTCTCTTTTCTTGCTAACGTGACTCTCTCTCTCTCTCTCCCTCCCTCCCTCATCTCTCTCCATCGATCGCTCTTTATATATTTCTTTCCCCGTCGCCAAAATGGTGAACGTGTGGGGTTTAGTGGCGATTCTGCTTTTTGTTCTGGCCCCAAATGTGTCGTCGTATGATCGGCCGGGCCCTCGGAAAAATTTAGTGATTCATCGGTCTGACGACGACGATAGCTCCCCGGATCAGGTATTTACATTCAACTCTATATTTACGTTTATAGTTCGTTAGTACAATTTTGACACGACAAATCTCAAGATTTTCTGTCTTTCACTCTTCTATGTTGCTCGTATGGTATTTTAATAATCTTCTTCTGTTTCTTATATATGTATAATGATGTTTTTTTTTTTTTACTTTTCTTAACAAAATTGTGAATTTACAACGATATATACACTGTACACCGATATGTTTTTCGAACCGACACTGTACTCAGAGCCGTGCTTACCTTGTATTGAAAAAGGCATTTGCCAGAGGTCCCCACATTATATAGAGTTCAGAGGCCCCCATTTCCCAAAACACAATGTATCAAAGTGGTTTTAGTGGGTCTGTTAAAGCTATACTAACCCGAGTTCGAACCTAGAAATGCCCATTTTTTCTTTTGAATTAAGATTCTCTAAAAATTCCTACCGCACGATCCATCTTTCTCCTTCTCTCACCAGCGAATATCTTATGCTATATACATATTGTTTTTTATTTTTCTTTTCTTTTTGTATTATTCCTTTTTTTGCCATTTTTTGTAGTTTTACATAACAAAAAAATATTAAAAACATCCCATTTTAAAATTTTGCCTTGAGCCCGTAAACACCTTCGCACGGCACTGACTGTACTCGCACATTTTCTAATATCGTAACGTCGATTGAAGACATTTTGTTGACATTTTCCTACGAAACAAAACAAAAGTTTTTCTTGAAAAAAACTAAGTACCTTACCTTAGTTGCCGCTATATTTATTAGCTGTGCCAAGGAAGCATCCCCTCTAGGTAACAAACAAATTTCGTCAAATCAAATTAAACTTTGTTTCCACAGTATGTAGTCAAAAACAGTACATGAGTGCCATGTGAACGTATTTCCAATGTTAGCACGTGTCCGATGAAGGCACGGCAACTTTCACCCACTTTTAGTTTTATGTCTTCTGTTCTGTCTGTTAGATCTTCCGTCACTCATCTGTTTTGCTTGTACGTTTTGTACTTTCCTAATTTTCTCTGGTTTAATTAAATATTTTTAAACATTTTGAATTTTCGCTAATTTTGTTTGTTTGTTCTAAGGTACTATAACAATTTGCTGAGGTTAATTCCAAATGTAATTTTCAGGTGCATATATCTTTGGTTGGACCCGACAAAATGCGAATATCATGGATAACGAAACTTTCAATCATGCCGACTGTTGTATATGGCATGGTGTCTAGAAAATACGAAAACTCTGCCAATGGAACGTCGTCGTCGTACCACTACTTGAAAATTTATCAATCGGGCCAGATTAACGACGTAGTTATTGGCCCATTAAAACCCAATACAGTTTATTATTACAAATGTGGAGGTACATTTTCAACACAAGAGTTCAACTTCAAGACGCCTCCCTCTCAGTTCCCAATCAAATTCGCTGTGGCTGGTACACTACACATTCCATTTTCCCTCAATTCATTTGATATACAAAAATATTGTCATTTCATAAATTATGTTTTGTAGCTCAATTCTGTTATTGTTCTTGGAAATTGATTAAAAATTAAGGTGACCTTGGAACAACTGAATGGACTAAATCAACGCTGGACCATTTATCAAAATGGGAACATGACGTTTTTGTCTTGCCTGGAGATCTGGCGTACGCTGATTTTATGCAACCTAGGTGGGACACATTTGGTCGCTTGGTGCAGCCACTTGCAAGCCGAAGACCTTGGATGGTCACTCAAGGCAACCACGAAGTCGAACACATTCCTCTCTTGCATCCTGAAAGGTTCACCGCCTATAACCACAGGTACATTTTTTTTTTATCTCATTCATCTATGATCCAACAAATCAACTTAGTTATGGTTTACACGCTACATGAAAAATAAATAGAAAATGATATTTTCGGCTAAATATTATTGTCATAAGGAGATTTTTTTAATGAAAACTAATACTTGTCACACATAAAAATATGCATTTGTATTACTTTTAGCAATTAGAAATGGAAAGTTTGTAAATGCAGATAACATATAAAGGTTTATAATTTTTTTTATTTGATGCAAAAAGGTTTATTGTTTTTTTTTTCTTGGATAATTTTTTTTTTTTATCAACTAAATCATTTCATTAACTTCCAACCACAAACTTGATAATTTTTTATTTATTAAATATTTATGTAAGTTATCGATATATAATTTGATATACACATGGCAGGTGGCGCATGCCATTTGAAGAGAGTGGCTCGACCTCGAACTTGTACTATTCCTTCAACGTTTTTGGAGTCCACGTTATAATGTTGGGCTCATACACCAATTTCGAGCCTGGCTCGGATCAGTACCAATGGTTAGAAAAGGATCTCAAAAGCATCAATCGTAAGGCCACACCATGGTTGATGGCTGTGATACACGCGCCGTGGTACAACACCAATGAAGCTCACCAAGGAGAGAAAGAGAGTGATGATATGAAAAGTTCCATGGAGACTCTTCTTTATAAAGCTCGTATCGATGTGGTTTTCGCCGGTCACGTCCATGCTTACGAGCGATTCGTAAGTCTAGTAGCTGGTTTCATTATTTTCTTATTTAGAAAAGAAAACAAAAATTCAGCTAATGAATTTGGAGTAGCTAATTTTGTGGAGTTATTTGACAGAATCGGGTGTACCAAGATAAGTTCGACAAATGTGGTCCGGTTTATATTAACATAGGGGATGGTGGAAATGAAGAAGGCCTTGCTACAGAGTGAGATCAGCTTCAACTAATGCTTTTGAAAAAAAAATTAAAATTAGTGACATTTAATTTAATGATTTTGATGATATTTATAACTTATATATAGGTATAAAACTCCAAATCCTGCAATATCTTTGTTTAGAGAAGCAAGTTTTGGGCATGGTCAACTGGTGGTCATGAATGCGACTCATGCACATTGGGACTGGCAGAGGAACGACGATGATGTGTCGGTAGAAAAGGATTCGGTTTGGTTAACCAATCTCTTAGCCGATTCATCCTGTAAGATTTAGACCGGCTCGAGTCGTGTTTTTAAATATTGTTAGGACTTGTGCCTTGATCGTTGATTTATGTTTAATGTCAAATGTGGTATTGACAACAAGAACTCAGAAATATTATAGTATAATTGAGTATTGACAACAATATCAAAATGTTCTACTACAGAACCAATAAAATAGTTTTCTTGACTTTTTTTTTTGTAGCTTTTCACGTTCTTATCATCACGTTTCTATATTTGGGGTTTGTTGAACAATTTAATGGGTTTTAATATAATATGATACTATTTCACAAACATGTCAACGTTTAACCTAATATGATATTTTCACAATCCTACTATCCATCGTTAATTTTTTTCCAGAATCTATTTAGTCCTTTGTTCAAGTTCTAACCCCCGAAATTTTCTTTAAGTATTCTGTATTTATGTTAAAAGGTAAGATCTGCTATGATGATGTTTGCATGCATTCTAATATGAACGCACTTTAAACCTTATTATGGAGGTGACCTCAATTAAAGATATAAAGTTCAAAAGACAAAAGGTTAGATTAGCAAAAGGGAAGAATATAATAAAAATATGTCACAAAAGGGATATATAGTTTCTCCGAACTGTAATCTAATTAATATTCTCTACCAAAAACATAAATACTATAGGTGTAACCAGAGACCTTACATTTGAAATTTGATTTGTAAAGAAGTATTAATAGATTTTATAGTTTATATATAAACCGACATCAAACCAAAAAACAAAACTTGGATTTGATGCCTAGTTTTAACCGGGAGAAGAAACCAATGAGAGGCAAAAACGCCATTTCACAAACAGACGCCAGCAAGAGATGAAGAAGATATCATTGCCTTTGGTGTAAGCAAGTGCACCCACTCTTTAGTTCCATTTCAAGACACACCTACTAATTACTGATTGTGTTTCAGTTTTGTTTAACTTCTAAACTTCTCTACGAACCTTTTACAAAAAAAAAAAAAAAAAAAAAAAAAAATGAACTACTGGAATTTATTCCGTGGAAAGAGATTAAATGAAGCCGTACAAGATACACAAGGAAAAGTTTTATTTATTTATAATAAACGTGAAATTGTAGTCATTTTGTTTTGAAAAATTTAAGGGCAAAGGAACAACGAGTTATAGACGGAAACATGTGAATTCTACGGGAAAGAAATCATCCAAACACACAACTACCTTACTGTTTATATGATGTTTCACGTTCTACAACACTTATGATCCATGGTTATTTTTCAAGGTTTTGTGGCTCCAAAGTCCATACACTCTTCATCTTCATTATTATTTGTTTTTTGTTTTTTCACCCGTCATAATTACTTCCATCTTTATCTAAATAAGGAATGCAATCAAGGAGGGAAAAAAAATAATTATCTTTCAACCAAGAAGATGGATTTTGGAAATTGTAATTTGTAAGGTGCTGCCAGTGAGTGAAGAGGAGGATATCAAAAGATTCTTTCATTACAACTTTTTTGGACGAACATATTTGAGTTTATCTACACTACAAATGGTTCATGCAATTTATACAAATTTGATACTAAGATGTAGTGAATGATTACTATTCGACAATATGTAAAACTAAAATTATGGTTGAGTGTAATACTGAGTAAACCAATATTGAGCAAACCGGGAAACAAGAGTAGGAAAGAGAGCATTTAAAAATGGTCCAAAACGGTTGAAATTGAATCATGAAGGATGATGGTTCGAACCAATCTTTACCATCATTGCGAATCTTTAGAGGTCGATGGCCTTCTACTACATAGCCCCCTCATAACACAATGACGAAATTACCCTCCAGTGACCACTTCCTCCATATTACCAGAATACCCTCGGGCTAGTTGTTATTTTCCACGAATCTTCTTCTGTTTAGAGGATCAATACGATGAAGAGCTTGTGGTTTAGGGAGGATCTTTAGAAAATTACGAGTGTATCCCTAGAGATCAATTTCGAAAGAAGAGCAAGCAAGAAACTCCTTTCTCTCTCTCTAACTTCTTTCTCTTTAATAAATCATCATCATTCACATGACGCAATATGCACACATCTTCTCTCTCTCTCTCTCTCTCTCTCTCTCTCTCTTCTCGCGGCCGCCATCTATGCATAAACACAACACAATGCATGATTGTTGTGTCAGGAGTGAGAGAAGGTTCTTTCTCTCTCTAGCTTTTGGGGATCTATATAACAGACAGTGTCTCACTTTGTTCTCTTTGTCCCTCTACCTTCCACATACACAGTAGCGTCTCTCTCTCTCTCTCTGCTTCTCAACACTCCTTCCCAAAAGGTATAACCTTTCTTCTATCTCTCTTTTAGCATCTTCTAGAACGTTTACCTGAGTTCTGTTACCGAAACTGATGTTCTAAAAAATGGGTTTTTCTCTATATGCTCTGTTTGTTTCTCTGTTTCTGTTTCTCTTTCGTGCTCTGTTTCGCTGCTCTGCTTTTTTTCCCCTCTTGCTCTGTTTATATTCCTGTTTGTGGTTTACGTTTAAGTCAAGAACTTTGTAGTAACGTCGTCACACGTACAAGCAACGTGAGGACAAATTCATTATATCCTTCATTTTTAAAATGGAAACTTTATTTTATCTTTTATTTTTCTTCAATGATGAAAAGTTTAAATCTTTATCCTTTTCTTTGAGGCAGAGGCAACCGAAAGAACAAAAAAATGAGTTCGATATTTTTTTTCCTTTCATGTTCCGAAACTAGTTTGATTTCTTTTATAGTTTGTATTTATACGACGTTCACGATCTTTGTTTTGTTGCTTACTCTGTTTTCTTTCTTTCTTGCTTGGTTGCGTTTCGAATATAATCATTACTCTCTCTGTCCATAGGAAAGAAAAAATTAAAAGCAGAGAAGTTAAAACATTTATAATTACTGCATATCATCATGATTACTTGTTTTTATCTCTTTTCATTCATTTTTTTCTTCTTTTCTTAGCTTTATCTTTTTATCCTCCATACGAATTATAATCATGTTCTTCTCTCTTTGATCATTGATTTCTTTAAAAGAAGAAAAAAATTCACATTTTTAGGACGAAAACGAAATAAATGCGTCAAATAATTTCCCCTAATGTAATTCACATCCGACGTGTGAAGCTGCACAACCCATGTGTGATGTAATGATTTAACATGAACAATCATCATAACACAAGCTAGCTTTGATATTATTATTACACTCTTTTGTCTTTTTATTTTATCAATAATTCTGTTTTTTTTTTCTTTGTGAAGAAAGAAAGCAAACAATGGAGAGGCTAAACTCGAAGCTGTTTGTTGAAAACATCTACATAATGAGTGAGAACGAGAGGCTGAGGAAGAAAGCTGAGCTTCTGAAACAAGAGAATCAACAGCTTATGTTTCAACTCAAACAGAAACTCTCCAAAACTAAGAAGAACCCTAATGGATCAAACAATGACACCAATCTCTGCTCTTCGAGCTCTGCTTCTGGACAATCCTGATTTAACTCAAGAGATGTTAGAGCCAAGATATGGAGTTGCTAGAAAGAAGAAAAAAGACTCAACCTTCGGATTTATTTTATTTTATCTTGTTTGGTGTAATGTAGGAAGATAGTAGTATCCAGTAGTTTTTAATATTATGGAAGATTCTGTTTTATTACAAGAAGACAGTATCTCTCTGTTAGTCTTCTCAGTCATGTTTTACTTTTGTTTCTATTTTCTATGTTAATTAAAGTTCTTCTATGCTTTCTTGTGTGGGGTTTGGGTTTTAGGATATGGTTGATTCTTGGACTAACATTGTACCTCTACTCTACTTATTAAATATTTTGTCATGTCCATATCTATCCATTAATTTATCAAATACACTGGGACAATTTTATTCAACTTTGATAAACAAAAAAAAGGCATGTATCCTCCAGTATTATTGATATATCATCTCAACTTAACAATAACTTATGCCCAAACAAAATATATAACCATTTTCTCCATCGTAATTTGCCAAGTCTTTGGAAGTTAAAATCTTTGGATTGATGCAATAATTCTGCAAAATGATTTTACATTTTATTAGGTTTCACTTACTAATTATTTTAAGGATGTTGAGAATATATGAGGAAGAACGTTAATGGAGTACTAGTGTAGACTACAATGTGTTTGTAGCAATTCAAGTCACGTGATGAAAGTTGTATCCTATAACACCCTAAATTTTAAAGGATTTAATAATCAAGCCATGTGCATCTGAACATTTTAATAATCATATGGTTTCAAATTCAAACAAAATTTCACGATGGTCACATATCTACATATACGTAAATCATTTATCTTCAACAATAATACTGGATAAAAATTGGCAGATAGAATAATATCGGAATATCATGCATAACCAAACTTAATTACATATTATGTTAAAGTAAAGTAATAATTATGTTTTATGCTCATAATGGTAAGGCATATTTATACGCATTTTTCAAATTGAATAAAATATTATAATATGCCCGAAAATGTACCGTAGATGTTTGCCCCCAAATTTATAGTACTTTAAAAATATTTTAAATAACAGTATGAAATATACGTTTTTTTCTTACTTTAAAGTCTAAACAAAAAAGCAATGAGATTCAAGCGGCTCTGCCTACTGTGCAGAGAGATGAGACAAGGGGCTTTTCATTCGGATTCTATGTGACGTCATCAAGCCACAAATTATTAGTCAAACGACTATTCATTTTTGTTTGAAAACGTAACTACGAGTTCTGGTCTTATTGACTTATTTTTTTCTGTCTACTCGTACATCCTAAACATCAACTCAACGCATTTAACTTTTTTTTCCCATTCCATTTTAAATATCACGAGACCTTTTATGAAGAATTTTTAAAAGGTTTAAAATTAGACTACAAAGTACAAACGGATTAATGATGGGGCAGGTAATACACAAATCCTTTATAAAAAACTAAAAAAGTAATCATAAGTACTCCCACAAATAACTTGTAAAACACCTGCAAGTGTAGTAGATGATAACGAAAAACTATAAGTAATAAGTCGGAAAACTAGACAAGTAATTTGTAGATAGACATTTTTTTGCAAATATTTAAAAATTCGGATATCCATTTAAATGCATATCAAAGAGTGTTAAGACAAAAACAGCTAGAGAAACAAGAAAAATGTCGTATCAAACTCAAGTGCGTGTATGAAAATTAGATTGAGACGAAGAACCATCATGATATAATTGGCCAAAATGAATCATCATATTATGTCATAAAACAAGGCAAACTCGAAGTCAACTTTGAAATCTCAATTTTAGAGATGTCCGATTTATGATTACCCCAAATCTCTTTGGAAGACCATGCAAGGCATCATCATCTGACGTCAGAATTAATTATGGACCTCCGGTTTTCAATTTCTATAATCATTGTTCTGCTCACTTCTTATTTATGAGGCCTAGACCTTATACGGACAATATCATGTTATAGGGTTTGAGTCACGATGTGTAATATCTTTGACCCTTAACTTTGGCAATTATATTTTGGATTGGTTCCTCTCTAACGTTACTCTTCGGAGTGAAACTACCATTTAGCACTACATGTATATCAGTATATGTCGTGTAGTACATTATATGTATCACAAAATGAACAACAAAACAATGTTAATTACCTTAATTTCACTCTTCACTTAAACATGTTATTAAAAACGTGTTATTCGTTTATTAAATAAAACATCTATTCCCTTGTAGAATTACAAAGCCTTTTTAGCATCTTTGTCCTGGTAATACAATTAAACAAAAGTGTTTGATGTTTAATACTATTCCGTAGCTACAAATAATTTGTTTCAAGGTTGTCCATTGTTAGTGAGTAATATATTCCTTCAAACTTTTTGAGCAACTCAAACCAATATAGATTTTGCTATTGGTGTAGTGATCTATAACTCTTTTTCTTTGAGATCAAATGCTACTAGCAAGCTTGCTAAATTCTTGACTGTACCTTGAAAACATAAGATATACTGCCAAAGAAAAAATATCATCAGCAAATTCACATTCCATTGTACTTTTGATGCACATATGTTGTTTAATGAGTTTCATAAACATGAATATCAATAAGTTATAACATAAAGATTATGAAACCATTATGATTAACCATAGTAAGTTCCCAACAATTACAATAAAAAACGCCATTGTTAGTTTACAAAGGTCTCTTCACATGATCATTGTAGTGATAGATGTTGATAATTGAGAGCCAGACGATGATTATACCTCAGACTCAGATTCAGATGAAGGATGATTATGAGAAGAGAGAAGAGATATTCATGAACAAAAATATCAATCAACAATCAGAAACACTCATAATTGTCCATAGGTTCGGCTTATCAATATGTTTCGATTAACAACAGCAAACAATTTCTTAAAAATAGGTAACATATATTTTCCTTCGTGAGTGTTTCACAAGTTGAATAGAAAGCGAAAAAAGCCATATCGATTGATGAGAACCCTAAATAATTTTATTTTAATGTAATTAAATTATATGTTTAAATTTCAGTTTTAGTAAAAGAGTTTTAACCAATAAGATTGAGACACATCATCATGAGAGGTTCTCATGGTATCTTAAATATCTCAAATGAGAACCCATTCATATTTCTCTTTTGCTGAGAATCCCTTGATAAGATGATAATCCATTCATAGAGTTTGTTGATAATCTCAAATGATAATCCATGGAATCTTATATATGTCAAATGATAATCCATTCATAGGGTTTGTTGTATGAAGAAAATGACGAAAGGGCCTCACTCTTTGCTCTGATCTCTGGATTATTAAAAATGCTCTCACGAAAACCGAGTGCCATAACATTTAATTTTTTAAAATTTTATTTCAAGTACTTGAATCAGAGATCTCAAAATTTTTGTTGACAAAGGATTTCACAGTTCAACCGGTAGTTTTCCCCTCCGGTGGATCTCCGGACTTATATTAATTCTTATATAAACACACGTCCTGTTATTTTGTATTATGTTTGCTATAGATGTAAATATATAGTTTTTAAATTCATTTATTCTTTTTAAAATAACCTATGAAATTAAACCTGTAATGAAATATGTACACTAATAACTTCAACTTAATCAGAAAGACAAGTTTCTTTATCGGGTCAAAAAGGAACCAAAGCATGTGTAGAGTAGGACGTGAGCGGTGAAGTGCAGTAGCTCTCGTGTCTCGTCTTAACGTCTCTTGTTCTCAAGCCTCCAGATTAACCATCATACACAAATTCCCCACATTATCACGCGCTTGTTCCACTTCCAGCTCCTTATGTGGATCCGCAAAACTCCTAAGTCCCATTGATGTCATAATGTAGCAACCTGACACAATCAAATTCTCATTAATGTTTATAACCATCACACAAACTCACTCGGTTCATACAACTTTCAAGAGTTCTTGCTCTCAAAAGCATATGCACATCTTCCTAATAGTGTGTTATTTTTTTGTAATGTAATGGAAATACACTTGCTACCTTTGGGAAAAGAACCGTAAGATTTGTCACAGCCTTGCTTAATGATCTCAACATCACTAGAAAGAAGAAGATTTCCTTCAACATCAGTACCCCAGTAGAATGGAAGACCAGTGTCAGCACCAACATCCTAGAAACAATTTACAATCAAACCCATAAGCTTGAAATAATACAAACTGTAAGTGTCATCAAATTGAGCAAAAGAAGGGATTCTGGATTTACAGTAGCAGCAAACATGATGTTCTTCCGGGCATCGAAGAGTACAAACGCGAAATTTCCCCGGAACCCTTTGAGTAAGCTAAACCAATAAAACTGTCGTATTGTTTTCTGGCTTTTTGGTTCTGGGCCATCATCACCATCACGGCGACGTTGCGTAATGTAAGCATCGATTAAAATGTTTGCCTGGTCATTGATCTCTTTCTTCACTTTGTATACCGTTAGCCTGTCGGGAATGTTCTCAATGCGGCCTCGCAAGAAACAGAAAATGTCGTCCTTCATGGCAAACACGCTGCCAAGAAACCAAAGTTTTTAGCTCATTCAAGCAACCAACTAAAGAAAAATCGAAAACTGAAATTCACTCAATCAATCCTCTTTTAATATTCAAAATAATCCTTAGAACTTATATAATTTAACAGCAACGTAATTTGCCAAGAACTGATGAATAGTTTACTTCCACAACAAGTAAAATAAGTCACCATAGTTAATAAGAGATTGTTCAACCTCATCGATAAATTCAAGAAAATAACAAAAACGAAACAGAAATCCACAGAAAATCGAAATCATATGTTTAGATATACGAATTGGGTTTTCTGCATGGTATCAGATTTATGAATGAGCTAAAAATTACGAGTGTTCCAATAGAACTCCTTTGTAAACCTAATCAAACTCAAACCAAACATATACTCCCATAGAAATTCTAAAATCAAGGATATAATTAAGAACCGTGAGAAAAAACATAAACCCTTGGAATCATAATCCATATAAACATATCTTGCACTAAGAAAGGGTCCATAAGTATTACCTCGGACTAATCGGATCCCTAACGTCCGTTTTACTACAGATCATACACGCAGGTCGTCGATCAATCTCTATGGAACCTGGATATTTCGAAGCGAAGTAACTCGACAAACACTCGTCTTTAAGTGCAGAAACCGACTCAGCCGTGTGCAATTCCAGCCCCTCCGGCTTGGGGATAGTCGCCACCGTCTTATCAAAAATTGCCAGCATTTTGTTTCTAGTATTCCCGATGAACAAATCCTCGAGAGAAAGCAAGTGTTGCACAAGGAAAACCAGAGAAGCGTAATTAACCGGCAAAGTAATTTACTGTATAGTGGTAAATTTTGTTTTCTTTTTTGCAAATTATTAACTAAATAATAAAAAGGATAAACTGTTGATTTTCTATTTTTCTAAACTCTTTGTTATCTCTTACGGCTTTTAACATTCATTCGCCTATCTTTTTGCTATCTAATCACAAAGTGATATTCGGTTTTAAATTGGATTGATAGGGAGAAGCTGGCCATCAAGCGTTTGGAGCGTTTTTGATCGATAAAACTGGGAAGGCATAAACCCTAAAGGATTTTACCAGCAGCCTAACGCACATTGTCTCTATCAACACGACAATGGAGTATGTTTCCTTGTTTATATATGTTCATACATGCTTCCCGTTACGAATAGATCTATATGGTTTCTTAACTGCAAGCTATAAATTAATGGATTTTTTGAATTTGATCTATGTGATTTCTCTTAATTTTTTTTTATTCATATGATTTTAGTGGTGAAAGATTGAGAACGAGAGGTATCCTGAAAGGGGATAGGATCAGTGAGTTACCAGACGCTTTGCTTCTGCAGATATTGTCTTTACTCCAAGCAAAAGATGTCATAGACACAAGTGTTTTGTCTAAGCGATATCAGTTTCTTTGGAAGATGGTACCGAAACTCGAGTTTGAAACTCACAGTAAGAACGTAAATAGCTTTTTTGAGAGTGTTGGCAGGTCTTTGCTTTCACACAAAGCTCCAATTTTGGAGAGTTTGCATCTCAAAGTTTTTCATAAATGTGATGCTGTGGACATTGGAATATGGACTGGAATAGCATTTGCACGCCATGTGCGTGAACTAGAGCTCGATGTTTCATTTAGAGAGCTCGTCAGATTTCCGAGTAGCTTGCTTATCTCCAATACACTCGAGACCTTGAAACTCAACTGTTCCGTTCTTGTAGATGTTTCTTCAACAGTTTGCATGAAGTCCCTTAGAACTCTTCACCTTAAATCTGCTGTGAGGTACAAAGACGATGAATCTGTTCGTAACCTTTTATCTGGCTGCCCTAACCTTGAAAACCTGCTCGTTCATCGACCTTACAATAACGTTGTAGTGAATTTCAATATTGTGGTGCCATCCTTGAAGACACTATCGATCAGAGATTTCACTAGTGAACAAAAGAATGGGGGCTATGTGATAAACACTCCTTCTTTGAAGTTTTTGAGTATTGAAAGATTAAAAGGTTATAAGTTTTGTTTGACCGAGGATGCGTCCGAGTTGGTTGAGGCAAATATTAGTAACGTTTCAGATATAGCCGATGAGAATATTTTTGGATCTCTCAAGTCAGCCAAACGTCTTTCATTAGGCTTATCACCTATGGAGGTAACTTTTCTCATCGCAGTTGATTTAAGAGTTGTTTTTTTTCTTTTCTTTTCTGTATACTAATCATTGTCTCATGAATAGATTGCATATCCCACTGGAGTTATCTTCAGCCAGCTTGTTTACTTAGAGATTGATACACATAGAGCGGAGTGGTGGAATCTACTTACCTTCATGCTCGAGAATTCTCCTAAACTACAAGTCCTCAAGCTCAATGATGTAAGATATTTTATTACTAGTAAGCTAGCTATACATAATGGTCTAGTACGTTGGTCTTATTATATTACTAAACCCCTTGTTTGTCTCGTGTGGGTCATTAGAAAAGTCTGCGTTCAAATGAAAATATTATGGTTGGGGGGAAATGGAATCAACCGGAGTATGTCCCTGAATGTTTGTTGTCCCATCTCCGAACATTTTTGTGGACAAGATACGATTGTGAAAGAGAAGAAGAGAAAGAAGTGGCTACTTACATTTTAAGGAACGCAAAACAGTTGAAGAAGGCAACTTTCTCCGCGAGGCCCATTCAGTCCAAAGAGCTCAACAAGTTGGAACAGAGATGTGAGATGCTCAAGGAGTTGGAAGGTATGGTTAGGGCTTCAAATTCATGCCACATCATTGTGTCCGAATGATCTAGTTACTAATTAGGCTCTTCTTGTCACATGGAGCTTTTACTATATGATGATGTTAAATTCATTGGTTTGTAGAGTAATTTATACTTGTTTTGGATTCCGAATATCTACGAGTGGCCATTAGTAAGTAATATAATTTTGGGTTTTTAGTGATTGTCAATGGAAAGATCAAAACACGAATCATTGAGTAAGAGTACTAATATTGTATGGTCATCTGTTTTCATAATATTATGACACCTGTCCTCCCTTCTAAACTTAAAAATGTTTTGTTCACCAAATTATTTTCAACTTCAGTCAAAGACTCTCTCTTCCCTTATTTATCGTCTCTAACGTCTCTGCTCTCTCTGCTCAGAAATTTCTCTTCCCTCAATTTCGAACATTCTCACACCAAGTTTGCAAAATACTGAAAGCCCTAAAAGCTCTCGCTCGCTCTCTCTCTCTCTAGCTCACTCTCCAGCTCTTCTCTTCCTGCTCTGTATTCCTACATACCGAAAGTTTTCGAAAATGTATGTGCGCGTTAACGCCGAGGTTCTCAGCAAATCGGCGGCGCTTCATATTACAATCAACGCCGCTAATGGTTTGCAGGATGCACTGACGTCGAATCTCGGTCCTAAGGGAACAATCACGACGAATTGTCTCTTCCTATTTTGTATACTCTTCATCACCTTCGTTTTCCCAATGTATGCTTTTCGTTCCCTTATATACACCCTCCGATATATTTTTGCTCACTCGGATCTATTTGGGTTAGGTTGAAAAAGATTGAATTTTAGTGTCATTTACTGATTTACATGGTCAATGTAGTAGATTCGTTTAGTGTTGAAAAAGATTGATTTTTTTTTTTTTTTTTTGCATTTAAGAATGAAGGAGATTCTCTTTATTGTACTATGTTTTAGTTGAGTGAATCTTTTGAAGTCTTTGGCATAGCATGATGGGTTCTTAATTGTTCAAAGTTCTGAAATTTAAGTGATTTCAGGTACAATGCATAAACCGACAGATGTGGCGTATGAACCCTCATCCGAGTCCTCGCGTATGCTTTCTCCTACCTTATTTCTTGTTATACATTTTCTCATTCGAGTGTGCATTATACTATATGGTTACGAAACAGTAGAATTTACTAGCGACTGGGAGCTACATTCGTTTACAAAATTGGAATTGAGTAGTGTACTTAGCTCTTTTGCTCCCTAGCTTTTTAATTTCCAAGTAGGACTTCTGACACTTTTGATGAGTGCGCTTAGTAAAAGTTTGAAATTCTCAATGGAATCTATGTTTGCTACTTGAGATGAAGGAGAAAATAAGATTTAGTACAAGTTTGGAAGTCATAGGGAAAATGTACTATTTGAGATGAACGAGAGGCGTAATTTGAGTTCATTTAATCTTGTTCATTCACGATCTAAACAAGGGGGTTTGTGGGGGTCAAGTTACAAAAAGAAGAAAAGATTGTCACATAATTTATTTTTAGATTCTGACTACGCCTTACTGGCTTTGATTCAGTTCTTCCATGAAAACTTGACTAACAAAAACATTTGGTTTGAATCTCATTGCAAGGAGACATTTCAGCCTCACACTATTTCAGGGAAAAAAACCACTTCTTCATTTGAATGATTTTTCTTTTTAAAACTGTTAACTAAATGTGATGGTAAGGAAGGTATTGTTTCTTAAAGGCAACTGGATATCTTGACTGTGCCGATAAGAACGTTCTCCCTCAGTTTTCTTCTGAGCAAAGGGTTATAGATGACAAAGTTTCTAATGTCGAACAAACCTTGTTTTTGTATTTCTGCAGGAGAAGTTTTTGATCTAGCGGGAGGAGTTCTATGGGCTATCTGCTTGCAAACACTAGGCCAGGTAAAACCTCTGTTTTAATGGATATGGTTAAGTTATTAATGGCATCTTCCGTTACTCTGAGTATGTTGATGGATACAAGTGGTTTCCTTCTCTCGTTTAAGTGATTTGAGGGTGTTGATATCCAACTTGGCATGGCGATTGATAGCTCTAAGGCCACACTCTTGCAGTAAAACATTCTTTACTGGTGAAATATTGGCAGCAGGTAAATTCTTGACTGTTTATGATTTTTCCGATTGTATGTCTTAAGTGGTTTTCCGCTTTGACTATCAAGTAGCAAACATCAGATTTTGTTAATGCTTTCTTTTCCTTACTTGTGTGCACTGAAATAGGCAAAAGATAATTTAATGAATCGTCCATTAGCAAATGGTTGGGGAGAAAAGCATAGCCTTTTTGTTAAGTGGAAGTATGTTGAATCTAAGGTAATATTTGGTGACTCTCTCACTTCTTGCATTATGTAAACGTGTCTGGTCCTTTTCAGTTATTTTCGTGAGCACATAGGCTGCTTTTTTGGTCTGCGCTTCGTTGTAACATCGATGTTGCTGTAAGATACACAGCATCATGTTTTGAGAACCATGAGGCTTTTAACAGAGCCTATCTCTTGACATGAGCTGAAATGCAATAGGCGATTTCTAATGTCGTCATATTCTGAAATATTTTGGATCAGGCTTTGATTCTTGATGAAGGGAACACAGAGAAATCACATGGCATGGCAGTTGCTGCTTTACAAGCTGCAGATGAATGTTTCAAAGAAAGTAAGAAAGCATCCGAAAGTCAGATAAACCGTGATCTATATACTCTTATGAAAAGTAAGTATGATATTATTGGACTTTTAAGGTTTTTTCTTCCTAGTTGGATCAAATATTTAAGTTTAATACCAAACTTGATTCTATGTTTTTCAGACGGTGGAGGTGTAACGGATGCAACAAAGTAAGTAAAGTTCTCTCTGCTTTTATATTGGATTAAAGACTCAAATGACGTGTTTAAAGAGTGTATTGCTGATTGCTTTTCTTCGTCTCTTCAGAAATGAGCTCTTAAGAGCAACAACACATATCAGATTTGAGGAAATCAAGAAGGACTTAACCACAGCGATTAGCTAATGGTTTTGGCCCTCATTCTGTTTCTGATCTCCAACATTTTCCTGATAGATTCCTTTTCGTGGTGTTTCACTTTCTTGCAATTGTGTTCCAGACTCCAGTCAAACTCAGCGTTGGAGCAAAACAGAATGAAAGTTCAAACTCTGCAGGAAAGAAACCGGTGGTTGTTGTTAAATCAGAATTGAGTATACTTTTTCTGATGTCTCATCAGCTGACAGCTGCCCCTCTCCATTCCTCTGTTTTGAAAAGATGGAGGAGTATTGTTAGTGACATTAACTTTTTTGATCTTACATTTGGATAATAAGAAGTTTGACAGTCGTAACTTTGATCTTTGATATCGTACTAACAAACATTGTAGCAGTGGAAATTGAATAATTTGTAATGTGGAAATTGAAAATCTACATTTTCTTCAATAATATTTCATTATCATTTCCTGGGAACCTCTGTACAAGTCTCAGTTCAACATACATGAGAAAAAAAATATAGTTTGTCTATCAGTTAAAGAGGAGCTAAACTCATTTAACTCTGAGATTACAAAGACTGATGAATCAAAAACTTGGGTAAGAAAAAAAAAGAATTCAGTTGCTTCCATGCGAGCTCTCTCCACCATCTTGGAACATTTCGTCATCTTCAATTAGAAACATCTCGTCTTCAAACATGTCCAGCATGCTCTCCGGATCTGCCATTATCTCAGGGGCATCCAACATTCTCAGCCCAGGGCCTTCTTTGGAGTTTAGGTAGCAACCTGTGAAATCACAATTGAGTGAGATTGAAACTAAGAGGTAAGAAGTTTTTACCTTTGGGAAAACAACCGCATGATCTCTTGACGACTTCTCTGTCATTGGTGAGGATTAAGTTTTGTTCACCATCTATTCCCCAAAAAAAAATTGAGTCCCGTATGAGCATTCTTGTCAGGAGCCGCAAAAACTGTTTTCTCAAGATGATCATACACCATAAACGCGTAATTTCCTTCAATCTCTCTGAGAATTTGAGACCAAAATGCAGTGTTTCCTTGTCTCGTAGATCTATAACCATCGATGAGTATTACTGGCTCTGCTTCTTCTTCGTTGATGTCCATGTCTTCCAAGCTTCCCAAGTTATCAATCTTTCCTTGAAAGATACAAAAGATGTCGTCTTTTGCAGCAAAAAGACTGCATAAGAACAGAATCATCAATGTTAACCGTCATGATCATTAGGTTGGCTTATGATTATCAAAGATTATGAAACTTGATTATCAATAAGCTCCAAATATCATCAATCAGAAATAGGGTTCTGGTTCTGATTATCAGCAGGTTATAATATCAACATCATATGATTATCAACAAGCTCCAAAAATCATCAACCGTAAATAGTCATGATCATCAAGAGGTTCCGATTATCACTAATATCAAAGATTATGAAACTACATGATTATCAACAGCAAGTTCCAAAAATTAGATTCAGAAACGAGATCAAGTAAGTGATCATGAACTGTTTATGCAACAGAATCGAGAAAGAGAATTTACCGTGGAATTGTTGGTTCCAGATTATTGGGCGTAGCACGAAGATAACACGAAGGCCTCATGTCAATGGCGAATGATTCTGGAAAATTTTCCGCAAAGAACTTCACAAGATCGTCATCTTCAATGGCGGAAACAGAATTCTCGGCGTACGTCACGTACTCAGGCAACGGAATCGTTGCGATCGATTTCTTAAAAATTGCCAACATTTTTTTTTTCTTGCGAGTGTCGCAGGAGAAGATTCTCAGGAGAAATTTCAGAGAGAGTAGTGTTGACGAGAAAGATTTTGCAGAGAGTGAGTGTTAGGAGAAAGCATTGACACGGCGGTTAGAGTTTGTTTTAAGGAGGTGAAAGACGAAATTGCCCCTCTCTCTCTCTCTTTCCTCTGAATAATATTTAAATCGTTTTTTAAGTTTTATTTTATTTATTATATTTCAAGGTGAATCAGAGATCTCAAATTTTCATTTTCGGGAAAACAGTGAGAAGATGACAAAGGATTTCACAGTTCCACCGGTAGTTTTCCCCTCCGGCGGATCTCCGGCCATAACAAATGTCCAGCAACGCCGAGCCCCAACAGCTCCTTACCAACCGCCTCGTCCTTCCGGTTCATCCTCCATCCCATTCATGTCGTTTGACATCGGATCCACCGCTGCAGCATCCTCCGCGACGCAGGCCGGACCATTCGGCGGAACAATCGCTTCCTCTTCATCTTTCGGCGGAGGAAGCTCCGCTTCGTTCGAAGACGAGGAGCCGTTACTCGACGAACTCGGTATCCACCCGGATCAAATCTGGAGGAAAACCAGGTCGATTCTCAATCCTTTCCGAATCAATCAGACTGTTCACAAGGATTCAGATCTCTCTGGCCCGATCTTCCTCTACCTCGCGCTTTGCTTGTTTCAATTGCTCGCTGGGAAGATCCAATTCGGTGTGATACTCGGCTGGGTCGTTGTTTCCTCTATCTTCTTGTACATCGTCTATAACATGCTTGCTGGTCGAAACGGGAATCTTAATCTTCATACTTGTACGAGCTTAGTTGGTTACTCTCTGCTTCCCGTTGTGATTCTATCGGCGGTGTCGTTGTTCGTGCCGCAAGGTGCTGGTCCGGCGAGGTTCGTGCTCGCTGCGGCGTTCGTGTTGTGGGCTACTAGAGCTTGCTCTAATCTTGTGGTGTCTTTGGCTGATGGAGGAGATGAGCACCGTGGATTGATTTCGTACGCATGTTTCTTGATCTATACTCTCTTCTCGCTTCTCGTTATATTTTGATTTCGACTATTGGTAGATTTTGTTCATCGTTACGGCGTTATGGTTGAACTAGCTAATGCGAAAAATCTTGAAAGTGTTCATGTGGTGTAATAGCTGAGAGGCTGAGACGTTGTAAAGGTCTTTGTGATGATTTTAGAGGAAGTAACTTGTTGAATTGTTGATGTGGTTGAAGTAACTTGTTCTTTGATCTCGTACCAGTTGGAATCTTGAAACTTTATGCTATACTCATCCTTTTGTGTCTATCCTTTACAGCTTCTTGGCATGAATTTTGAGCATGTGTAGAACTAATGGCAGTTTTAGTGTAGCTTTGCTAATAATGCTTCTGCTTTGTTGATTTTGGAAGAACAGACACTAAGATCTGTTAATTACACTTATGTTGCTTCAACTAGAGGGAAGTATGATTGGTTTTGGCTTGACATTGTTCTATAGGCGATAAAATATAGAGTAAGAGATAAACTATTTGCTTCGGTTTCCTTAGAAGTTGAAGAAGGTAAGAATATTGGCTTGAAAATGTTGTTGAGGTTTCAGAGAAGTATAGAGGTGAACTTTGGAGTTTGGACTGCTAAAATTGTAGCGAGGACAAATTGCTTTAGTTGATCAGATGATGTGTTCTACAAAAATGGAGACATGAAACAGCATTATATAAGATGAAAATGACCTCGAATTGATTTGTAATTTTCATCAGCAAAAGAAATGCATGCAGTTTATTTTAATTTTCTGTGTGAAAAGTTTGTTGTGTTCATGCGGTTTTATCTCTGTTTCTAAGGCCCAAAAGATAATATGGGCTTTAAGAGAACATTTAGGTCCATATCTCAGAAACCTTCGTTTTTTCTTCATCCTCTTCCCGTCGGCCAACGTTATTCTCATTTCCAAACTTAACAACTGATGAATTTTACTGAAACAGATTAGAGCAAAATCAAATTCTTAATCCACTTTTTTTTATGTGATTGAGAAAAGAGATTCTATAAGCCCAGAAAACACCAAAAACCCTCCATTTCTCTTTTTGCTTCCTTCATTATTTTTTGTCTTTCCTTGTAGCTCGAAATCTTCTACTGCCACTACTCCAGGTTCTCTTCCTCTCCTCTTTTACATGTTAATGTACTTCTGCCGCAATCTCTGATTTCATTTTCCCTGGATTTCATTTTTCCCAATCATCGAAATGTCTCACCTTTTGATTTCCATCTTCTGCTTCGCAAAATTTTGAAAACAAAACCCGAATCAGCACGGCGCGCAATTTGAGATTTTTCTTTTGACCCAAAATCGATACTCTTCTGGGTTCTAATCGAAGCATTGCTCATTAGATGCTACTGATTTTGCTTTTGTTTCGATAAAAAAAGGGCTGAGGAATGACATTGAATCGCTTCTCTTAATCCGATTGTTCATACAAGCAATCTCAGCTTCTAGTTTTAGCCTACACCTAAATGCAACTGGGTTTCGATTACAGTACTGTAGAAATCAAATGCCATTTTTGTTTATCTTCGTCTTGGTTAAGGACTTGGTGTTGACTTTATTGCTCTTCCTCTTGAACAGGTCTTTGTGATATTTGGAGTTTCTTAGATCTTTCAAAAGATTGGTTTGTTCTGTGGTCTCAAAAATGGCAACTTACGTTTCTCCGTTTCTGACTCCGCCGGATTCTCGTGTCCTCACTGTTCTTCGAAAGAGTGTATCACCGGAAAATCATCTAAGCAACAGTCTTACCTGCAGCTTTAGAACGATTGAAACCAAGAGAAACCGCGTCCTCGCTGCTCATAAACCCGATCCTTCACCGATCAGAAACTCTTTAAACTCTCACAGTGCCAAAAACTTCCAAAGCCAAGACTCTTTCTTGAACCTCCACCCTGAGATATCAATGCTCAACCCTCCAAGGAAAGAGACTTCCACCGCTCCCATCACCGAGCCGTCTCCTCCTAGCACTTACAACGAGGCGAGGATCAAAGTCATCGGCGTTGGAGGTGGCGGCTCAAACGCTGTGAACCGTATGATAGAGAGCGAGATGGTCGGTGTGGAGTTTTGGATTGTGAACACCGATATTCAAGCGATGAGAATGTCTCCGGTTTTCCCTGACAATAGGTTGCAGATTGGTAAGGAGCTGACTCGAGGTTTAGGTGCTGGAGGCAATCCAGAGATTGGTATGAATGCTGCTAGAGAAAGCAAAGAATCTATCGAAGAAGCACTCTACGGCTCAGATATGGTTTTTGTAACAGTATGTTGTTCCTTTCACTTCTTGAATACTTCTTTAAAGATGAGATTCTTGGAAGTTCACTAGTTGAGGAGCTTTGATGTTTTTTTTGTAGGCTGGGATGGGAGGTGGGACTGGGACGGGCGGGGCTCCGATAATAGCGGGTGTTGCGAAGGCGATGGGTATATTGACGGTTGGTATTGTGACGACGCCTTTCTCCTTTGAGGGAAGGAGAAGAACGGTTCAGGCTCAGGAAGGAATTGCGGCGCTGAGAGACAATGTGGATACGCTTATTGTTATTCCGAATGATAAGTTACTCACGGCAGTCTCTATGTCAACTCCGGTTACTGAAGCGTTTAATCTTGCTGATGATATACTTCGTCAAGGAGTCCGTGGGATATCGGATATCATCACGGTATTGGCTTTGTAATCTGTTTATTCTGAACTGAATCATTGTCTGTAGAAATCTTTTTAACAGCTGTAGTTTCTTTGCATTGCAGATTCCTGGATTGGTCAATGTGGATTTTGCTGACGTTAGAGCTATAATGGCAAATGCAGGTTCTTCACTGATGGGCATAGGAACTGCAACAGGTAAGAGTAGAGTCTTCTCTAGATTTGCAGTTTTTGTTTAGACAGGCTCTATTTGCTGCAGACTAGTATAGGTGCTGGTATATGCATATTTTGTTAACTGAAATGCTTAGGTTTTGCTGAGAACTGGTACCAAAGATGTAGCTTAGTAGATTATTCGTTTGGTACTATTTAACCATGAAAAAGTTTACCACATGATACTCCATGTAATTATACTACATGTGCATTGTTGTGATATAATTTGGGAAACTATTTTGGACGCATCATAATGTTATGTGTACTGTTATTTGAGCAGGGAAGACACGAGCAAGAGATGCTGCGCTAAACGCGATCCAATCACCATTGTTAGATATTGGCATTGAGAGAGCCACTGGAATCGTTTGGAACATAACCGGTGGAACTGACTTAACACTGTTCGAGGTCTTTCTTTCTCTCCACTGTCCATATCCTGTCCTAGAACAAAACTTCAGTGCCATGTCATTTAGAATGCTGTGATGCTCTGTTTTTGAATCTCGAGGAAACAATTTTGTAGGTAAATGCTGCTGCGGAAGTGATCTACGACCTCGTTGATCCAACAGCCAATCTTATATTTGGCGCTGTGGTAGATCCATCCTTTAGTGGTCAGGTTAGTATTCTTCTTTCTTTGATCTTCTTCTTCTCACATGTAAATTCTGAGATACCAAATTTGCTTACATTTTGTTTTAAACTTCTTTATTTTTCCTCCGGTCAGATAAGTATTACTCTGATAGCAACAGGCTTCAAACGCCAAGAAGAAGGAGAAGGGAGGCCACTTCAGGTATTCACTTTGTCTCCTTTGACATACACAACATAGTCGATTCTTACATGATTACATCAAAATCTTATGTATTAGACTGCATGAGCTCTCTTAACTTTTTATATGAAACTACAGGCGACACAAGCGGATGCATCAATGGGAGTAACAAGACGTCCTTCTTCATCTTTCGCTGAAGGCAGTTCCATAGAGATCCCTGAGTTCTTGAAAAAGAAAGGACGCTCCCGCTATCCTCGCATCTAGACCCACTTTGAATGTTGGATGCAAGAAGAAGGAATGATTTGATGTGGTCAAGTAAAATGCCTCTCTTGTTATTCTTTCATAGGTGTTAGAAATGGTTTTATTGTTGATTATATTACAATAAATAGTAAATACTTTATCGACGGATGATATGATACATATCTCACTCTCTGTCACACTTGTTTCAAGAGTTTGCCTTCTTATTAGCGCAATTGGATAAAATGGATAAAAATGATAAAGACTCTACTCTGCTTTATATGAAGCAAACTTAAAAGAACAAAAGCTTGTCTTGTTCTCTTCATTATCATTGTTCTTCTCTCATGGCGTCTACCACAAGTTATATATTGATACATGAATACGAACCAATATAGTATTTGAAGTCGAGCTTCGACGACGAATTCTTGCTTACTACAATACACGGTTTTGTATGTAACGTCTTATGAATATAAACAAATAAAAGACTTTCTTATTGTTATTTTTTATTATTGACAATGTGTACATGAGTCTTTGAAAGAAATGATAAGAACGATCATAATAACTAAGCGATATATAGTTTCGTCAAAACGTGCAAATAATTATACTGGATGATATGATTATTATACTAAACATTGGTGTTCGATCCGCGGTGGGGGCTTCTGTTGAAAACTTTGACGAATCTAAATGTATAAATTCATATTTAACGTTGTTCAAGAGCAACTAGGAGGAGGAGGTCTTTTAATGGTGTTACAAGGCTTATCTTTGTTTCTCGTAGCTCCACTTGACTTGGGAGAATCTCCACATGGTGGTGGAGGTCTTGTGCATATCACAGCGGCCTTACCTTTTAACACACGGCATATCATATGTTAAAGAAAAAACACCGTAGAGATTATTATTTTAAAAAGCTTTTTCTTACATAGAGATATATTATTTTTTCTCTTTTTAACAGTTGTTTATTAACTTTTGAATGGTTGAGAGTTGAGACAAAGTAACCCCTTTCTAAACTAGTTAAACCATCTTATTTTTGGGGCCAACTAGTCGCCCAATTTGCAACCATTTCAAAACGTTATTTAAACTTATAATGTGACAGAGATTTTGGAATAAGAAGAGACTGACCTAGGTGACGGAGTCTAGCTTGTGTGACATGAACCTGAAAGGATAGACAAAGAAGTATATGAAGCAAACTTAAAAGAAGAAAAGCTTTTGTTGTTTTCTTCATCGTCAATATTGTTCCTTTCTTACTATCGACCAGAAGGATACAGATACATACATATATATAGTGAAGGAAGTCAAGAATATATGTAAACTTATGTATACAAGAATAAGTTAGATTCAAACTTCAACGGTTTCTTATTCTATACAAAACACGGTTTTGAACATCAGCTATATGTAACATATATATAATATTCTGAATAAAGAAATAAAAGACTTAATATACCTACCTGGGTAATTACGCATGCAAGACTTATAGGTTCTAATATATATTGTAGGTTTAACAGTTGGTCTTATGTGTTTTTTTAAGGTTACATGATATTTATATTACAAATGAAAGAGTCGTATATATGTTACAAAAGTATATTACTCTAACAACCTGACAGCAGCAAATACAAAATTAAATAGTTCTTAGAACCAAACACCGTTCGTCTTCTGTTGATTTATTATTTCTTTTGAAGAACTTCTCTATCAAAAAAAAAATCTTTTGAAGAACTTAAAATTCGCCGTCTGTGGGGATCGAACCCACGGCCACGGGATTAAAAGTCACGCGCTCTACCACTGAGCTAAGACGGCTGAGCATACGGCGTTTGTTGTTATCGTAAGTACTCCCACAAATAACTTGTAAAACACCTGCAAGTGTAGTAGATGATAACGAAAAACTATAAGTAATACTTCCTCCGTTTTTTAAAGATAAATTTTCTAGTTTTTTCACACAGATTAAGAAAAAGTTGATTTTCAATCATTAGTGCATAGATTTCTGCAATAAAACAACTTTTTATAATTTTAAACCAATAAAAATCCAACAAATATAATCATTGTATCTTGAAAACTGAAAAAGTGCATCAAAAAGGTAAAAATTTTATCTTTGTGAAACAACACATAATGGCTAGAAAATTCATTAAAAAAAAACGGAGGGAGTACGAGTTAGACTGTTCTTTTCAAATTGGTTAGATCTGTTTATTGTTATTTGTACAAAATTAATATTGAAATAACATCTTGATGTCAATGGTATTAAATGATTTGCGTAAATAATATTTCCAGTGTTTAAACATATTGCCGCTCTGGTGAGGTGATTCATTAATAGGTGTTATATATATCTCAGTCTCTGTCACATTTGTCACAATTGCCTTCTTTTAAAAGCTTGTTTATAGACACTGATTATTATTATTACATGATTTTCTGAAAGAAATAATAAAGAAAAATAAAAGTACCATCTATCAACGTTGTAAACACCAGGTGCAAATAGTTTAGTGGATGATACATATACGGTTTCTAAAATGATAATTGGTACTACACACGGTGGTGGGCTTTCTGTGAAAGTCTTTGTGGAATCGAGTGTTTACAACGTTGCTAGTGGCCGGGGGGAGAGCAACGATCTTTACGAGGAGGTCTTGGAACTGTTATACAAGGCTTACTTCCACTTCTCAGAGGAGCTCGACATGGTGGTGAGGGTTTCACGCATATGCTTGGTTTCTTCGCTATCAGTGACCGACTCTCACCTTTTAAGACAGACGAGCCAATAAGTTATAAAGAATATTGTAGTTAAATGTCAAAAGAATTCAGACAGAGAGTGAGACTGACCTAGGTGACTGAGTCTAGCCTCTGTGACACGAATCTGAGAGGAGAGACATAGAAGTACATGAAGCAAACATAGAAGAATAAAAACTTGTGTTGTTTTCTTCATTATGATTGTTTTGTTCCTCTCTCACGTATCGTCGACTATAATAGTGTATATTAGTATATATAGATTGAAGCGAACAAAATCAAACGTATAGTGAATAAATAATTTTGAAGTCAAACTTCAAGGACATAATTATTTGTTTTTCTACAGAAACGCGGTTTTGTCCATCAGCTCTTCAACATGTTCTCAATAAACTATAAAGACTTGACTAATATTCAATTTTATGAAAATAGCTGTGTAACTACCGATGCATGATTTTTTTGAGGTCCGACATATTTTGTTCATTTGGAAAAGGATAGATCCATCCTTTTGTGAACGGATATGATATATAATCTTATTTGTAAGTAACTGATTAAAAGTGAAACATGTTTTTCTCAATCATATTTATATCTTCCATTGTTCAATCTACTAAACGTTTTTAAACGTAAATAATATCTTCCATTTGTCAATCAGCTCTTCAACATGTTCTTCTATTTTTTTTTATAACTCACTATCAAAAGTCAAAAACCATTAAATTCCAACCCTACCGAAACCATCTCCAAAACCAATTATAGCCTCATGAATCATGACGATCCTTGTAAAAATATCCGAATGTTTTTCTTAAATTCGGCATATGACAAATCAATACTCAAAACACACAATCACGCACCATATCTTATTTTTAATACCAGGGCCCTTCCTTACTTCATGCTTTTGCGGATGCATTTTGGACTAGGACAAATATGATTTCACCTCGAATGAGTCTAAATTGTTTCCGTAATGGCCATGATGGATCACTATTCCTCATGTCATCTACTGTAGTGTGCAATTTGGCTACGTTCGTTCAGTTGTCGTCAAGAACCAGCAGGCAGCAACAACGATCAACAAACATGTTTGCTTTGTATTATTGGTTATGAAGTGAGTTTTGTTGATTGACGACATGTTTCAACGATCATCTTTAAATTATTTTTTATCACGCGTACTTAGTTATAAAAAATATCGAAACGAGAGGACCAAAGAAGATCTAACTTCACAAATTGTGGTTAAATGTTAACGTCTGCACTAAATATATCCTTCTTCGATCTTCGTGACGAGTCACGACACACAATATTATTCCATCTTAATAAATTCCACATCTACATCAGACAGTCGTATATGGTCGTCATACATACACCATCTGATGGTACGTATATGCTTTCTGTAGAAAGATACACTAAATTTCAAATATTACTCTTTAGTTCTTGCTGGATCATAATGTAAAGAGTAAGGACAGTCTCAAATTAATTACATAAACATATTGAGGGGAGGCCATAAATTTGAGTAAAATTTGACCGAGAGCAAAGTTATCGAAGTGACAAATGAGTTCCGTATACTGACACATGAGAAGGTACTTCCAAGTTCCAAATTGGGACCTCTTTTACTCTTTATTTGTAAATATAACATTTCAATTTGTAATCACATTTCTTCTGATTTCAAAATCAGGATCATTTAATTCCAACGTATCCCCACCTAAACATATTCATTGGAATAAATCCTAAATCAACATCAGCCTCATGATCCTCCCGAAAAAATCCAACCTCTTTGAATGCTTTTCTTATATTCTACGCATGCCTACATAATGAATATTCAAGAATTTACGACCCCAAAAATATTAACAGTTGAGAACTTCAATCTCTTTACATATATTTCATTTTGAATGTGAACAGAAATTCTTCAAAATGTCAAAATCTGTTCATCTTAATCCCATGTTCTTATGAGAAAATACACACGATTTATATGAAATGCCTTCTTCTCTTCAGTATTTTCTTAAGGATCCTCTAACTGAAAGTTTCACCTAAGAAATTAGTATAAAAATAAATACTCAATAGGATAAAAAATATACATACTTAATAGGAATGACTAATCAATGATTTAATTTCTATTGATTATTTATTTATTTATTTAAATTCCAAAAATTAAGGGCCAAAGCAATCCAATCTACAAAAAAGACACGTAAAGTTGTCACTTACCATACAAAAAACAAAAAGCTAAAGAGAAAGGAGAATTTCACCAAACAATAACTTACGTCGACGTGTAACACAAACTCCCACCCGATTTTCTCATTCTTTACATAACCCAACAAAAAATACATATTATCAACACCGAATCTCAGACACATACAAACACATCTCTCTTCTTTTCTTTATTTGTTTCCTCCAAGAATCTGAATCTGCTTTACTTTTGTGCAATCATGATGAACATCGACGATACGACGTCCCCAATGGCCCACCCGATCGGTCCATCACAGCCTCCTTCCGACCAAACCGAAGTTACCCAACAAGATCCAAGGTTGCCCGACGAAGCTTCTTCTGTTTCCGACAAGAAAGATCAAGCTCTGCCTGAAGAGAAACCGAAGAAGAATCAAGAAGAAGAGAGAGTGGACAAAGGGAGAGAGAAGTTGAAGAAGCACCGAAGAGAGATCGCCGGGAGAGTTTGGATACCGGAGATATGGGGACAGGAAGAGCTTCTTAAGGATTGGATCGACTGTTCAACGTTCGACACGTGTCTAGTCCCTGCCGGAATCTCGTCGGCACGTGCGTCTCTTGTAGAGGAAGCTAGGCGAGCTGCTTCAGCTTCTGGTGGGTTACATAATCGTTGCTTGATCTTACGCTAAATTTTTATATGATTACATACTTAAATGTGGTGGTTCTTGTTTCTCAATAATATATAAGACATTATCGTTATATTGTTGATATATTCTTGTTCATTTTACTCATAAATTTAGAGAACATTGCCAATTGCTTTGAGTGTGTTGCGTTGCCTCAATCGGTAGAGGTGGAATATGTTTTTTTTTTGTATGATATTTGTGATGCATTCGGTTCTGATCGACATATCTATAATCACATTCAGAATTGAATATTTAGTGACCGGATATCCGATTTGTTCCATAAATAAATTTTATAAAACAATAACCTTACCGATTAGTAAAAAGAACAAACTTTGTTTTTGCAGCAGAATTCATATACAATTCTTACAAGAACTATTAATCTCTATAGAACTTGCATACATATCAAACGCATGAGATATTTCAATTTTCAAATTTCAGTATCGATTTGCTCCATTCCAAATTTTAGAACATAACTCTCTCTTCTTTCATCATCTCCCCTTTTTGTTGCTTTTTTATTCAGCCATTCAGGTATGTGTTTTAAACCGTCAAGGCTCAATTTTGAATCAGCAATTTTGTCAAGAGATCAAATATTGATAGTGACATTTGCCTATATATTTTAGCCATAAAGAAAGAAGAAAGACATTTGCCCATTTTCTTATTGTTTTCATTTGCATGTGCTGAAACATACCCAATCATGTTCTTAACTTCTTTATATTGTCCTCTCTTTGCGTCATGAGTTAGACGTCATCGTACTTAGTGAGAAGAAATTTTGTTCAGTTACTTAGGCATCAAGGAACGTAGTTTTATTCTCACTAATTACCTGAACACAAAGTACTGAAAATATATTTGATTGTGATTACTCAAGTACTCAGTATACGTGACATCTTCTATTAATACTTGTAAGAAAACACTAATATTTGAGATAGCTAGTGCAAATCTTCATGAGGCAAGGTTCAAATGTCCTTCATTCCATTGAGTTTTTTTTTAAGTAAAGCCCCAAATTTCTTAGGACTGACCAAAGCTCAGATTGTACTGTTAGTATTTGATGTAAGTGATCCAAAATTTCATATGATTGAATCCATGATCGAATTAACAATATATACTTTAGGTTGACAATATTGCATTCCATGCCAAATGTTTTTGGTTTGGTCATCAAGATGTTACAGAATATCATTCCCACCTTTGGTAATGTACAACAACCTTCTTCTGATTTCGAGTAAAACGGGCTACTGGGCCTAACTAGGCCCATTTGGCCTTTCAAGATACGAAGGAGTCAAAGAGATTCCTTTCTGATTTTAGTCGCGAAAATCTCATCGTTTTTCTTCACTATCGCCATTTCTGTTGATCTCTTTTGTAACCCTAAATCGAGAACCGATACGTAGAGATCAGGTGCCGGAAACAAGCAGCGGTTGATCATGGCAGCTCTCGAGGGCTTTTACAGACTTATCATGCGCCGTAACTCCGTCTACGTCTCCTTCATCATCGCCGGCGCTTTCTTCGGCGAACGGGTTAGCGATCTAAACATTTTTTCTTTTTTTCTATTGTTTTATCTTCTTAGCGTTGGTAGCTTTCGGGATCTGATTTGTGATTGGAATGAAATACTGGATTTTGATGTAAAATGACGATTTTGGTGAATAAATTTCATCGAATTGAAGAAGCGATCTACAATTCCGAGCCAAAAAAAAACTGAAAGTTTGAGATGAAATTGGTGAGATTTGGGGGTCTTAGATGTGAATAGACAGATGAATATGGAATTCGAGTCTGAAGATTGATTTGTTCTCTGTAATTTTGCAATTTATCATATTCTCATATGAAATGTTAAACGTATGTGTGCAGGCTGTGGATTACGGTGTTCATAAGCTTTGGGAAAGCAAGAATGTTGGGGTATGTGACTTAATCTATCTCTCTTGTGCTGTGATTCAGTAAATACGAATCCTGTTTCATGAAATCTAATTCTGAAATTTTGAGTATAACTTGTTCCATTTCGATTCTCTGCATCTAAACTTGACTGTGAATCTGTGATGATAGCTTAAACTCAGAAAGTGCATTGCTGCTGTTAATGTTTGTCATCTTTTGAACCATAGAGTCTAGATGGTAAATGTTTCTTCATTCTCTGTATTAGCCATCTTCATATGGAATGATCACATATCTGCTTAAACCTCTTTTAGTTTCATCAACTTCATGATCATTTTTCTCTCTCTCACTTACACTTTTAACATGATATTGTTGTTGTCATGATGCAGAAACGGTACCAAGATATATCTGTGTTGGGTCAAAGGCCAGTTGAAGAGTGAAGTTTTCTCTCTTTTTGAATCTCTCAAGACTAAAAGGAAAGAAATGGAAATTTCCATGTTGTTTTTTTGCTCTTCAAGTCACTTTCTTTGTTGAATAAATCATTGGGATGATTCATACTTTCACCTAAATCGCTATTTGGTTCTGATTAATTGAATTTTTTTTTTTTGCATTGTGGAATATGATAACATTATCATCATGTCTCGTGTTGGCATTATCAAATCCATTATAAAATCATCTTCATGAATCTTCTATTCTCAACTTTTCCTTTCGTATAAGACCACTTTAATATATGCAGAGCCCATATTCTGAGGTCTAATTTTATCCATCCTTAAGAAATGGTCATAATGGACAGAGTTTTCAATCCCTTTTTTATCCTTTGTTGGATCGCATAAACGAAAGAAGATTATGATTATAAGAGTTCGTTGAATAGTAACCAGCGAAGTCTTTGTCAATGGAGGAGCATCATCAGTGTTCTTGATCTTACAGAATAAGTGGGAATTTAACCGACAGAACCACATTAGTTCAATTTCGTGGAGGGAAGTTGAAGGCTTCCCCCACTAAGGTGTGGGGCAAATGTTAAAAGATTAGATTTTGACGATCTCTTTATCATATATCACATAATTTGCACCACTACTTTCTAAGGCCATGCATACAGAAAAGATAAGTATCGTGCACCGGTGCACGTCCCAACTAATAAGAAAGAAACAGACAATTTCACATAGGCCTTATTTAGTGTTTAGTGTTTACAACGTGATCCAATGATTACTAGGGTTTGTAACCTAATGGTTTATGCCAGTGTGTGTGCTACTGTGAGTTGTTGTCAATTTGTTATATGACAAAATATCATTTGGATATATAAAAATGTTTCATATGTACCAGACTTGCGTAAACCATACAAGTTTTGAAAGAAAAAAAGAAGACGATTGTTATGGGCAAACCAAGTGGAATGTATCTACTCAGGGAATTGAATAATGCGTTTTGTTTTATTGCGACAAGAGATAAGAGATCGGTCTTGTTACAAATGCGATGTTCTCGGGTTCGGAGTATGGACAAATGAATATTCCGAAGGCATTTTGTCCTGATTCCGTTTACTAATGCCCTACCTGATCATCACATCACATGTGTTCACCTTTTTCTTTTTATATTTTCGGTGTTCTTTCATTTCTCTAAATGAAGCTCTCTTAAATAATCATTTGTTCTAGTTCAAATAGTTTATAAACTTTATATATACATATATTAGAATAACGAGAGGGAATAGTGAAACGTCTCTCGATGATAAGTGGGGGGAAAGAAAAATGGGAGGTGGGTTTTTATGGGACAGGCACCATCTGTGTATTATACGAAAAGATATCACACACCAAAAAGATAAAGACAATAATTTGTTCTGTTAAAGTTTTGAGATTGACAATACCCGAAAATATTATAGCACAAAATCGTGTAGTCTAAGGCCTTTACAAAAGAAAAGAAAAACATTTGAGAAATTCATCGATGGATAATCTTAGTATCTAATCCATGAAATGGAAACAACTTTGCTAGGAACCTTTTAGTACAACATAATTGTGTGTTTACGGCTAGCAATTAATCAACTATTCGTCATCAACATACTGTAGAGTCTTTAACATATATCGGTTCTTTTTTTTGTTAAAGCATATATCGGTTCTTACATTTGTATTTTTATAAATCTAACTTTACAATATTAGCACCGGGTGTTCGATCGTCGTACTCGTAGCACTCGACTAAAGGTCTAAAGCACAAGCCAGTCCAGATTGCCCAACGAAACACATACAAAAGGTGGTCTCTACCATAGTTTAGCTATTTTGTTTCCCCCAAAGAAGGTATTGACGAATATAGTTCAATTTCTTGACATATAAGATATATGAGATTTGACCCCAAAATAAAAATGATATATGAGATTCTGTTGACCTACGTACATTTGTTTGATAACATTGAACCCAAATAAGTTGACCACAAATATATAGTAAATACACGATATATAGTACTGTTGGACCAAATAAGAAAACTTACTTTATTTTAATAATACGATGTAAAGAACATGGTCAACTAATAATGTATGCTTTCTATAGGGGATATATACAACCGCAGAAATCCTCTTGGATAACATTTGATTTTAAGTATTTCTTTAACTTTTTATTTTATCTATTTTTGCTTTCTTTTTTTTGAGAAAAAAAAAACGAATGTGTGAGGAGATTGGCTATAAATAACAGAGCCAGTGATCATGCCAGCCATGAAGTAAACTAACAAAATAATTTATCATCTGCACAGGTTTAATATAGAAAAGTTCGGTAGTCAGTTTACATATATATACTTCCTCTTCTATTTTATTTCTTAATGCAAACACTTTTTATTCTTTTGTAGCCAGAGATTTCTACCAAAACAGGAAGAAGAAGATGATGACGATGATAATTAAGTTTTGCTTCTTCGCCATGGCTCTCCTCTCCATTACCCCTGCAAATGCTCGTAATGCTACTAACACTCTTTGTTTCTCTTCCCCTCCATCTATATACACACATATATATATACAATTTTTTATTTTAATTCTCAATTATATATGCACATATGGTTGTTAAATCCCTAGAAAAACTAGATATGGTACATACCACTAGATTATATATGTACCATCATTTGTTTGATAGGTTTTTTTATATAATGAGCAGAGACAGAAGTACTGTTTGGATACAGAGGAAAGAATGGACCAAATCAATGGGGACACTTGAACCCTCACTTCAGTCAATGTGCGGTCGGTAAATTGCAATCTCCAATCGATATCCAAAGGAGAGACACCTTTTACAACCAGAAGTTGGAGTCGCTACACCGCAATTACCACCCCACAAACGCAACGCTAGTAAACCACGTCTGCAACGTCGCGATGTCCTTTGGGAAAGGAGCAGGAGATGTGGTGATAGACAATAAGAACTATACCTTACAACATATGCATTGGCACACTCCTTCTGAACATCATCTCCATGGAGTCCAGTAAGCTCTAATTCTTCTTAACATTAACTAATTTATTTATAATCATTAAACACGTTATCATGGTTTATGATAAAACTAAAAAAATAAAACTCTAGACAGTCTTTGTTTGATTGTGAACTAGGTTGGAATCAAATATTCGAGTTTGGAGTATATAACAATTTGTTACTCAACTTTTTAGAAAAATCCAAAATTATTTGCATTTTCACATAAAGTCACAGTCACAGATTGAGCCTAGCCCATAGGGCAAGTGTTAGACTGGCCCGTTAACAAATTGTTAAAAAATTGTTTTATTATCTATTTTGCAAAGTTTTTCAGTATAAAAAAATTATACGCCGTTGCCGGGGATCGAACCCGGGTCACCCGCGTGACAGGCGGGAATACTTACCACTATACTACAACGACTTTGTTGACCTTTTTGAATTTGGAAGTATATTTTTATTTACTTGTTTGGGTTATTTATTTAGAAAAAGTATAAGAAAAACTAAGATTAAATATAAATGTAGATATGCAGCTGAGCTTCACATGGTACACAAAGCAGAAGATGGAAGCTTTGCTGTGGTAGCAACCCTCTTCCAAATCGGCACTGAGGAGCCTTTCCTCTCTCAGGTACTTTTGAGATGTAAATATACAATTATTGATGTGACTTACGTGATATATTGGCTTAGTTACTAATCTAGGTTTAATTATAACAATGATTAGATGAAGGAGAAATTAGTGAAGCTAAAGGAAGAGAGATTCAAAGGGAACCACGCCGCACAAGTGGAAGTAGGAGAAATAAACACAAGACATATCGAACATGAGACCCGAAAGTACTTCAGATACGTTGGTTCACTCACTACTCCTCCTTGCTCCGAGAACGTCACTTGGACCATCCTTGGCAAGGTAAAACCCTTTTTTACATATGTATATGAATATATGATCATTGTTAGGAAGTTTTAAACGGAAATTCTTTTGGTTGCTAATTAACATTACCAATTTTAGTAGTCTAATGGTTGAGAACTTTCGATTTTTCAAATTAAGGTTTTTCCGCGATTCCATTTTGGTGGGTAGCACTAGCTAGTATCCATGTAGATTTTTAAAAATTTGAAAATGATTTTAAGAGTTTAATTATCAAAGTTGGAAAATACAGTTTTCTAATGTTGAAATTTTAAGATTTTAGTGATTGTTATGGAGAATAATTGAATAAATATAAGAATTGATTATTTTGACAATCCCACCTACATTTAGATGGCTGGAAACTAGAACCTCACTTTTATTTATTAAGTAGGCTTTTTAACGTATCAAGACTCACTATGTATATAAAGCATTTATAGTCCATCGAAAGTGAAACTAGTGGTCGTAAGAATTCGACACCTTGTGTACGTTAACAATATTCATTTTTCAAACTTCATGCATAGTTCTCTATATATTATTTGACATATTCAATTGATTTGAGTGTCTTTTGGGCTCCACACTCCCTGCTTTTATGCTTAACCATTTGTACAATAGTGGATTTGTGTCAAACTTATTATATACGTTTGAATGGAAAAAGAGAAGTCATGATACGATGGATAACACCTAGCTGCTACTTTCATGCTATTTGACATTTTTGTATAGAAACGGTCCACATTAGTGTGACATCTTCTTGATCTATAATTTCCGTGTGTAATAAATTAAATGCAGGTGAAGTCAATGTCAAAGGAACAAATAGAACTACTCAGATCTCCATTGGACATTTCTTACCAGCACAATTCAAGACCTTGTCAACCTCTCAATGGCCGGAGAGTTGAGATGTTCCACGAGCTTCCTACCGAGTAAAAAGAAACCAGCAACAAAAAAGAAGAAGAGAAAACCCAATTAAGTTAGTTTTACGTTGTCTATCGGTGTGTTCAGAAATCAAAAATCCAATTAGCCCGAAAAAATGAGCTTTGTAATATTAGGAATAATAAATAATTTTCATAAAAAAAAGGAATAACTAATAATCTAATGTAGTATTCAGTTTACTACTTCTCATCTTCGATTTCCAAACGTGATGATGTGGTTTGTTGAGATATATGCTACGTAGAAAACACCGTGCACCAAATAATATATCATAGTGTGATAAAAAAAGAAAAATGAATGATATAAATGTCGAAATCACACAAGCATATTAAAGGAAAAAATTGAGTTATTTCAGGTAATTACTTCAAATATACTTTATTATATGAAAATATATTTTGTAAGAATTTTATAATTATATTTGTATATTGGAAAAAGACACAAGTGGTACTTGGAAATTGATGGAGAGAGAAAAATAAAATAAAATTGGGGTTTAATTGTTTGATTTGTTTCCGTGTTGTTTAAAACTAATTGACTAATTGTTGTGAGGAAAAATGGAACGTAAGACAAAGCTGTACCTGTGATTGCGTAGTCAGATCAATCATTAAATATCCAAATGTTTTGGCCGTCGATTAAGCTTAATCTGCTGATTAAAGGGGCACGGTTCATCCGTTCCGTTAAACTGTACGGGCCCAATAACTTTTCATGTTTTTTAACCTAATTTTTCTTTCCTCTTTGATGGTGAAAGCAAGCTTTGGGGAAGTCTTCGAGTAAACGTGGGAGAGATGTCCAAATCCTGCGAATCCTCCAGGTAATCGATGATGTCTCCTTGACATGGATCAGATCCGAAGAATCTGAATATGGGAAAAACGTTTTCTGTTTTTGTACGCTTTGCTTTATTCTTCTGGTTTTGCAATTGATCGATACAGATCGCTACAAGAACATGATCATGAAGCAAATGAGACTTTCAAGAGTTTTCAGCTTTTGGACGTTGATGACTCCGAAAGTGTGAGAGAGATGCCGTGTTCCTCCAAATTCTCCAGGTAATCTCGATCGGAGAGTTATTATCTAAAAGCGAGATCCTATTTGCTTGGATGAATTTCTAGGGCTTTGTTGCTAACTTTATTCTCAAGTAATCAGAAGATGCAAACCGTCACAAAACTTTGATTCTTATGCAATTGTGATTCACCCTTCTCTTAGTTATTTCTTATGCACGTTAAAAAAAGACATCCTCTAGGTTTGAAGTTTTAGTCTGCTTTCTAACTAGTGATTCGGAGAAAAAGGTTTTCGGTTAGGTAAAAAAAAAAAAAAAAAAAAAAAAAATCTGACTTATTCTTTTTGATTTTCCAATCGACACAAAAATGCTGATATTGTTCCTCCATTGATCAAGAATTTCACACAGATCTGAACGAAGCCTACCAAAACAAGAAGATCTTGTGGCGTTGGTATGCTATATAATACATATATTGATTGTTCTCTTTTACATTATGTTTTTACAAACTATCTTGTGTACTTACTTGCAGCGGGACAAAGCTGAGACTCTGAGGAGCGAACTTGAGGACTTGCAGATTTTGAACGAGTAAGAACAGCGGCTCAAAGTCTTTCTTTTTCATTCTTTTTTTTTTCTCTTTAAATAAACTCACAGAAAAATGGTTTTTTTTTTTAACTCCCAGTAATATGTGCGCTGAGGGTATCGATGCTCTGAGCGTGGCTGAGCTGCGTTCGCTGTTAGGTCCGCTTGAACAAGGCCTGCTCAGTGTGGAAACCCAAGTAGCAAAGGTAAAGCTTGTTATTATTTCTCTTCACATATACTATACAAGATTCGCAAGCAAGTTGAATACCGTTTTGTTTTGAATAATATTACAGAAGAGAATAGAGCAGGAGGAAATTGACAGAAGGATGGTCAAGCAGGTAAAAAGATTAAAACAAAAATTAGGGCCTATATATGTAACACTTTAGCGTTGGTTATCTTTCTTTATATATCGTCCGTTTTTGATCTTGGTTTTAAGCTCAAAGTTTTATATTTCTCCCGATCAAGGAATTTGGAGAGGAAGGAGACACAGATGATGTTAAATTATGGATTCAGAGCAAGAGGGATCAGAGTTTGGATCTGCAATTACTTGCCGCAAAGAAAAGATCTTTCTTTAGAAGGACAGGGAGAGAGCGCCGGAGGAGGTAATAGGCATAGCTCAGAAACTTGTCTGAAAAATATACTGATATATATAATTTGCTTGCTGTCTTTTGACTATTAATTGGTTACTCAAAATACAGCACTGAGAGCAGAAAACATTGGGATGACCATGAAACACTGGTTCAAGCCATCAAGAAGATGAAGAGAGAGATCCCGATATTGCAGCTTTGGAACAGGTATGTCTATGTCTAACGTTTTTCTGGCTATTCAAAATTATTTTTCTTTTTTCTGTGACTTGATTTGGGATTTATTTTGTTCTGTTTAGGAGAATGTGCGGTGAAGATATCGATGGTATGGATTTCTTTGAGCTGCTGGTACTCCGCAGGCAGATTAATATTGGTCGGGTCTACATTAGGTACTGGGTTTTGGAAAAAGGGGGAAAGCTGGGGAACTACGAGAGTATTGGTGGAGAAAATGAGCATGGTGGAGAAAGGAGAAAAGTATCCTGAAGAAGGAAGAGCTTTCTGATCTGTTTAATATAAGTATCTAGCAATGTTAATGAGACTTAATTAAGTACTAGGATATTAACTATCCCATATTATAACCAGTGTACTACTCTTTTGTGTGTTTCCTTCTTTGTTCGTGTTTAATAGGGAAAATATGAGGGTTGAATTGTGTGATTTGTTTCCGTGTTGGTTAGAAATATGTATATAGTCCATCGAAAGTGAAACTAGTGGTCGTAAGAATTCGACACCTTGTGTACGTTAATAGTATTCATTTTTCAAACTTCATGCATAGTTCTCTATTATTATTTGACATATTCAACCGATTTGAGTGTCTTTTGGGCTCCACACTCCCTGCTTTTAAGCTTAACCCATTTGTAGGTTTGTGTCAAACTTATTATATACGTTTCAATGAAAAAAGAGAAGTCATGATACGATGGATAACACCTAGCTACTACTTTCATGCTATTTGACATTTTTGTATAGAAACGGTCCACATTAGTGTGACATCTTCTTGATCTATAATTGCCGTGTGTAATAAATTAAATGCAGGTGAGGTCAATGTCAAAGGAACAAATAGAACTAGTCAGATCTCCACTGGACATTTCTTACCAGCACAATTCAAGACCTTGTCAACCTCTCAATGGCCGGAGAGTTGAGATGCTCCATGAGCTCGGCACCGATTAAAAAGAAACCAGCAACAAAAAGAGAAAACCCAATTAATTTAGTTTTACGTTGTCTATCGGTGTGTTCAGAAATCAAAAAATCCAATTCGCCCGAAAAAAACGAGCTTTGTAATATTAGGAATAATAAATAATTTGCATAAAAAAAGGAATAATAAACAATCTAATGTAGTATTCAGTTTACTACTTCTCATCTTCGACTTCCAAATGTGATGTCATCGGCAAATAATTAGTGATGAATTGCAGGGCCATTTTCTGAAAACTTTATTCCATTTAGTTTAGCACTCTTCAAATATACTTTATTATATGAAAATATATTTTGTAAGAATTTTACAATTTATATTTCTATTATGGAAAAAGACACGAGTGGTATACTTGGAAATTGATGGAGAGAGAAAAAAACATCTAAAAATGGGGTTTAATTGTTTGATTTGTTTCCGTGTTTGTTGAAAATAATTGTTGTCAGGGAAAAAATTAGATGGAACGTAAGACAAAGCTAAGCTTAATCTGCTGACTAAAGGGGCTCGGTTAATCCGTTCGGTTAAACTGTATGGGCCCATTAATTTTTCATGCTTTTTTACCTAATTTTTCTTTCCTCTTTGATGATGAAGCAAGCTTAATTTGGGGTACTAAGTCTTCGAAGGCGAAAGCTACGATGGTAAACGTGGGAGAGATGTCCGAATCCTCCAGGTAATCGATGTGTCTTGACATGGATCAGATCCGAAGAATATGAATATGAGAAAAACGTTTTCGGTTTTTGTACGCTTGGCTTTATTCTTCTGTTTTTGCAATTGATACAGATGGCTACAGGAACATGATCAGGAAGCAAATGAGACTTTCAAGAGTTTTCAGCGTCTGAACGTTGATGACTCCGAGTCCTCCAAATTCTCCAGGTAATCTCAGAGAGTTATTCTCTAAAAGCGAGATCCTATTTGCTTGGATGTTTTTCTAGGGATTTGTTGCTAAGTTTATTCTCCATTGTTGTGATCCATCCTTCGTCAAAAATGTTTTCGGTTCTTGTTTGCAAGGTAAAAAACGAAAAAAACCTGACTTATTCTTCTTGGTTTTCAATCCATACACAGATCTGAACGTAGCCCACCGAAACAAGAAGATCTGCTGGCGCTGGTATGTATATTACATATATTGATTGTTCTCTTTTACATTATGTTTTTACAAACTATCTTGTGTACTTACTGCAGCGGCTCAAAGCTGAGACTCTGAGGACTGAACTTGAGGACTTGCAGATTTTGAACGAGTAAGAACCGCGGCTCAAAGTCTTTTTTTTTACCTTCTTTTTTCTTCTCTTTAATTAAACTCACAGAAAAATGTTTTTTTTTAACTCCCAGTTCTATGTGTGGTGAGGGTGTCGACGCTCTGAGCGTGGCTGAGCTTCGTTCGCTGTTAGGTCCGCTTGAACAAGGCGTTCTCCGTGTGGAAACCCAACTAGCAAAGGTAAAGCTTGTTATTATTTCTCTTCACATATATACAATATTCGCAAGCAAGTTTTAATACCGTCTTGCTTTGAATAATATTACAGAAGAGAAAAGAGCAGGAGGAAATCGACGCAAGTATGGTCAAGCAGGTAAAGATTAAATAAAAAACTAGGGCCCTATGTAACACCTAGCGTTGGTTATCGTTCTTTATATATCGTCAGTTTTGATCTTGGTTTGAAGCTCAAAGTTTTATATTTCTCCCAATCAAGGAATTCGGAGAAGAAGGAGACACAGATGCTGGTAAATCATGGATTGAGAGCAAGAGGAATCAGAGTTTGAAACTGCAGTTACTGGCCGCAAAGAAAAGATCTTACCTAAGAAAGAGAGCGAGAGAGCTCCGGAGCAGGTAATACGCATATAGCTCAGAAACTTGTCTGAAAAATATACTGATAAAATTGCTTGCTGTCTGTTGGCTATTAAATGGTCTCTCAAAATACAGCACTGAGAGCAGAAAACATTCGGATGACCATAAAACACTGGTTCAAGCCATCAATAACATGAAGAGAGATATCACGACATTGCAGCTTTTGAACAGGTATGTCCATGTCTATATATGTCTAACGTTTTTCTGGCTCTTCGAAATGATTTTTCTTTCTCTGTGACTGATTTGGGTTTTCTTTTGTTCTGTTTAGGAGAATGTGCGGTGAAGACATCGATGGTATGGATTTCTTTGAGCTGCTGGTACTCCGCAAGCAGATTAACTTTGGTCTGGTCTACGTTGAATCCTGGGCGTTGAAAAAAGAGGGAAAGCTGGGGAACTAGGAGAGTATTGGTTTAATTGTTTGATTTGTTTTACGTGTTGGTTAGAAATAATTGTTGTGAGGAAAAAAGGAGATGGAACGTAAGACAAATTTGTTGTCATTTTTCTTTCCTGCTAACTCCAAAGTCCAAACTAACAATAATTAATTAATTATTGTGACTTAAATAAAAACCCTATTATCAAAATTGATGGATTTCACTTTTTCGCAGCCAAGCGATTTTCTTTCTCCATACACCGCCTTATTGCTAAATCAAAATCCTTCAGAAAATAATGATTCTCACGTCGGTCTCAAATTGAAATGCTAATTTGTCACATAATATCTTACATTCTACTACATTAGACACGGAATATTAGTCTTTTCACTCTTTTATGATAAGTATGAACTAGTATTTCATACCGACGAAAATATCAAAAAAGAAGACGATGAGGACAAAAGTCAGTGTCAGTGACGACATGAAAATGTGACTGCAGCTATGTTGTAAACCACTATGAGTGTAAGTAGCTTCGTCAACGCTAAAACTGAAAATGCTATATCATATAGTTTCAAGAAATTTATAAAATTCAACTAACATTAAATTTTGTGGAAAACACTAGGTACCTAAAGAAAAAAATAATTGCTCATTAAATTTTTTATTAACGCATGATAAGCTTCCCCAGGAAATGAGCAAAAACTTACAAGTTTCAGTCCTCATATTATTTGGTTGAAGACATATTATGCAGGGCCAATTCGAATAAGTGACTTTTCTAACTTGTTCCCATATGTTTATATTATAGAATCAACGATGGCTAAGAATGACCTGTCTATTCTTGAAAACGAAATAACTAATAAGATAAATTTAAAATACCATATGACATTAGCGATCATTTTGATTTCTCCAAGACTTGAACAAGTCAAAGAATTTGAAACTCTTCATGGCTCCCACTATTCCCTTTCATTGTTTGATATGGTCTTTTGCTCTTGAGAGATTATAGCACTATTTAAATTGACTTAACTATAATCTGAATGTTGTTGACAGCAAAACACAGAACAAGCTCATTTGTCTAAAACATATTACTGAATATTGACTGTTACCCATTAAATATCTTTACATTCTGTATTCCACTCTAAGAAAAAAACACATATACAAATAAATAAGGAATACCTATGTACAAACCAAAACTACTTCAAAAATCAAAGTCTTAAGGAAAAAAACAGACATATAAATATATATAAGATATACAAAAACGGTGAAAGTGGTTGAAACGCGAGAGAAATTAAATCAAAAAGTGTGCGCGCGCTTTCTCTCTTTATATATGCCGTGTTCCCAACTCCGTTAAACCACTCACCACGTCAGATAACGACTTTTTCAAATCAACACACGCTCATGGGCCCCATAGAAGCCCATGAAAAGCCAACCAATCACGATCCTTGTTTTCTCCGAAGCTTAAAACACGGTACCGGGCCCCACCATTCTCACCTAGTCCACAGTCACACCGTAAACGCCGCACGTCACGTCACGCCACGTCAAACGTCTACCAACAAATCCGCTCTTCTTCTCCCCGAAGTAAACCGAGTCATCCCACCTAATCCGGGTATCACCGGTTCGTCACCGTCGACGGATCTCCTCGAACCGGTGCTATTCCTCTGCGGCGAAAATTTCCCGACGTCACCCGGCGGAAGCCGTCCTCTGATATCGCTCGACCTTCTGGCGGAAACTCTAGGCGGAGTGGCATCCCTCTGCGGCGCGTGGGCTCCACTCGCCGACAGGTCTTTGCAACCGCCTCCGGTTCTGAAGATGGCTCTGAAGCTGGCGAGAAACCCGGGTTTCTTAACCCGGACCGGTTTATCCTTAAACGAATTGGTTCGACCGGATTTCTGCCTCTGCATTCGGCGGCTACGGTCTCGTTTGGATCGCACTCTCCCAATGCAAGACACCTTCGGAGAAGAAGGCTCCGATAACGAAGGATCCGATTTCAATCGCGACCCGATCCGTTTCGGGATCATCATCGTCGTCGCGATTCTGCAATTTCTCCGCTTATTCACTTCGTTGAAATACGTCTTCTGCGGTTTCGGCAGCCTGATGATCGACGTCTTGGATTTGAGAGAGATTCGCTGGGAGCTCGATTTGGGAATCGAATTAGGGTTTGAATTGGGATTCGAAACGGGAGCAGAAGAAGAAGAGTTTCCTTTCTGTGATTCCTTGCGCTCGAAGAAGGCGTTCTCGTTGAACCACTCGAGCTGTGCTTCTTTGGATAAGGAGTAAGACTCCGGCGGAAAATCGATCGGGCTCGTGGCGGAGACGAAAACGGGTCGGATCATCGTGTCATGAGCGGAGTCCTCGTCGCCGTCGCCGTCGGCGAGGGTCACGCAGGCGATCTTCCGGTCGGAGCCACCGGCGCATACTGAAGAAACCAAGGTTTCGAGATCGACTTCGGGCATTTAATCCGGTGAGGGCTTTAGCAGAGAGAGAAAGTTGAATGGATATGATCGGAGTGATGAAAGTTTGGTATTTGGAAGGAGGAAGAGGAGAGATACAAAATTGGGTCTCTATATAACAAAAGCCTCTTTTATATTTGCCGATTAAGTGATATTTTTTGTTTTATGTGATCTTCCCTTTCATATTACTATCAGTTGACTTTTATTATTTAAATCAGGAGAGTTTTCTGGATGCTAAACTCATATGATTTTAATGATTCACTGTTAAATCCTCTCACTGTCAAGGTCCGTACGCGTGATGCCAAAGATTCAAATGTATGTTTTTGAAAAAAAAATCAAAGATTATCGTGATATACTTATTACTTATATGAGCTAAGCGGGATTAAATGACATTTTGGCTTTGGTCCAACTTGAATTGTTTATTTGATTCATTTATTTGATTCATGCTTTCGGTAATTTCGATGGCATTACCATAAATATCTTGTCGTCTCTAACGGTTTTCAATCACGAACGAAGCTACACATTATGATTATTTTATCAATTTGCTGCAGCTTGACGGTTGTATTTTATTGTTTAGAGCAAAAAGTACAAAAAATTTCTCTAAGACATTTAACATGATTATCCAAGCACAATCTCTTGTTAATCAATAAATTTCTTTTAAATCATGTGCTAGAATTATGTGTAGTTGGACTTTATATCAGTATGTTATTCAAGACTAAAATATTTTAAATGATCTATCTATTCTGAGATTTTAACACTTGCTTTAGGACGTTATTATGCGGACCGAAGATGAACCGAAGATGAGAGATGGGCCTCAGTAAAAAGGAGCTGGCCCATTCGCTCAAACTGATATAAGATGAGCGGTTACGTGAGTAACAAACTTCCCCTCTCCATTTTCCCTCTGCGCTCTCTAAAACCTGCAAAACTCCAGATTTTCTCGAGAATCGTGAAGAAGAAGGAAAATATGTTGGCGTTGTTCGAGAAAGGAGTCGCAAAGAAACCGGTCATGCTTTTCGGGAGTATCGTGACACCGGCGGTGACAAATGCCCCGGAGGAGCCGCCGACAATCGAATCCGTGGCTGCCATTGAAGACGTCGCAAGGGGTTTTGAGGTCTACTATCCGAACTCGCTCTGCATCAAGAATCTCCCTTCTTGTGTTATGTCATCCAAGCTGGATCAAAATAGCTTCATCACTCCAAGGTAACCTCTTGAATCTCATATCCTCTGTTTTCTTAAGTAATAGTGACACTGCGATCCTCAATTTGAGGTTATCTTTTTTTTTTTTCTTCTGCTGTCGACGATAATTAAATCTTGATTCATTTCTTAGTCTTCTTCGATCGCTATTCCGTTTTACTCTCTTAATCTTGTTTTATCATTTCGTCGCAGCTCTCTTGTTGTCAAAGATGATGTTGTTTGTCTCTTTCACGGCCGAATTGAGAACAGAGAGCTTTTGCAAATGACACATGTATTGCATGACGTTAGCAACGACGCAGCAACAGTGAGCACATTGTACAGCAGGTTTAAATCACAAGGAGACGAATGGTACAATGTTGTCCGGCGTTTCCAGGGAAACTTTAGCTTCGTAATCTATGATGCATGGACTAAGCAATTCTTCGTTTCCACGGTAAGATTCTCTTTTCTCCTTTGATACCACATTTAGATATTAAAAACTATGTTCATTTTTTTTTGTTTTTTTTCAGGATCCTAGAGGCGCTGCAGCTCAATGCTTTTGGGGAACAGATTCGCATGGAAATTTGGTGTTTTCAACAAACTGGCAAATTTCCAAAGCTGCATCCGCCAAGTTTTACGGCAGTGTCACGGGAGGCTGCTTTGTGGCAACCGGAAAAGGATTGAGAAGACTTGAGAGCCCAAATACTCAACTAGTGGTGAAAGAAGTGGTGGCTTCATCTTGAAGAAATGTGGACTGAAGCTTGAAGACGTATTGAAGTAAAGAGACATGAAGAAAAAGAAAAACAGAGAGTAGACTATCTGAGGTACTATAAACATTGGAAAAAGTTAGGTATAAACATTGGAAAGCGCTTACATATTGTTTCATAGGGTAGTAGTGGTTTCATCTTTCATGACATTGTACATGGTTACATCTTTATGTGTAAATGAAAAATAACCAAGTTGTGGACACATACATAGAGCTTATTATAATCATGAAAAGTAAACACAATACAGAGAAAGCTGTACGACGTGACCATTCTCCAGTGCTGTCAATAACCTTCTATCAAACCACAATCTCAAGTAAGACATCTTCAGACGCCAAACTGTCCCATGACATTGCCATAGCTCCAAACCATCTTACTTGACCTCTTGAAAGCCTCACTATTCAACTCCCTTGACAGCCAAATCTGATCTTCAGGAGTCATCAGTATCAATGGCTGGTGGATTCCATACTCGAATTCTTCTAGGAGGCACTGAAGCTTCCTGTTAAAATCCACATGACTCTCAAACTCTTCCTTCTCATCACTGCAACAAGAGCTGAAGGAAGCGTACCTGAGAAGCAACAGTCATTGTGGGCTTTCCAAAGTCTGTAGTAGGAGAGAGCCTGTCTTTCAAACCAGCATCCTCCACTAATAGCTAAGTTAGTGTAAAATAGAGTGAGAAGATGTAAGAAAATACCATGATAGCTAGAGGAGATAGTGGCGAATAAGACGTTTCTAGCATAAGGTTGATTATCTTATATCTACAAGTCTCAGCAGATTAAAGAGAGACATACTCTTACAAACACACACCTTTTATAACAGGGAGAGTAGAAAGCCATGCATCTTGCAAGAGATTACGCGTCCTTCCATTCCCAAGCATCCTATGATTTGAACAAACATATACAAATTCACAATGGAGAATTTGCTCGCTTCACCAGAGTCAACCTGACTTCTTTAACATCCACAAATAAAAACCCTTTTAAGGTTTGACAAAAAATTCACTTGCAGACAATAAAATGGAAGTCATTCAGTTCAGTATCTCCTGAATTGTTTCAACAATCAAACCATCCGAAGAATAACCGGATCCAAGTAAATTTACATTTTTCCTCGAAATTGAAATACAACGAATCCCTCTCGTCGGTAAATCCAAAAGAGAGCGCATAACTGATACAAAAAGGCTAAAACTGACCTATTCATGTCCATGGATTGTTTCGGTAGACCCAATTTCGATTACATATCGGATCATCAGGCGATGGTGCTACTGTTGATAATTTCATACCTAGAAACTCCACCATGCCATCAAAATTGTTAGGAAGAGAAAACCAGGCCGCAATATTGTCTTTTTCTGGGCTATCGATGGGAAAGAAGTAGAATTGACAGAGATTGAAGATAAGAACTGAGATGAAATAGAGGAGAGATTCAGAAGAATTAAGAGGTTGAAGAAGAAGACAATTTAGATTTAGAAGGAAATAAGTGCAATTATTAATTAATAATTCTTTCATGAGTTATTTACATAGGAAGCGTGAGCTAAGTACTAAAACGATACAAGAATAATGAAAATTTAACGAAGAAGCCCAACACAGGCCCAATATTCTCACTCTACCTCCAAGGAAAGTCGTTTTACTGACTTGAGAGATTCCAGAATCTTCTCATTGGCTATATTAGAAACGTTTGGTATAGTAAAACACTAAAACCCATGTGACAAGAAGAGTCCAGTAGATATAATTGAGATCATTCAGCGAACACAAGGTGGCAGGAATTTGATGCCCTAACCACACCATCCAAGTCCATGAGCTTCGTATATCTCTCTTCCAACTTGCTGAGCTCTTTGTACTGAATGGGTCTTGTGGAAAAAGTTGCACTCTTCAGACGTCTTGCGTACGTAAGAATGTATGTAGCCACTTCTATCTCCTCTTCTCTATCCCAGTTAAATAGTTCCCACTCCAATTTCTCAAGATGGGACAACAAACATTCAGGGACAACGTCAGGTTGATTCCATTTCCCGCCGACCACACAATCTTTATCAAATCTCTGGGATTGCTGATGAGACCAGCACAAGGACATTTAAAATCTAACCACAAAGAGTAACCACTAAAGATAAAAAGCTAATAATGAAATGACTTACATCAATGAACTTGAGGACTTGTAGTTTAGGAGAGAAATCGAGCATAAACGTAAGTAGATTCCACCACTTTCCTTTACAAGTACAGATCTCTAGATAAACCAGCTGATTAAAAATATCTCCGGTAGGAAACAAAATCTATGGATCAAGATACAAGATCATACATTAGTATTACGTACTAATACAGAAATATTTTTGATATACAAATAACTCAATTTCTATAAGCAAAAGTTACCTCCGAGGGTAACTCCAAGGAAAGACGTTTGGCTGAATTGAGAGATCCAACAAGGTTCCCGTTCATTATGGGAGAAACATTACTAATATTTGCCTCAACTAGCTTAGGAGAATCCACAATAGAACATCGCTCACAAGGACTAATCCCTCTAATTTCCAAGTACATCAAAGAAGGTGCGTTTATCTCATAGCCACCATTCTTTACTACACCAGTGTCATCTTTAATCGATAGTCTCTTCAAGGAAGTTGACACAATAACGAAAGTCAGCACATTCTCATGCTTACCTCGACGCATGACCAGATTTTCAAGATTAGGGCATCCGGATATAAAGTTACGAAACGATTCATTGTCGCTGAAACCCACGCAGTGAAGGTGAAGAGTTCTGAGGGACTTCATACAAAATCCAGGAGGAACATCTGAAAGAACCGAATTCTTGAGTTTCAAGGTCTCAAGCGTATCACTAAACCTAAACAAGCTTCTTAGAAATTGGACATTCGGTCCAAAGAAAAGATCGAGCACGAACTCACGCAGATGGCGTGAAAACGCGATTCCAGCCCATAGTCCAAGATCTATAGCACAACAACTACGAGAAAGTTTGAGATGCAAACTCTCCAAAACTGGAGCTTTGTGCAAAAGCAAACACCTGCCAACATTCTCTGAAAATTTATGTATGTTCTGATGATTGTAACATTCAAACTGGAGTCTCGGCACCACCTTCCAAAGAGATCGCCATCGTTTAGACAGAACACTAGTGGCTACGACAGCTTTTGTTGGAAGACAAGACAATATTTGTAGAAGCAAAGTTTCAGACAAGTCACTGATCCTGTCCTCCTTCACAACAACTCGCTTTCTCAAACTTTCATCACTAAAACCGAAGAAAAACACGAGATTTTAAGAGTTTAGGGTTTGGAGCTTACAGGCGTAATATATATAAGAACATATATAACCTAAACAGAAAAAAAACATACCATTGTTCCATTATTTTGTTGATAGCGACAATAATTTTGTTGAATCAGTGCGTTTGTTGCTAAAATCTTTTCACCACCAAAGTCAAAGAAGAGAAGGTTTGGATGTTTTTAGAATTTACGTAGAGGATGGCAAAGAAAAGAAAGATAAACGATTTTATTAGGGTGGGGTAACCGACTAACCGAACTGGATTCAACATGATCAGCCAAACCCAAACATGGTTACTATCTTCGAATTTGAGTTAGTAGTGCTAATAGGGAACCGTTCGTTAAGAACCGATCGATCGGTTTAGTTCCGGTGTGTTTTAATTTATTATCGAACCGAATCCAGAACAAAAACAATGTTGTAACCGATCGGTTACGTTTAATTAGTGATGATTTGAAATAGACCAAATTACCATATTTTCATCTGGTTCAAGAATGTCCAAGCCCTAGCCCCTAGACAGAACGTATTGTAAAAACATTTTCCCTCTTGGTCCCCATTACTGCTTTTTTTATTCACTGTATTTGTCTCATTTAGCTTGACTAGTAAAGCATAATATATATAAAACCAACACAAACCCCTACTTAAGATAAACCACAAAATAGTAATGCATAAAATTCATAATTATCATCTCTCAATAGCCAGACCAGACATATATAGTTGCATACCATGATGAATCCAAAACCGACATACTTCCCTCAAAGTTGTATGTGACAAGTGTAATATATAAGATCATTCGAATACAAACACATGGTGACATGAATTTGAAGCCATGACTACGCCATGAAACTCTTTGCCCATCTCACGTCTCTGTTCCAACTCGTTGAGCTTTTTAGTGGGTGTAAATTTTTCCTTCTTCAACCGTCTTGCGTTCTTTAGAATGTAAGTAGCCACTTGTATCTCCTCTTCTATTCTCCAATCGTAACTTGTCCACACAAATGTCTCGAGTTGGGAGAACAAACATTCAGGAACACACTTTGGTTCGCTCCATTTCTCGCTACAATGCAAATTTTCTCGAGGAGACCCACACTAGGCAAAGAGACCCATCAAAATTAGAACCCTAGGCAAATAGAACATCAAAGTATAGGTAGGTAACTAATAATGAAATATCTTACATCAGTGAGCTTGAGGACATTTAACTTAGGAGAGCTATCGAGCATGAGCGCAAGTAGACTCCACCACATGGCTTTATGTGTATACATCTCCAGATATACCAGCTGATTGAAGATACTACCAGTAGGAAGCTTAATCTATATATGCATAAAGATCATATTATTATTATCAAACTTAGTAACGTAAACAACAAGTAAGTGAATTGCGATAAATAAAAACACTTAAAAGTATTACCTCCAAGGGGGATAAGTCCATGATAAGACTTTTAACTGACTTGAGAGATTCCAGAATCATCTCATTGTCTATCTCAGAAACGTTTCTAATATCTGCCTCAACTAGCTCGCACGCATTCTCAATCAGACAAACCTCATAGCCTTTTAACTTGCTAATTTTCAAGTATTTCAAACAAGGAGCGTTTATCACAAATCTAGCATTCTTTCGTCCAGTAGCGGAATCGTATACGGATAGTCTCTTCAAAGATGGCGCCACAATAATGTGATGACGGTATAAATCTCCATGTACAAGCAACTCTTCAAGATTAGGGCAGCCAGATACGAGGTTATGAAAGGATTCGGCGTATTTGTACCTCACATCTACAAGGTGAAGAGTTTTAAGGGACTTCAATGAAACCGGAGAAGTAGCATCCACTTCGATCTCGTTCTCGAGTTTCAAGGTCTCGAGTGAAGCAGAGTAGAACAAGCTACTCGGAAAAGGGACAAATGCGCCAGAGGAAACGAGTACGAACTCACGCACATGGCGTGCAAATGCAATTCCAGCCAATACTCCAATATCTCCCATCTCTGTATTATAACATCTATCTCCAACTCTCAGGTGCAAACTCTCAAGCACCGGAGCTTCATGCGAAAGCAAACTCGTTACAACATTCATTGCAAATTTCTTCTTGGTAGATTCGAACTCGAACTCGAGCTTCGGCACCATCTTCCAAAGAGATTGCCATTGTTTAGACAAAACACTTGTGGTTATAACATGTTTTGTTGGAAGTAAGGACAATATCTGCAGAAGCAAAGCCTCAGGCAACTCACTGATCCTGTCCTCATTCACAACTCTTCGCTTTCTCACACTTTTTTCGTCGTTAAAATCAAAGAAGAAAAGGTTAATGAGTTAGGGTTTAAAATCCTACTATACAAACGGGAATCATATATAAACAAGCAGAGAAAACTTACCATTCCATAATAATTGATACTTGATAGAGACGACAATATTGTTAGATTAGAGCCTTTGTTGGTAAAATCTTTTCACTACAAAGTCGAAGAAGAGAAGATTGGAGTTAGGGCTTGGATTTATTATAAGAAGAGTACATAGAGGATGGCAGATAAAAGACAAACGAAACAGAGGAACAAACCGTTTAAACCGATAGGTTCTGTTCGAGTGGGATTTAAAACCGAACCGGATCCAACATGGTTACTTTTTTGAAATTGGGGGTTTGGGTGGGTGCTGAAAGGGAATTGTTAGATTTTAACCGATCGGTTTTGTTCGGGTGGGATTTGATTTTATTTCGAACCGAATAAAATCCAATCGGTTAGAAGGTTGTGATTGAAATAAAACCAAATTACCATATTTATTTGCCAATTTCATTCTCAGTTAGAAGGTTTTTACCAAAATCTGAAATAAAACATAGATTTGTGAATTGTAGCGGCAAATATATTGTTTCATATGGTCATGCACAAACATAGAAATCTTGGTTACTTGTATGTTTGGATAATACACGAAATATACACAATGACATTTACGATCTGCTTTTATGTTTAATTGTATGTTATTGTTACTAAGGATGAAGAAGTTTCTATGTCTAGGAAGGAAATTCTCGAACATATTGGTTGAAATTAATACCATATCAGCCCACATTCATTTACCTATTGTCATGGTACTAAACTTAATCTAGCTTTTTTAAAACCACAAATGACATATATTATATCTTTCGAGGCAAACTCAACAATATCGATGATATGTTGAAATAATATGGTCTTAGCATAGACAACAACAAGTCAAACCCTAGTCATAAGGCATTTAGAAAACATTATCCTGGAGCTGATAAGAAAATTGATGCCAATACCAATTGGTGTAAATCAGTGGATAAAGATTTCAAATGAGACTTTGCATTCATGGTGTTTGATGCAAGGAACAACAATTTCTTTGCCACATGTGATTTTGATATGGCCACTAACATTGAAGACAATGTTTTTTCTTCGGTCCTTGTCATGACATGCTTAATCAGCATTGTGACAAATTCTATGGCTCAATTCCTAAAAATTGATACTTACCATTGTTCCATTATAGTTAATACTTGTCAGAAACGACAATCTTGTTAGATTAATACGTTTGTTGGTAAAATCTTTTCACCACTAAAGGTCAAATAAGATAAGATTACAATTAGGATTTGGATGTTTTTATAAGAGGAGTTCATAGAGGATGGCAAAGAAAAGACAAACGAAACACGGAAACAGAGGAACAAACAATTTTTTATTTAAACCGATCGGTTATGTTCGGGTGGGGTTTTGATCCAACATGCTCTTTTCCAGCTTGGAACAGTTAGACTTTAACCGATCGGTTTTGTTCGGGTGGAATCTGATTTAATATCGAACCGAATTAAATCCAATCGGTTAGAAGGTGATGATTTGAAAAATAAAACCAAATTACCATATTAATTGCCAATTTCTTTCTCAGTTAGAGAAGGTTCGTATCAAAATCTGAAATAAAACATAGGTTTGTTAGCCGTAATATACAAAACCACAAGATAAACCTTACTTAACAAGTTAAACGAACACCATTTCCGCCTACAAAATCTTCCAAGAGTCAAAACAAATGATACAAAGAAGAAAAGAACACAAATGTTAAAATCTGACTTTTTGGTTTTGGATTTTGGTGACTGACGGATGTTTTCACAAATAAATGAAAAAAAAAAATGACGAAAATTACTTTAAAGAAATTAATAAGGATTGTAACGGCTTCTTCCTCTGCCATTGTCGCTACTTCGTTTGCTGCTGCTGCTGCTGCTCGACCCGCCTCCTCTATACGGTGGTGAAGGCCTTGGCGGTGGTTGTGGCACTGCTGCTAGTCCAGGCTGTTGCCTGTTATGTTCATCACATTGAGATCAACACACCGAGTCTTATGCATGAGAGATCACACTACAAGTGTATCCACAGATAGAAGAAACTTACAAGACATAGCCGATTCTTCCATCGGGTAACATGATCGGCATCATCGACATTCCACCAGCTGCGTGACCTCCCACTAACGGCTGCATCAATTGCCACAGAATTAGTCTCAGGTTATGTTATAAAGTTTATTTTCCGAGAAGTAAGCATTTTAGTCAAGTAAAGATGAAGAAAACGAATCTTACTTGTGAGTAGGCAGAAGCTCCAAATGCACCAAGAGCACCAAAGGGACTAGGAGCCATGCCATAACCAAGAAGTGGAGGATAGTTTGGTTGCAGTTGCGATTTCTGCATGTTCTGAACTGTATTGGCGTTGTTGTTGTTCCCCTTTTGATCCGCTTGAGGCTTTGCAAGAGTACAATCCAACGTGTGACCTGTAAAGAAAATGAAAATGGTCATACATTACAGTATTGAAGATTTTTTTGTGGAAGAGAGTATACAAAAAAAAAAGTTGTAATGGACTGTACCATCAATCTCATATCTTTCAGTGTTTTTCAACGCTTTCATGACGCTTGTCCTCTCCGCGTAGTGGACAAACCCGTATCTACTGTCTTCCTTTCCTGGCTTTGCTGGTGGAATCACCACTTTCAGGATCTTCCCGTGATGTTCGAATAGTGCCTTTAGGCGCTCTTGTGTTATATCTCTAGGCAAGTTCTTGATGTACAATGCCTTGACCTACATAAGTAAGAAGATAACATGTCCTTAAGATGAAGATTTCTCGGTAGTGCGTAGGATAAATGTCGCTGCTTCTACTATTTGTTTGTAAAGAAGCAAACCTGTGAAGCATTAGAGTCTCCTCCTCCGTTCCTTGATTCAGCCCAGCTTACAGTTGGCGCATTATCATCAAGCTTAAAACTCGGGTTTGACATTTTCTGTTTTGAGTATTCTGCACATGCATGGTTGTAATACTCGATGAAAGCAAATCCACGATTCCGGCTCGTGTTTTGTGGATCCTGCCATTTTGAGAAAAACCAAATAAAAAATTTGACTCGAATGAATGAGAAATGTATGTCTACAACTTAAAAATTCACTTCAACAGATCATAATGTAACATGAAAACAAGATGAATGTTGCAGAGAATAGTAAATATACACAATACGTTTGAAGCTATTTCCAGGAGCAGGAGACAAACCTTTGGCAGTTCAATAATTTGTACGCCTGGACCAACTCTACTCGCTGTTTTCCTAATGTCAGTCTCTGTCCAACTTCTAGGAACATTACCAAGAAACAGACGATGCTTTGCTTGAGTAGTGGAACATTTTATCCTTTTACCCTATAGAATGACATTAAGCAAACAGAAACGAATAAGAGCCAGGACAAATCCGAAACACCAATCCATCAATAGCTTCAGAAGGTTTTCTAGTTGTTAAGAAGGAGTTTTACCTTGAACTCGGTGTTGTTTAGATGGTCAATAGCTTCAGAAGCTAAATCCTTGTTTCTGAATGTTACAAACGCATACCCTTTCCCATCACCAGACTCTTTTTCCCTCATTATCCTAACCTGTTGACACGAGACCAACAAACTCAGCACAAGATAACAAAATCATAGAAAACCACAAAGTACTGAAGAATCAATCAAAACCCAAAATTACCTCGGTGACTTCCCCTATCGATTCACAGAAGCCCTTCAAGTCCTTTTCAGAAACATCAGTGGGAATGCCACCAAGATAAACCTCTGAGCCATGAGGAGGAAGTGCCATGAGTTCAACATGCCTCTTCTTCTCCTCTTCCTCTTCCGTAACAACAGCAGCAGCATCATCCTCATCATCTTCCACTTCCACCTCAATCTCCTCTTCTATCTCCTCAATCTCCTCCTCCTCTTCAACTTCTTCGTATTCAACTTCCTCCTCCAAAGTCTCCTCGGGATCATTGTCACCATCAAGGTCTACCCTTTCCTCAGACTCCATCGAATCGTGAGCCTCTGAAGCAGCGGTCCTCGTCCTTGACATCTCTTTAAGTATCTAGAAAATAACACTTGCACTGCAACTGTGGAGGAGACACAGAAGCAAGAAGCGTATTGGGGAGAGAGAATAGAGAAAAAAAATTGGGGAAAAAGGTTGGAAAAAAAAAGAGAAACAATAAGAGGCCGATGACAGAAAAGAAGTTCGAATCGAGACTCTGCCATCATCATTACGGCTTAAAAGGTAAGGTTTATTAACAAATGACAAAGAGAGAAAAAGAGGGCTATGAATGCTTAAAACAAAGTAAGAAACTTGAGATAGATTATGAGTGATCCTGACATGATAATCATTGGCCATTGTTAGATGCAGAGAGAGGTTAAAGCTTGAAATCAATGGCAACTTAGAATTAGCTTATAGAAGTAACTTAGATAACTCCAGCTCCAATGTTAGATCTCCGAACACACACAAGTGAAAGTTTTTATGCACCTGTTAAGAGAATCCTCTGGCTTTTAACTACTAGAGCTCTATACAATTTTTCCATGAATAGACCACACAATGTTTTCTCCGGTATCAAGCAGAAAAAAAAAACACAGCGAGAGCAAAATGAGAGCAGATTCGACTTTTTAATTGAGATAAGAAGAGTTTACGAAATTTCAATTTGAGGAGAAGTGAAAAATCGGATCCTCAAGCAAAACAAAGCAATCATGGAAGGATGCGAAGAGAGGAGCAATGAGATGCAAGGCGAGAGGGAAAGAGAAAGTACCTGAAAGGGCGAGAGAGAGGAAAGGGAGGAGAGAAAGGGAGCTGCCGGAAGAAAACCCTAAAATTAAGAATTGTAACGGAGGTGGTCCGAGCAAGTGTTTCGCGCAGCGAGCGCAGCGAAGGTTGAAAATAGTGTTATCCTTTTTTTTTTTTTAATTCGGTTGAAGGTTGAAAATGTGTAATTTGGCTTATATGACCCAATAGAAAGCCTCCTACTAGTACTACTTTATGAAGAGAAATCACATTACTCTCCTCTTTTAAATCAAAGTCGACGCAACAAAACTTTTAAATTTGAGGATTTTATAAATTTTAAACTGAAATGATTGGTAGATGTGTGTATAATTTGTATCATTTTAATTTAAATATCAGTCGTATTTTTATTTTATTTTTGGGAAAATTATTGAACAAAATTGGAGATCCCAATTCGTACATCCAAACATTTTTGTTCTACTATCTTGGATTCATATAGTTATTTGATGTTCTTTTGAAAAAAAAAAAAAAAAAAAACAACAACAACATTGAATATATATATAAAAAAAAAAAAATGTTTTTGATAGATTTGTTACATATGAGTACGATAGCTAGCAAATTGTTAAGCTTATGAGAACTCATGGACACATACAGTGGTTTCGATCTCGTCATCGGAGGAAGCCCTGACAACAAACTTGTTGGAGGCAATAACGAATTTGATAACATGTGTGTGTGGTAATTGCCATAATTGCCAAAACCAATCGGATTAAACTTCTTAGTTACCAAAATTGCATAAAACTTATCAGATTCTTCTCCTTTATGTGTATGGTATTTTCTATTTTATGGGAAGGCGTATTGAGAACATTTCTTATATGGCTGCACAATTTATGCTCAAATCTATCTTGACCAACCAATAATTTTAATTGAGGCATACCACATGAGTGTTTATGCAAGTGTTTTGCTGATATCGTGATTGTTGATATACAATCTAACTTAATGTTTGGCAGATTTTCAGTGTTTAATGAATCATTGCTTTGCAGCTTTTCAGTGTTGAAAGATGATATCTTCTGTTTCCTTCGTGGTCGCATTGACAACATGGATGATTTGGCGACATAGTTTATGCTCTACAAATACTCTGACCACTCTCTGATTCTCACCGAGGCCTACCGCATGCAGCGCCGCCACAATAATACACCAGAGACAGAATCTGAGAAGTTTGCTCGTGAATATCATTGGCTGAGCTTGGTCAAAGGAACACGTGGAGCTTTCTCTCTTGTCCTCTATGACCACCTAAAGAAAACTCTTTTTGCAGCAGCAGTAAGTAAATTCAATATATTCAGTTAATTCTTTGCTTATTTTAATGTATATTTAGAGATTTACTTTGAATTTTGTTCGAGGGACCGGATGCCCTCATGCCCATCTCCCATTCTACTGGGGAAATGATATGGAAGGAAACCTTATTCTAACTGTTCATCAAGATTTGATCAAAATAGCTTGTGGGCAATGTTTTGGTTACTTTCCCAAAGGTATCATTGTATCAATATTTTGACTCTACATTTATTTTACGACATTAAACTCTGTCCACAAGCATTGTATTGAAAGATAACTAAGTATTTCATTTTTTATCAGGTTGCTATACTTCTAGTAACGGTCTCAAAAGCTACAATCAAGACAAGGTCATCAGAGTTGTTCAGACCCATGACAGTTTAGGCAGCTTCCCTTTGACAGCTCAGATCGACGGTGATGATACTCCCACTAACACCGACGTTGCTTCCACCGGTCACAACTACTGGGGTTGAAGAAATTTTATGGTTTTTAGCAATATTATGCTGTAAAGGATGTTGAAACAATTAGATGTGCGAACTTGGGTAGTTATGAGTTTAAAACTCTCGAGACAAAATCCCATTTTGATTAGAAACTTTATAAAGGCAAATACAACATATTGGTTTCATAAGTATAACTGTATAAGTGATTCATTCATTATTGAATTTACAATGTGAAAACTTATGAGCTATCTAAACTTTTAAAATATGTGGCAATGAACATGATATCATTTGATTTCTTCAATATACAAATCGAATTCATCACCAATTAAATAGAAAAAAAAAAACAAAAAAAATATCTCGGCCACTCCCACCGCGTAATTCCGAACATCTCCGGCGATCGGAGCTGTCTCTCTTTTCAACTTCCCCTTTTTCGATTCCCAGGTACTCTCTCTCTCATATCCCACGTTTCTCTACCAAATGACTGTTCCGATTCTTATCATCTTCACGAAATCGGTCTCATGTCTGGTTGTATCCGCAGCGATGGTTTCCATGTAGCTTCCGCTGATTTCAACTCTCTGACGGCAGCTATGGCAGTGGGACTTCCTCGTCTTGTCGCTATTGCTCTTACACTTCATCTACTTTCAGTCCTTCCTCTCCCTATCTCTCTCGCAGGTGACTTTTCGCTCCAGATTATCAAATTTTTCTCTCTATCTGATCACTGTTTGACCCAACCATAACATTTCCATCTTTTGCTTATACTGTTTCCTGTATTCTGTGTGTAGGTGAGATTACGTCTATTGAATCTGTCCCCGATCTTCAGAAGCTAATGTATGTTGCTGTTGATGGCTATCCTTGTGTGCGGCTTCTCAATCTCTCTGGAGAGATTGGATGTTCAAGTAAGCTTGAATTGGGATTTGGGTCTCCCCTAACTGATTGTTACTGTTGATTAGTTGCCCTAATTTGTGTGCTTGCCAAATACTCAGATCCTGGATTGAATAAAGTGGTGGCTCCAATCATAAAATTAAAGGACGTTAAAGATTTGGTTGAGCCACACACTATTCTGGTGACAGCTGATGAAATGGAAGATTTCTTTACTAGGCATGTCTCCTTTGTCTTTTCTTGCACAATTTGTATCTTTCCGATTTCTCATTTTTGTGTTTTTGAAAGTCAATTAGATCCTTACAGTAACGTATAGATAAGGCTGAGAAGTACGTTTTGGCAAAGCTACTAGAAATGTAGTCACTTGGTTGTTAGTGCATTGAGTATTCACTAGAATCCTGTGATTCGTTGGAGACTTATGATTCTTGTTCATCCTACAAACTATAAGTGGATATACCTCTTAGCAAATCACATTATAATTCTGCATTCGGGTGCCATTCTTAGGGTGTCAAATGATTTGAGTTTTGCTAGCAACATTGGTGGCGTTCTAGTAGAATCAGGATCTAGCTTTCAACAAAAGTTAAAAGGTACTATGTCAATCCGCATATTTTTATGTTTCTGTCTATCTGAATGGTTATTTCCTTATCTATGTTCATTGCGTTAGTGTTTCTTTCTTCTTTCTTGCAGGTCTTTCCCCTGATAAAACGTTTCCTCAAGCGCAGTTTTCACCATATGAAAACGTTGACTACAAATGGAATCCAGCTGTATGGTATCTTAAACTATGTCTGAATCTTTAAAGTTACTTCTTCTTCTTGTGATTCATGTCTGTGGGTTGGAATTTATATGAATTAGATTAGTTATCACCATTTCCGAGATATATGCTATTATTTTCTGGAATTGTAATTAACTACATGCTCTCAGACATCATAAATCCTTATCTTGTGGTATTTTGTATATATTTTAAAAACAGAATGCATGTATGTGCTCAGCTTATCACTTAGAAAGAAGTTCAGAAAAGAGTCGCATATTATCTACCTCAAGAAAATGATAGTGCATCTGATCCTTTTTCTATGGAGAAGACACTGATTTCAATTTTTATGAGTAGTTGTAGGGGATGGGTCTCTGGCCATTGACCATTATAAAAAAGTGATTCATTTTATTTGCAGGCATCAAGCATTATGTGGAAAGCTTATGATTTTCCTGTGTACTTATTGTCAGAAAGTGGCATATCAGCTGTGCATGAGGTAATCCTTCAAACTTGCGTTCTGTCAAGAAGCTAGATTTATGTATTCTGTTGTGTTGGTCGCAATCCAGATGTGTGTGGCTGTCAAGTTATCTGAATCGAGTTCCTTTTTCAAGGTTTTTGACTATTTACTCGAATGCTAATATACTTGTGCAGTTCCTTTCCAAGAAAAAAATGAAGCACAAAACTTTAACCAGTGACGTCGCTGAATTCAATATGGTTATGGAGGTATTTGGCTTTAGCAATCTAGCTCACTGGACTGTTAACCATCTTTTCACGGTGACTGAGATTTTGACCCTTTTTTTTTATGGAGTAGACTACCAAAGCTGGTACACACAACTCAGAGGCTTGTCTACAGGAAGGAACTTGCATCCCATTGGGTGGATATAGGTAACATTTTAAGAGGTTTAAATGCTCTTATGTACTGTCTGGTTTCAAAGCATACGATAACTTTTCAAAGGATAGGTTTGGTTTTCTAATATCTTTGTTACGACAGTGTTTGGTCCTCGCTTCCACCAATCAATGTTTCGTCTTCCAACAATCGCAAGCCAATTGTGCTAACTGTGGCCTCCATGGATTCTGCATCATTTTTCCGTGACAAGAGCTTTGGTGCAGACTCACCGATATCTGTAAGATATTGCTATCTAGTGCTTTTGGGTTGATCTAAAATACTGTTATTTACTCTTCTTTTCCGATTCAGTGCTCATTGACTTCTCCAACTTTCAGGGACTGGTAGCTCTTCTCGGAGCAGTTGATGCTCTTTCTCGAGTTGATGGTTTTAGCAATCTCAAAAAGCAGGTGAATCTATCTATATAATTTCCATATAAATTGAGTTTATAGAACACATCAGTGTACCATGTGATTTTTTCTTATTTCATGCTTTCGTTGTTAACAAGCTTTAGTATCTTGCACTTTGCTGTGTTTTGGCTCTTATAACCTTATGTGTGTGTCCTAAATGAATGCAGCTTGTGTTCTTGGTTCTGACCGGGGAGACATGGGGTTACCTTGGCAGCAGGAGGTTCTTACACGAACTAGATCTGCATTCAGATGCTGTTGCAGGCCTTAGCGATACTCCAATTGAAACGGTAACATTTATTGTTTTGACCCGACAAAGTTGGTAGAGACATGAAATTGCTTTGTGGATAAAGTTGCGACGTAGTTGTTCCTTAGTATTGATTAATTAGGGTTCCTTGTGATATTGAGGCTTCATATTTCTCTAAATATAAAGATCCGAATTCAAATTACCGTCTTCTACAATATAACAGGTGCTTGAAATAGGATCCGTTGGAAAAGGTTTTAGGGGAGGGATGAATACCTTCTTTGCTCATAAAACTAGGGTGAGACATTCCTGATACTCTGAAACTCTTACATTATACTCTAGATCATGTGAATCTGCTGCCGGCGACTTAAACCTCCTCTTTTGCTGCTGTGCTTTAGGCTTCTTCGGTGACAAACATGACACTGGATGCTTTAAAGATAGCTCAGGACTCACTTGCATCGAAGAACATCAAGATTCTTTCAGCTAATTCCACAAACCCTGGAATTCCTCCATCATCCTTGATGGCATTCATGAAAAAGGTATATAGATGGAGTTTGAAAGAGAAAGCAACTCTTCAAAGATACATCACTATCAGTTGATATATGAGCATGGACTTTTAAATTTGTTGCAAAAGTAATGAATATGACAGGAAAAGTATTTTATTGCTTAATGTTGGTGCTACTGAATCAGTTGGCCTAGAGCGAAGAAGATATAACATCATATATGTCATGGTTGCAGAACCCTCAGACTTCAGCTGTTGTACTTGAAGACTTTGATACCAAGTTTGTGAATAAGTTCTACCATAGTCACCTCGATGATCTGTGTAAGTAGACTCACAGCCTGTCTTTCTCTTCTTTTCGCTGCGAAACCCATTTTGCAGTTTTCTGATTCCTTTCCGGTAATTTGTATTGCAGCAAATATCAACTCCTCATCTGTAGTAGCTGCTGCTTCCATTGTGGCACGTACACTTTACATCCTTGCAAGTGACAGCAAAGATAAAAACAACTCAGCTCTAGGATCTATTCACGTCAATGCTTCTTTCGTCGAAGAGCTTCTCGCCTGTCTTTTATCGTGTGAACCGGGCTTATCATGCGACTTGGTGAAAGATTACATCTCACCAACAAACACTTGCCCAGGCAACTACGCCGGCGTCATCATCGGAGAACCTTCCTCAAAACCTTACCTTGGTTACATCGGTGATGTTTCTAGATTCCTATGGAACTTTTTGGCTGATAAAACATCTGTCCAAAAGGGAAACACAACCTCGGTTTGTGCTAAAGGAGTCTGTAGCAAAGCCGACGAAGTGTGCATCAAAGCAGAGAGCAACAAGGAAGGAACATGCGTCGTCTCCACAACCAGGTACGTTCCCGCTTACTCAACCCGATTGAAGTATGTCGATGGAGCTTGGACGATTCTGCCTCAAAACACGTCGGATTCTATGGGGATGGTTGATCCGGTGTGGACTGAGAGCAACTGGGACACTATAAAAGTGCAGGTCTACACGGTCCAACACTCGGTATACGACAATTCGGTCCTTGTCGCTGGTCTTTCAGTCACAACATTGGCTTACATCGGGATTTTGGTTGCCAGATCGTTCATCTCCAAAGCTTTAAAGCAGGACTGAGGCTATTAAGAACAATTTCATGTTTTATCAGAAAATATCGTTTGTTTTGAAAATGTTGGTCAACATAAATGAGCTCAAACAAAATCTCAATGATATTCCCTCATTCAAATCTGTATAATAAAAACAGCAATTGAAGCTTAGTTGGAACTTGGAATAGACTAAAGAAGTTCTTAAATAGACAAGTAACGCAGAGCAGAAAGTGGTAAGAGATCAAACAGATAAGCTCATAAGCATAAACATCTACAAAAGGTTTAAAATGGAGTCGCTTCGATGATGATGATGATCATCATCCCACATCATTAGATGAACAAATGCTTGAATTCCCCATTTGCTAGCTTGCATAGCTCGTTGTAGTTGAGTGCATCTACAACCAAAATTTCAAAATTGAGCTCAATGCATCTTCTGATACATAATCCAAGAGATGAAAGACCTTAAACTGAAAAAAAATCACCAAAATGAAAAGGAATTTACCAAAGCTGTCTCCGAAATTGGTCCAAACTTCAGCGCGGATGGAGTTTTCACTGTCGGCAATTCCAATGACCTCGAGGTAAGTAGTCAGAGAAGGTGGAGGCGATCCCCTAACAAAGATCTGAAGATCGTCGGTGGATTTTCCGACCACAGAGCCCATGTCGGAGCCCATCACTTGAATCACGGTTCTGACTTTCTGGCCGACGAATCGCCTCAAGAGAGCTCCGTTCACAAACACTGAAGGACTTGAAGTATCCATTTGAATCTACGTCAAAAGATATTTGAGTTGGGTTGAAAAACAAAAACAATTAATCAATCACTGATCAATTTCATATCCGATATCAAAGATGGAGACTCGCGGAGAAAAAAATGGGAAAATCGATTTGAGAAACATCTGATAAACTCAATCGAAGGAAAGAGAGCTATATACTAATAATCGGCCATAGAAATATAAAATTGCTTGAGAGTTGAGAGAATTTACCTGATTAAAGAAGATGAATCGCTCGTCGAAGTTGCTAATGATTCCCCCTTTTGACCTCTCTGAGGTTTAAGGCTTTGTGAGAGAAATTTGGGCGGGAGCGAAAAGCTTCAGATGGCGCCAAAAACCTATTGGGCTTGAACAAAACTTATTCGGCTCGTAGAGTTTCACAATCCACAATTTTATCATGAATTCTAAATTTTGAAAATCATATAATAAGAACGGAATTAACTTGATTTTTTTTGGAAAATTAATCAATATTCAGTTGTATTATTCAATATGAAAAAATTACATGTCCCAAAAAATATAGGTACTGTATTATAATCGATAGATATTTGTTTTCTTAAGTTTGTAAGAAGAAAAAAAAAAGTTACATATTAAAGAGGAAAATTGAGAAGTAGGTTGTATAAAATCATTTCTCTTTCATTTTCTTGGTGATAGCGAAGGCAGCTCCGGCAACGGCCACGATCACGGCTGATATGATGATCGTCTTTTTCAGCGTTTGCGCTGCGTCTCTCGTTGCCTTTGCGTTTATCTTCTTTTCCAAGTTTTGCTGTACCTTTTCCATTTTAAACCCAACAAAATAATGAGAATATAAATACGAACTCATAGGTACAAGAAAACGTGGTAGAGCCTCTAATATTTGGTGGTTTGATTGAAACTCATGCAAAATCATGTCATCTAATAACTTTATCAATAGGTCACAGCACATAAATTCGTGACCCTGCCAAGTGCCAAATGATCCCAAGTCGAATTATGAATTGGATCATATACTAATTTATTTAAAACCTTTATAAAAAAAATCCAATACCTTATCAGCGGCGATCTCTGATGAAACAGGATCTACGTCGAATTTCTTGTTTAGGTTAAGATTTAATTCAGCTTCTGCATCGCCTTCTGGAAAAGCTGCTGTATCTGTCCCATCGGTTGCCATTTTCACTCAACTTTTTCTTCTTCTTAATTCCTTTTTCTTAAAGAATGCTTTCAGCACAAAACAAGATAAAGATCGCTAGAAAATGAGGCAAGTAATTAAGTTTGGATTTTGTGGCAAAGTCTTGCGCTCTAAAAATAGTTTGGAGTTTGTTTGTGTTGCTATGGATCTTCCAAGCCAATTCCGTAACCTTTTTTTTAGGCCTCTTCTTAAACTATTCCCGCCATATTCGTTGATTCCACTAAAATAAAATAGTAAAAAGAATCATACTTTCAACATCGGAATATTTATTTAATCAACTTAAAATTACATGGTCTGGATGTAGAAAATCAATCAACATTCATACACTACATGGAAGTAGCTAGATATATTCATATATAAGGTATTGAAGGAGAGGGACAATTTTTTGGTTATGTGCCGCGCAATATCGAAAAGATGTGTAACTGAAATTATTTCACTGGTTATTGATACAGTTTACTACAAATTTATTCAAAGAAACTTGTGTGGTAATTCACCTAAAACACACAAGAATATTAAAAGGAAGAAGAAGATCCTTCCAAAAGAATAGCTTTCATATGTTGAATCAGCCCATCCATTTGCTCTCTCGAATGCAACGGCGAAGGATACACGAACGCACAGTCCAGTTTCCCGTCTCTAAGCGTGTCGAAAACCGCGACTGACGGTCCAACACCGTGGATAGAAGCACATCCGATGTAATCATGCACCCCGGCCGAGGCCAATGCGGTTTCCGGATACTCGTCTGTCACGGGATCTTCAAATATTGAGATGAAAGCGGTTCTTAGAGACGAGGAAGGCGTGAGGTTAGGGTTCTCTATTGCCTTGCACATCAAGAAATTGAGATCTGACATGTCCGTGAACTGCTTGTTCGAGTTCTTGGCGGATGTGAATGAATCGTAGCATCTCTTGGCCAAGTCCCACAGCTTTTCCTCTCCGTTCATGTCGTGCGTGTGAAGTATCCCTGAGTGGTAGAAACCTAAAAAACATAACAACAGTAAATTAAGTTGGATTGTGTATTTCATGTAGTTAAACGCAAACAATCAATCGAATCCTAGATAACTATGCAATCTTGAACCATTGATTGGCTCATGAAAAACTTGTCTCAACCATGAGAAGATCTATGAACATATCTACAGATCTATGAGCAACATTTTTTATTTTTTTCATTTTTTTTGGTTTTATATGAGCAACATTCTTTACTGTGAAAATCCCAAACATTTCCGGCTTACCAAAGTCATTGGGAGTAAGAGGAGGCTCAAGAACAGAGCGACAGTCGGAAAGAGTCACGACGGCGTATTTCTCTCCCTGACCAGACTGTAGATTCTTAGAGGAATATGCAGAGATTAGCCCTGCGCTTGCTATTGCCGCCCATAGCTTTAGCCCTCTTCCCTTGCATCCCTGCAACGTGTGATTCAATGTTCCAAAATGTTCAGCACAAACCAAAACATCTTCTTACTCTTTCTGTGTTACAAATCAAATGTATGCATATGTAATTTTCTCATGTCATCTGACTGATTGTCGGAACATCAATTAACTGCATTATATTTTTCTTGCTCCCACTATAATTATATTGCCAAGAACATCAACATATCATAAACGGGAATAAAGTAAAAATTAATAACTTGATAGCTGAAATTCTCTACGTAAAAAATAAATATTTTTAGAAAAATTTCAGTTTTTTTTCTTCTGCAAATGATTAGATCAGCTAACATATTTTTTAGATCAGCTAAGTTAAGACTTAAGAGTAAAGTACAGTTACTACTTACTACAGTATCTGCTGTAGTAATTAGTAACCAAATTACGAAATCATTACAAGTTCACAGAGTCACTTACAGCCACAAGTTTGAGAGTCTGATCTCTTTCCAGTTTCAGCCTAACCACTTGAGTTCTCCGGTTCGAATCCTCCGCGTCCACGAAATTCAAATTCGAAAACCGGAATGCATTCAGCGAGTAACCAAGCACGTCGATCCCACGCGCCCAAAACGGTTTATCCCCTTTCCCACTCGGAACCAGATCCTCTATCGCCTTACCTAACTCCGCCGTCTCCGCAACCGTCACGGAACCGTTGCCGCGTCCATCCGCCGCCGTCGTATCCTTCATAAACTCTCTCAGAAGCGTAACCGCCGAAGTCCGATCGCACGCACCAGTGTTGAGCCGAAACGTCAGTATCCTTTCCTCGCCGTCGTCTCTCAGATCGTAAAGGCTGACGAAAAACACTCCGACCTCGCCGTTAGGCCAACGGTGCGGATCGATCCACGTGTTCTTGTTCATCTCGTGCTCTAAGATGATCCTGTGCGGTTCGGCGGAAGGATCGTCGCTGTCTCGGATGATCTGAGCCGTGGATGCGGAATCGAACGGCTTGATTTCGACGCGGGAATCGGCGGGCGTTACGAAGGAGAAGGAATTGGCGGATGCGTCGAAACGGACGTTTGAGCGGAGTGTTGGATGGTAAATCTGGAGTTTGTTGAGGGTGTTTTGGAGATTCTCGAGTTTAGGGACTCGGGTGAGTAAGAGAGCTATGACGGCGATTCCAGTGCCGCCGGTGATAGCTCTGCACCAACTGTACTCGGTGCCTCCAACGGGTCGGGTCACGGATACGGGTACCCGATTTGGATTCGGCTCACTCATTGTCTCTTCTCGAGAGAGATTGTTCTCTATCTTTCTGGGACTCTTTGGGATTTTTGTTTGATATTCTATTGGTCATTTACTCATATAGTCAGGTTGTTGGCTAATCAGGGAAGATACAGTGATCCCAATACAGTGACGTACCATTTTCTCGATTCCGGTTTAGTCATCAAATGTCAGTGATTTTGCATTTTTTCGAAATTACGTTTCGGTCTTACATTTTCGTAAAGAGCTCATTTTAGCCCCTTTACTTCTAAATACCACGCGGTCTATGTAATTCAGGAATCAAATTTCAAAATTCCCAGAACAAGAACAAAAACTCTGTTTTTGAATGTTGAGGAATCTCAGAGGTAAATTTCTTCGGTTCTCGAGCAACACCACAACAAAGTTACGATTTTCCACTAGCTCAGCCGCAGCTTATACAGTTTCTGATGATCTCCATGAACAATCCTCCGAATCTTCTCAAGCCTCTGTCTCTCGAGACACTGGGGATTACATCTCCGCGATTCTCAGCTGCAAAAACGTAATCGATGTTGGCAAAATTCACGCCCAAGTTATCGTCAATGGCTTTCTACAGGAGCTTCCGGTCGCAAATAAGCTGCTTTACCTATACGCGCAATTCAGAGCGATAGCTGATGCAGAGACGCTGTTCGATGAAATGAGCGTGAAGGACTCTGTTTCCTGGAGCGTGATGGTTGGTGGGTTTGCGAAGACCGGCGATTTCTTCAACTGTTTACGAGTTTTCAGAGAGATTGTTCGATCAAGCTTGAGTCTTGATAACTACACATTGCCGATAGTGATCAGGGCTTGCAGAGAGAAGAGAGATTCTGTAGTCGGTGGATTGATTCATGAGTTAGTGTTGAAGTCTGGTATGGATTTGGACTCTTACGTTTGTGCAGCGCTTGTGGCTATGTATGCGAAATGCGGTATGATCGATGATGCGTGTAAACTGTTCGATCAATTGCCTAAGAGAGATCTTGTGACTTGGACTGTGATGATCGGTGCTTATGCTGATTCAGGGAGGCCTGACGAGTCATGGGTGTTGTTTGAAAAGATGAGGAATGAAGGAATTGTTCCTGATAGAGCTGCGATCGTCACCATTGTTAACGCTTGTGCTAAGCTCGGAGCTTTGCACAAGGCGACGATCGTTCATGATTATATCCGTTTGATGAATTTCCCTGTTGGTGTGATTCTTGGAACGGCTCTGATTGATATGCACGCGAAGTGTGGAAACGTTGATGCTGCGAGAGAAGTGTTTGATTCGATGAAGGAAAGGAATGTCATTTCTTGGAGCGCGATGATTGCTGCGTACGGGTATCACGGGGAAGCAAGAAAGGCTCTTGAGTTGTTTCAGATGATGATGTTGGAGAGAAGATTGTCTCCGAATGAAATCACTTTCGTTTCTCTGCTTAACTCTTGTAGCCACGCAGGGTTTGTCGAAGAGGGCCTCGAGATGTTTGATTTGATGGCAAAGTACGGGATTAGGCCAAACGTGAAGCATTATACTTGTATGATCGATCTGTTAGGTCGAGCTGGTAGGCTTGATGAAGCTAGTGAGATGATTGAAACCCTGCCGGTTGAGAAAGATGAAACTTTGTGGGGTTCGTTTCTCGGTGCTTGCAGGATTCATAAGAATGTAGAAATGGCAGAGAGAGCAGCTATGTCATTGCTTGAGCTACAGCCAGAGAACTCAGGTCACTACATTTTACTCTCTAATATCTATGCAAACGATGGTAAATGGGAAGAGGTTGCTAAAGTTAGGAACTTGATGAACCAAAGGGGATTGAAGAAAGTTCCTGGTTACACTTGGATTGAAGCTAATAACAGAACACATAGGTTTAAAGTTGGGGATAGGACTCATCCCAAGTCTAAGGAGATTTATGAGTCTCTCAGGGATTTGACTGACAAGCTTGAGAAGGCAGGTTATGTCCCGGATACTAATTTCGTGTTGCACGATGTCGATGAAGAGGTTAAAGTCGGGATGTTGTCTTTGCATAGCGAGAAGCTAGCGTTAGCGTTTGGTTTGATCGCGACTCCTGAAGGTAGTCTGTTGAGGATTACAAAGAATTTGAGGGTTTGTGGTGACTGCCATAGTTTTTTCAAGTTTGCATCACTGGTTACAAGGCGGGAGGTTGTAGTAAGAGATGCAAATCGGTTTCATTGCTTCAAGGAAGGCTCTTGTTCATGTGGAGACTATTGGTAACTTTCAACTTGTTCAATCTTGTAACAAGTTTAGCTGAATCTTGACCTCATGGTATAGCCATAGAATCCTCTTTTATCATCATTTAATTTAATGAGTTTCTAAGAATTGGTGTCATTTTTATTTTTAACACAAAAGTATTCATCTACAAGACTACAACAATAATTAGAGAGGAACGAAACAATGGAAAATGATGCAATTATGGCTTGCCAAGTGCAAATACTACAGAAATCTAATTAAAGAAAAATGATAGTAAACGGTATAGAAAAAAGGACAGAATTAGAGCTGACCTTTTTGTTTGGTCGAGAATTAGGCTGACTTAACTCTGAATTATCTACTACGTTCTTCTTCGCATATTACTTTTACTCATCTCAAGTCTTATTTTATGTTACCACGTCGTTACTGTTTTTACTTTTGACTGACTTTCGTTAAAGATTGTGCCTTTTATAATTCTCTTACATAATATATATACAAGACGTGCGCAAGATGCTAAGTTATATACTAGAGGTGATTACAATCGTAATATTGTAAGAGATTACAGGGATTGAAGATTGAAGTATCAAACACTTAATGTGAATGATACAATTTTCCCTTGTATTGACAACCCTCAAAATTATTGACCAAATTATTTGAGGTTTATAATTTGGAAGAAAAACAGTTGTTAAACATGGATAAGGAAGATAACAAAGGTAGAATTGCAAAGCCAAATTATACTTCTAATTTTAGTGTGAGATGAAGATTATTTTCCGGATTCAGATTATCTTCAAAAGTATTCTATTTTTCCTCCCTTTTTCTACTATATAAACATCGCATCAAAACAAAACTATTTTCTCTTAAACACAGAGGTCTCTCTCTTTGTACAAATATAATTATAAAAACAATAAACACATCAAAATAAAACGTTGTGATCATAGAGTTTTCTTGCACCAATGAGTGGCTCCAAGCTTGTTTCCGTGTTACTATTGCTTGTATTAGTCAGTATAAGCAATAATGGCGTTGATGCATTTCACAAAGTTTTCAAGAAATTGCAATCTAAATCGACATCCTTGGAGGTAGTGAGTCCTCTTCACAGAACCGGCTTCCACTTTCAACCTCCACGCCACTGGATTAACGGTACATTTTGACATCTCTTTCAAATTGTTGATTAAGAGTTTTATGATGCTACCAAAATATATTGTTCTAACAAATATTTCCGTTTGGTTTGCTGTTTTGCAATCCATCTTCTTCATGGCTTTATCTACTCCAACAGATCCAAATGGTAAGACAATCACAAATATTTTAATTTTTAGAGATTTTTTATTATAAATGATAATATGGTTTAATAAATATTTCATAATGAAACAGGCCCAATGGTATACAAAGGAGTGTACCATCTCTTCTACCAATACAATCCCAAAGGTGCAGTTTGGGGAAACATTGTGTGGGCACATTCGGTTTCTAAGGACTTGATCAATTGGGAAGCTCTTGAACCGGCCATTTACCCCTCTAAATGGTTCGATATCAACGGTACATGGTCCGGTTCAGCTACTCACGTACCGGGAAAAGGACCGATTATACTCTACACCGGTATCACCGATAACCAGACTCAAATTCAAAACTATGCCATTCCCCAAGACCTTTCCGACCCATACCTCAAGAAATGGATCAAACCGGACGACAACCCGATCGTAAGACCCGACCATGGCGAGAACGGATCCGCTTTCCGTGACCCGACCACCGCTTGGTTTAACAAGAAAGATGGATACTGGAGAATGCTTGTGGGATCAAAGAACAAGCGTAGAGGAATTGCTTACATGTACAAGAGTCGTGACTTCAAGAAATGGGTCAAAACCAAACGTCCCATCCACTCCAAGAAAGCAACCGGTATGTGGGAATGTCCCGATTTTTTCCCGGTTGCCATCGACAAGAAAACCGGTTTGGACTTCAGCTACGCCGGACCAAACATCAAGCATGTGTTGAAGGTTAGCTTGGACTTGACCAGGTACGAGTACTACACTCTTGGAAAGTATAATACCAAGAAGGACAAATACAGACCAGACGGTACCACTCCTGATGGTTGGGATGGTTTGAGATTCGACTATGGTAACTTCTATGCGTCCAAGACATTCTTCGATGACCTAAAGAACAGAAGAATTCTTTGGGGTTGGGCCAATGAATCCGACACCGTTAATGACGATACAGCGAAAGGTTGGGCCGGTGTTCAGCTTATCCCAAGAACAGTCTTGCTTGACTCTAGCGGTAAGCAACTTGTGTTCTGGCCTATTGAAGAGATTGAGACGTTGAGAGGCAAGAATGTCCAAATGAGCAACAAGAAAATGGAAAATGGCCAGCGTTTTGAGGTCGAAGGAATCACCCCTGCTCAGGTAATCATAATAAATAATAATATTTTCGTCAAGTTTATAAGATTTAGGGTTTAAGGTTTTGAGGTTTTGATATTTTGACGTAATTAATTACAGGTGGATGTTGATGTGACGTTCCACGTTGGAAGTCTAGAGAAAGCGGAGAAATTCGACGAGAGCTTCGCAACAAAACCACTAGAACTATGTGACTTGAAGGGTTCAAATGTGACAGGTGGGGTTGGACCTTTTGGTCTGCTCACTTTGGCTACACCTGACCTAGAAGAATACACTCCTGTCTTCTTCAGAGTGTTCAAAAATGCCACAACCAACAAGCCTAAGGTCCTCATGTGCTCCGACGCCAAGCCGTATGTTTTCCCAAACTCACTATATGCATTTAGTTAATCTCTTCCAAAAATTGTTATTAAAGTTTATTTATGGGATTTATTACACCACAAATGATGATAGCATCATATGGTGATATTTTTTACGTAACATTGATCTTATATATGTATCAACAGGTCAACACTGAAAAGAGACACCGGCACTGACCCCAAGGAGAAGATGTACAAACCATCGTTTGCTGGTTTTGTGGACGTCGATCTCGCCGACGGAAAGATCTCTCTTAGGAGTTTGGTACGTCACAAAATGTTTCTGAATATTTTTGGGTATAAGGATGACATAAGTAATGCAATTTGGCAATTGGCACTAATTATGAAATAATATGAATTGCAGATTGATCACTCGGTCGTGGAGAGTTTCGGGGCGAAAGGAAAGACAGTGATAACATCGCGAGTGTATCCGACAAAAGCAGTAGGAGATAAAGCTCATTTGTTTGTCTTCAACCATGGGTCCGAGCCTGTGACCGTAGAGAGCCTCAATGCATGGAACATGCAGAAGCCTCAGAAGATGAACCAAGGAGCCGCCTAATGATGATCACTCTTTTAGATCTTTTTTTCTTTAATTGATAAATTTCATTTATTTATTTTTTAAGAAAGAGAGAAAGAGAGCGACTCTGTGACTGTATATAGACAAGAAACTATATTGTGTTTCTTTTGTATGAGTTTAATTTTGTACATAGTCCATTGCTTAGATGGACTCGAATCTCATTAAGATAATTATACTTTAAAAAATATATGTATATAGCGAGTGAAATAATGAAATAGCAAAGAGCTTCAAGTATCCCAAACAAAAATCAATATTTTTTCGAAGTGAAGTCGTTTGACTCTAATAAGTTTGTATGTAAACAGAATTAGATCACGTACTTGTTTGCAGTTTTCACTTCACATTTCTCAATACGAGAAGTGAGGTTTTATTTTACTGAGACAAAGATTGAAAGGGTTGAGGTAATAAATATTTTTCGATACGTCTACGATGAAAAAGTATGAACGAGCAAATGTATAATGGAATTAAAGGGAACCAAAAACTGATTCAGCATAAATAGAAAACCAAATCCATTAACTGATATAATCTTTAAACATAAAAATTCACTGATCATCATTCAAGGGGAAAACAAAAAAAGAAACGAAAAGATGCAAGCAAGATCAGATTCTTGAAACGAGTCTACTTGATCTTCTTCTTGGGCCTCAACTGCAAATAACATTTCGAAAAAAAAAAGGTTAAATTACACAACAGTTTGTACAAATTAATCAAATAGATCAATAATGCTGGTAACAAAAGCGAACCTGGTTGCTATGGCCACACTTCTTCTTCCTGCAGTTCACAGCTCTTGGGTGTAGACGAGCGTAACACCTAATTCCAGACGTGGAAATGATATTAGAACAATCTCAGCAAGATACAATATGCAACAACAACCAAAGCTGAGTATAAAGGACTATTTCTTCAACCAAATATATAATAAAGCTATACAAAGTTTCTCCATTACAGAAAAACACACAATCTAAGAGTACTCGCAAAATGGACCTCGATAGTAGTTAGATTGGTTATTCAACAGACATTAACCACTTAACCAATTCGCAATCTATACACTAATGATGAACATTAGACAATTTATCAATGCATTGATGTACCATTCAAGAAAATCATCTGGAAAGATGAAAAATTTGACCAGCTGATAAAGTTTAGAGAACGGAATGTTGATATCGGGAACATTTATAACCTCGCACGCATTGTATCTGGCTTGAGAAGCTAAGTTAATTCCCACAAACACTTAAAAATTCTACCAAAGAATCAACTAATTCCACCAAACAGAGACCAAATGGAAACAATAATCAACACTAATTATGGAAAATGGAGAAGAATCGGAGCTTACTTGCGGCAAATCATCTTGTCTTGGTTGTACTTACGAGCAAGCATCATCAACGAAGGCTCAATGATACCTCCCCTGAGCCTCAACACGAGATGAAGCGTGGACTCTGTCGATTACAGATGATAACAATTGAATTGAGCTGATTTAATTAAACGAAGTTAATCGGAACAATCAAGAGAGAGAGAGAGAGAGATTTGAGGAAGTAGTACCTTTCTGGATGTTGTAGTCAGCCAAAGTACGGCCATCTTCGAGCTGCTTTCCGGCGAAGATCAATCGCTGCTGATCCGGAGGGATTCCTACAGGAGAAGAAAAGAGAGCTATGAGAGATATGATTTCATAAATCTTCACAAAATGAATCAGAAGAAGAGCAGAATTAGAGATTTGAGTAAGAGGATTAGTACCTTCCTTGTCTTGGATCTTAGCCTTGACATTGTCGATGGTGTCGCTGCTCTCGACCTCGAGAGTGATGGTCTTGCCGGTTAGGGTTTTCACGAAGATCTGCATCTTTGGATTTCGTCTTCTATCCCGTAAACACACTACAGAGAAGAAACACGCCGCTTCTTATACCTCTCGTGATTAGGGTTTTGTTAGTTTATAAATACATAAAATGGGCTGGGCCCTTTTCTGTGTTAAAAGCCCTGTTAACAAAATGAAATCCCATTTTCTAAAATCTTTTTACGACAAATATTTGCTAACATACATTTCATAAAAGACTAGTTTTCCTTCTCAACTCTTATGGCGTCAGCTAATCAGGTGTACAATTTTATAAAAGGGGAGAAAGTTTGTCAGCTTAGTAATCACATTGATAAGCTTCTCAAGCTTTAAAAGCTTAAAGCAAAAAGATGGCTTAAGAAAACGTATTCGAGTTGAGAGGAATTCTCCCTAGGACAAGTTTAAATGCTGTGAGTTGTCTTAACCAACTCCCTCCCCTGCGTCAATTTCAAACATCACATCTTCAAAACCCAAGTTGTTCAGACAAGACATCGCTCATGTCATGACTCATGACCATACCTTTTGCTTCATGTATTGGAGACTAGAGAGAAATCGAGGATAAGCCTTTGCACGTGAAGAATCGAGAGGCCTAGCATAACTTCTAGGACATTTGGTTCTAGAGACCATCACTTGTTAACCCATGTTTCTTATTCCCAAAAAACTCACCAAACCATATTTCGATTCTAAGAATCCGTTTCTTTCCACTTGTAAGGTTTCCCCATATGGCCATATCTCAAGCTCCATCTACATCACATTTTAAACATTTCAACTTGATAACAGTTTTCAATTACATTTTAAACAATCTCCACTGGGAGTCTTGGAGGAAACCAAAATTAAGGTTAGATCATGGCCAGGGTATGATTTTCATATGCAAGCTTGACTTAAAGTCTATGCCATTTCTTTGTTCAACATAAAAGCAATTTCTTCATACAGCGGAGTTGGGATAGAAGATGGAAGTCGTACATAGGCATTTCAACTTGCAAGAATTATTATTGATAACATTCTCAAAACTTTGCAAATGGTATAACAAAAAACCAAACGATTTTTGTGATTGAAAATGACTTGCAAATTTTAAATATCTTATATGGTCATCATATAGAAGAAGATAAATCTGTAGAGAGTTGAGACTACAAAGGAAGTCCAATACTCATTTCAATCTAAGAAGCAAAAAAATAAAAGCAAAATGAAACAGAGAGAAAGCTAAATATAGAGATGCACCCTCCATAAAGGGATCCAGCTGAAAAAACTCAGAGCCTCCTTCCTCTTCTTCCACCCTTTCTGCGGGTACTGTCGGTTGGGATTGGGGTCACATCCTCTGCGGTTTAACACAATAACAATGTCAGAGATTTGTTCATTCAAGGTCAAATAAAAATAAAAATAAAACAATAGTAGAAGAAGATTGTTTTCTTACCAATGCGACCAATCTTCATGCCAGAACGTGCAAGGGCTCTTAGTGCAGACTGAGCACCAGGACCAGGTGTCTTGGTCTTGTTTCCACCAGTCGCACGGAGCTTCACATGCATGGCAGTGATCCCGAGTTCCTGCATTGCATTCAGCAAAAACGGTTAAATTTGCACACAAACACAAAGAAAAGAGTTCATCGATCTATCATCTTGCTTCTTAGTAATGTAGTTTCTTGGCCTTTACCTTGCATCGCTGAGCGACATCTTGAGCCGCAAGCATAGCTGCATAAGGTGATGACTCATCTCTGTCGGCTTTCACCTTCATTCCACCTAAAAAAATGTTGGAATCAAAATCAGCACTTTAGCCGCCAATCAGATACAAAAGGATTTCTTAAATTTTGGAAATCTCAAAAGAACAGAGACTAATAAGACCCGAGAAGATCATAACAATAGACATTTCCACTTAGAAGTCATATAAAAATGTCAATGGATTCCTCGGAGAGAATAAACAATTCATCTCACAAATACTAGAGACTACAAAGACTAGATTAAGAAAAACAATCAAGATTCATATCATTCTCACTGAATTCTAAAATTTACATTCTAGAGAGAGTTGCGATAGATGAGTGCTTACCGGTGATACGAACAAGTGTTTCCCGTCCAGACAAATCAGTCACGTGCTGCAATTGGAAGATATCAAACCAAATTCAGCAATGTATATTGAAATGTAACTGTGGTCGAAAATTAAAAGGACGAGAGAAGAAGGTCACTAACAATGAAAGTGTCGTTGAATGAAGCAAAGATGTGGACAACTCCGAAGACATTCTCTCCGTCTTTAACAGCTGGTCCAAGAGTCACATTCTCTTCCTTTGGCTCTCTCGTCTTTCTCCTCGACTACAAATTTCAACACGAAATGTTAATTAGAGCTTCTAGTTCTCTCTCAAATTGATAATTCAACGGACATTCATATGATCCCAGATCGAGATTCAAAGAAAACAGATTCCTTCAGAAAACATTTTCTCACTATACACTACAAGTGACGAGATTTGCAGATTCTCTAAATAATAATAAAATCTATAAGCGAATGCGAGACCATGCATATCGTCTAATCCATAAATCGAAGAAAATACAATAAGCTTCAGACAAAGCTTACCATGGTTGCGAATGGGAAGATGGGAAGCTAGGGTTTTCTTTCAGTTCCGGCTTTAATACTCACAATTTCCGTTAGGGTTAAGAAGTGATTTTATGGCCGAATAGTATCATTAAGGCCCAACTCATTCAGGCCCAATATTTTACGGCTCATTAAGTGGAACAAAGAACAAAGGTCTTGATCATTTTTCTGTCTTTGCTGATGATGTTGTAAGTATTCCTTTGCAATTTTAGCAGAGCATCACTTGAATGTTTGGAACGTAACAAGCTAATGATATTTTGAGAAAGCATTATTAGATCCTCTTAAACGTTTGTACATTGTTAAAAGGAAATGCAAACGAAAGAATTTTATATTTCTGTATATAAATACAGAACCCAAGAGATAGATGATAAACCAATCAAAGACTGACTGATGCAATTCTCTTGTAAAGGCATAGTCTACTTGTGTGTGGACAAGAAATTGGGGCTCACAATCTCAAGAAGTCCCTTTGGATTGTCTGTGTGGACCCAATGGCCAGAGTTACGGAGAAGATGAGTCGCAACCTTCCCTTCTGAGACATTCCGTCTCTGGCTAGCAATCGTTTCAAGCCGCTTGGTTGTATCTCGGTCCCATCGGTCACTCTTCTCAGCAATCACAAAAGAAATCTCCGTCTCTTTAGGCGGATTCTCTAGCAAAGACCAGTACGAAGTCTCCCTGCAAAATGAGCAAGTGAGAAGAAGTCATATGAATAAAGTAAAAGGTCAGCATGTATACTTCTTATGATGAGCAAGAAACCTGTAAGAGTTGAACATTTGGACAGCTCCATCAAGGTTAAAGGCCCATGTCTCTGAGTCTCCGGATCTCTTGAGATTGCTCCCAATCCACTCAGATAAGGATCTTGAAAACCCAAGCTCGACCATATGATCCACGAGCCACCTAAAAATCACAAGACAGAGTCTGAGTGGCACGTAGTTTCATTGAAATCATATCCTATACATAACCTGAGATTTCAAATCAAAACTGAGCATAAATATATCTACTTCCGTGTGAATATCAACTAGGAAAATGCTTACGAACATAAACATAAACCGAAAACGGAACGATTCTAAGCTTAAAGAAAGAGTCCAGAGGGTAAACAAACACCAAGAACCAAGGAAAGAAGGAGACTTTTACTTGCGGGAAGGTATTGGTGAAGGCAAACTCTGCAACGTCTGAAGAACTTTCTCTACTTCGCCATCACTTTGTTCTGCTTTGACTTCTCCAGGGACAGAGTCTAGCACCCATAGCTGCTCTGCATCAAAGAGAGAGTCACACACAAAACTAAACCTTACTATAATTATCATCATTCTCAGAGAAAAGGCACAAATTGAGAGTCTTACAACAACAACAGTGAGGCTCATTAAACTTGCGTGAATTGAAAATCGAGTATCAAAGCAGGAGCAATTTCGAGTACCTGTTTAGGAGGAATAGTGGAATCACCATAATCACCACGGGCACAGCTCTCCATGAACTGCAAAGCCACTTTGCCTCCCAAGGAGTGACCAATGACCACATCAGGCCAATTCCAGCCGCTTGCCTTGACCAAATCAGCTAAATCCTTGGCGGAATTCACGAGATCATGAGGCGGAGAGATTCCTTCAACCTCCGCCGATCTCCCGTGGTTCCTCAGATCAACCAGTATCATCTTCCAATCTGGATAAACACACACACACAAGAAACGAATCGATTGAGGAAAAGGAAATGTGGAAATACCGATCAGAGAGAGAGGGAGAGAGAGTGCGCGGCGTACCAGAGGGAGATGATACGGAGAGAGACGATGCGAGGGAGCGAGAAAATGATCGCCAGTTTCGGCCGGAGCCGAGGAGGCCGTGAAGGATGAGAGCTGTAGATTCGGACTTCCGATCTCCGGAGGTTTTGACTTCTTCGTAAGCTAGGGTTTGAATGGATCTAGAACTCGTGAACAGAGTCGGAGACTGAAGGAAACGAATCAAAAATCGAGATTCCAATCGGTTCGTCAGATTTCTCGCCATCGATTCTTCCTTCGCTAGCTTTGAGATTCCCCGGCGAAGTAGTAAGAACTTAAAAAAAAATACAAAGTTTTAATTAATTAAAACCGAAAGAAAAAATATTGACAGCTGTGGGATTTGAACCCACGCCCTTTCGGACCAGAGCCTAAATCTGGCGCCTTAGACCACTCGGCCAAACTGTCAGTTGTTAATAATCTGAAAGGAATTTAACAAGTACCAAAACGTACGATTGGCTTTTTTTTTGGATTGCATATCTACATGTATGCTATTAAAATTTCGAAAATAAATATTGTAAGTTAATCCGAAAGATAAATTTAGCTTTCAATTAAACAAGGATAAGCAAGCCTTTACATTAAGACGTCGATTGTTTGATTACATTTCATTATAGTTGACGTCCCATATCCATTGTTACTTGCTTGTTAGTGTAGATGTCATAGCCAAAAAAAAGAAAAACAAAAAAACATGATTGTATCAAAAGTCTAAACCAAATTATTGAATGAAGGGAATCAACTATCAAGGATCAAGTTAGAAGAGAAGAGATCATCTTGGACAAACGATTGCTTTAATTAATTGAAATCGGATAATGCGGTCTATAGTTGTTTAAATTTCCGTATAATGGGGAATTAAAAGCCATGCAAGGAATCCCATAACCGGAACAAGACAATTATAGACATCGATACTCTTTCAGAGTCAATGAAGCATGCTGCATGCAATCTATAGGTTTTGATGGAGCAATTTGTTTGTATTTCTGATATGGATCACTGATCACATAGATCATTATTTGCTTCTAACCAGAAACACATATATGAGATTAAAGACGTTAACTGAACAACTTAATCTGATCAATAACGAATCATTTGTATTACTTGAAACATAAGTAAAGAAAGAAAATAAGCAGTTATTTGCTTCCCTCGTCAGATTCGTAATGAATGGGGGAATATAGGATTAAGATACCAAGAAGACAAACACTATCGTTTAAAAGCTACCATTAAATTTCATTAAATAGCTTCACATGGGAAATAACTCATGCTGAGGTATTAGATTTTATGGGAGGTCAATGGTTGTATTCCACATTTTGTTTATCTAACTCTTCAGTTTAAAGTTTGCTTTTCAATTCTGAAACAACATATTTCCGTTGACCAAAATACAACATACTATTTCCAGCTTTATATTTTTAATTTCTTATAATCTTGCTAACTTTATTTTTATTTTTTTGTAGTCCTCTTATACAAATCATCCCATTTCGGGCTTCCAAATGACCAAATCAAACCGAGTGTATGTGTATGCCTTAGTTGCCATTAACATATTCAGTTTATAAACCATTTTATATAATTTGATTGTCTTCTTAATAATGAAGCATTTAATACACGAGATTCCTAAGTTATTAACAGCTATGTATCCCCGCATTTTCTCCTTGATGTCTGTATTTTAGTTATTGGCCTCATGTATTGAATTCTAGTTACTTACAGTATGTATTAAAATTTGTTTTTCTTTGTCAGTCTTTCATTTTTTAAGTATCTTCTATGTTACATTATCATTAGGTAATTTAATCTGTTATTATTACAAAAAAATTAACTATTTGCAACTCATATAATTACGATAAACAGCCTTATATAATTGTAATATGGGATCAATGTAATCTGAAATCGAAATTACGAAAGAATTCGACGCAGTTGTTTCTTCATAAAGATCATTTTGTCGACTGCCCTATCATCACCTAAATTTGTGTTCAACATTTTTTATACAGTTTTATAATTATGCAAGCAATGCAGAAAAACTATCTGATGATAAAAATATGAATGAACATGAATGCTAACATTTGTCTAAAACATGATCACGACTAAAACATGAATTTATTTTTGAACTATGGAAAGTAACTAAAATTAATTGAGTTTTAGTTGCTGAATTTATCTTCAAAATGTCCGTCTTATTATTAACTGGACATAGATTTGCAGTGGCGGAGCCAGGATGTAATTTTATGGGAGCATTATTAAAGTTGTGTAGGGAATTAAGAGTAGAAAAAGCATTGGGGGCAACAGCCCCCCTCCTACACAATGTGGCTCCACCACTGTATATTTGTAGGTGTCATTTGAAACGGTCGCTTAAAATAAACGTTTTTTAGCATAAAGTTACTGTTTATATTATATGATTTAAAAAAATTATAATTTTTAAAAAGTTTTTTTTGTTTGATTCTTCGTTATCTAATGTTAACGGCTGGGCAATTTTTTTGCCATTAAAAAACTATCATTTTGTCGCTTTTTCAAATGAACTGTACCTAAGAAAGATTATTTTCTAAAATACCTTTAACGGCTTTAATCACGTTATTTTCACTACTTTTTGTTTTTTAGTTTATATATATATTTTTACACATATTTTAAATATTAAATTTTATATTGCACCATCAATAGCATATTGTAGGATTTTATTTATCTAATTTGTAAACTATGATAATATTGTAAAATTTGTATAAAAAATAAAATACAGAATGATTGTCGATACAATACTAATTTTATCATTGTTAAATCAAAATAAGTTAGTAGACAATACATTTTCACTATAAAGTCATAAACCAAAATAAGTCACTAAACAATGCATTTTATCCCAAAAAAAAATGCATTTTCACTATTAAGTCATAAACCAAAATATATGTGATTAATTAAGCAAACTAATGTTAAAGAAAAAATAGTATATGTTATTAAGTCATAAACAAAAATATCACTATCATGACTTAATTAAAAATTCTTTTGAATTTGTAACATTTCACATGTTCAGTCTTCCCCTCTACTATAGCAATAAATGGTTTGCTGCGCTAATGCATTAAAACTTTACTAATGCATTGTTTCTTGAATGCACTTTTGTTACATATATTTGTCTCTAGTCTAATGTACTTTACTACTTTCCCACTTCTAATTAATAAATTAACTACTGAGTAAACAATGCATCTTATCTCTTCGTAACATCATTAATTTATTCAACAAATATTAACTATTCTTCATATGTAGCTCTCCTCTTCACCCTTATAAATACACATATACATTTCTTTAAGAAGCCAACCCTCACCTAAAACAACACAAAAGAAATACAGAATCCCTCTCGGAGAGTCCGAAGTTTCGAAAATGAAAAACGAGAACGGTAAAAGAGTCAGAGCCGAGTCACCAGTGAGGTCGGAGGAGTCGGTGGTTGCTGGTCGGAGGTGTCGAGGAAGATCAATATCTAGTGACGCGTCATCATCCATTACCTCGTGTCTGTCGACGACGGAGGAAAGGAAGGAGGAGGTTGCATCGTCGTGGGTTGATGATGATGAGGAATCGCCGGAGATGGTGGCGATTGGATGTCGAAGGTGTTATATGTATTATTTGATCTTAATAGAAAGGACACGTTGCCCTAAGTGCAACTCCAAAGATTTGATCCGTTTTTAGAAAAATATGTTCTAAGTTGTGATTTCAGTTTGGACTTTTGGGTATTTGATAATCTCTCTTTGTGTTGCATTATTCTATGTTTGTAAAATCCAGCCTATCTATAAATCAAATTAAGTATTAATCTTCTTTCTTATAAGTGTAAATTTGACAGACAGATAGTTTCTGTTTGTAGCCGTCCTGGTTCGCTTTGTTTAAACTATCCACTTTCATGTTTTAATATTTCAAGAGTAAGAAATCAGGATAGAGGAGACTGGTTTTGATGGAGGTGAAGGTTCGATGATTTCAAACGCTATTTTTTGTTTTCTTTACGTTTTGCGTTTATATGTCAAAATGTGATTCTTTTTGTATAATATATTTAACAACGATAAACAAAACGCCAACTTTAACGGAAACTTCATTATTTATTAAAAAATTACACCAAATACAATTTTAAAGGCAAACAAATGATACGCCTGGAAGTAAAGTACTACTCATTCTGTAACGTTTCAAAGCTTTAGTTTTATTTTATTAAAATTTGCTTGTCACATTTCCAATGCAAAATTTTCAGTTTTATCTATATTCTTTCAACTTGTCAATTCTATTTGAATGCAAATAATAAAATGTATTAATTAGGGTTTAAACAAAAAGTAAGTGTTTTCTTAATTTGTTTGCAACAATTTAAATGATAACTAAACTGAAACGGAGAAAGTAATACTCAGTTTTGGTAGTATGTGGAATACGTTGAAAGGGTATTGCTTTGGTTTCATCGTCATTCAGTCCGGTTTCAAACAATTAAGGTGATAAATTAATGTATTTCGGTTTAACTATAGAAGATTTAAAAAATAATTTAATTTTATATGTTTTCATCAAAATTTATAACAGATTTTATAATTTTTAAGAGTTTCTAAAAGCTTAGGATTGATAATTTGTGATCTAAGGACTCTTTATCAACTTTAGAAACTCTTTCAGAAAGTTTCATTAGGTTTAGAAAGAGTCTAAGACTAATTAAACTTTTGTGAAAACTTTGAAACTCTTTACAAATGTATATATTTCTATTTTGCCAACTCAAACTCGTTTTTATTTTATGGCATTTCTCTACCTATAAATACAAAAATTTGTGCAAATTTGAGTTCAAAGAATGGTGATTCGAAAATATATGGGGTGCTTATGTAGTTATTGTAAATTTACGGAAGTATATGATAGAAAATCGATTTTCTGGGTAGTGGAATTGAAATTTTTAACTATTTCCCGTCTCCTCAAAAGTTCCCAATTTGCCCCTCACATTTAGCTTTCTGTCTATTCACCAGATTCTCTCTCGATTTTCCTTGGCTCATCATCTCGTTCTCGTCTCTCTCTCTCAGCTCAAACAGATCTCAAAATCAAAATCGGATCGAATCCACAGACTTGATCAAAATATGACTCTTGGCTCTGGAGCATCGAGTGTCGTCGGTAATCGATTTCGCTTCTCTCGTCTCTCTTATCCTTTGATGTTTCTAGGGTTTTGGAATCCGTATTGGGTTTTATAGTCGATTGAATTTTTCTAGGGTTTTTGGGATTCGTATGGGGCTAATTTCCTTTTGATCGATGGGCGTCGATATGCTGTTTCGTCGATCTATTAGCTCTCTTATCTTTTTGAAGCATGTGTTCAATCTAAATATAGAGATGATGTAGATTGATCACGTATGTTCGTATGTAGATTGATCTGAAGCTGTTCATCAATATTATCTTAACAAATCGCTGAGAATGATTTATCGATGTGCTAATTCTTGAGATAGTTTTTCTCCGTAGAACATTCCAGCATAATGGTTGAAATTCGATTTTTCTCATTCTATTACTGGATTATAGATTCAAAAATCTCTGATATTTGTCTAGTATTTTAATATTTTCTTTCGGTTGCTTCCAGAAAGTCTTCATCATATCTAGAGCTCATTGTTCTTCTCTGCTTTGAATACGCATATCCTTGTTTGCGCAAATTTTGCTGTTGAATTCACTTAAGCAGAATCTAACATGTGAAAAGTGATTGCACACTGTTGAGATTTACTGATGTGAATTTGTTTCTTATTTTGCTTGTTACTACGATACAGTTCCGAGGAATTTCCGGTTGCTGGAGGAGCTCGAACGTGGGGAGAAAGGTATTGGAGATGGAACAGTGAGCTATGGAATGGATGATGGAGATGACATCTATATGCGCTCTTGGACTGGCACTATCATCGGTCCTCACAACGTAGTTATATCTTTTTTCTTTTTCTGCTCCAAATTCTTCTCTTTCGTCTCATCACATAAGCATTGATTAAATGTTCTTGACACCACCATCATAGCTCTGCTCGAGCTTCCATCTTATCGACATCCAATCTCTCAAAGCTTGTTTCTTTTGCATGTACTAACAAATATCTATTTTTTTGCTATGTTCTTCGATGCGCAGACTGTTCATGAAGGTAGAATCTATCAGCTGAAGCTCTTCTGTGACAAAGATTACCCAGAGAAACCACCAACAGTCCGGTTCCATTCACGTGTCAACATGACTTGTGTCAACCATGAAACAGGAGTGGTACGTATAAGAAAAACCACCATCTTTGCCATTCTCTGACTTTTATTTCTTTGCATGCTCTGTAACTTTGTATCTGTGTGTTTAGGTGGAACCAAAGAAATTCGGGCTTCTTGCGAACTGGCAAAGGGACTACACGATGGAGGATATACTGACGCATCTGAAGAAGGAAATGGCTGCATCGCATAACCGCAAGCTTGTTCAACCTCCAGAAGGCACTTGCTTCTAGTTGCTTCTCTGAAGTCTTCTTTAGCCCCTTTCTAATGCTGAAGTATGTATCTGGGGGTTCTTCATTGTCGTTTCCAAGGTTTTTTTTTCTTCGAATTTTATGATAAAAAACGGTCTATGTGGATGGTGATGATGATGATGTTGTTCTTCGATTGATCATCTGAAGTTTATCCTTGTGTGCAAATTATCCCAAAAAACAGCGTCTTCCTCAATCCATGTGTTCAAATCTTTTGATTTTGTGAAATTGTTCAATCATTGTAAATTTGTTCATCGTATACTTCTTGATCTTCAGAGTCGTCAATGTCATTCTTCATATGGCATCTCCGTAAAATACTAAATCTTCGAATATGTAGTGGCTAAACCTCTATGATTCTAATTACTTCAAAAACCAAATATTCGATATGTAGAGACTGAACCTTTATGATTATAATTACGACATACTCTGTTTAACTTTGACACTGTTGGTCGATACGATCCGCCAAGGTTTGTATCTAATGGTCACGGGTTGTGATCGAAGGTTTTGTAACTTACTATGCAAGGTTCGAGTATAATTTCAAGGTAAGAAACGGGTTGTGATCGAAGGTTTTGTAACTTACTATGCAAGGTTCGAGTATAATTTCAAGGTAAGAAACATTCGATCCCTGTTGCCATGTTTATGTTTGAATAACTTATTATGCAAAGTTTCACACGATTATCGCAAACAACCATTATGTGTAAGAGGAGGAAAAGGAAGAGAAGCCACTACCTGCCATCATCTTATGTCCTCATCATCAGCAAAATGAGGAACAAGGATGCATGTTCTTGTCCTTGGAACCAAATCCATCTTTTCTCTAATTCAAAGCGATGGTGATACTGAAAACAACGATCACATGGAAAACAACATGCGACCCATGAAATATTTTTGGTCTGAGAAACTTTAATAATCAACGTCATCACATATGCTTTCTTCTGCTGAAAATTTTATAATACATCAAAAGAACATTTAGTAAATAAAAATCAAAGACGGTTATATCGAAAAAGTTACTGCTTTATAAGATTCGGGATAACATTATGCTAAGTCTCCCACACGTGGAAAATACGTTAGGATGATCATTTATTTAGAATTTGGTCTCTCCTCATTTTGTTTTTCATCATTTTTTCTAACGTTATTCACTTACAGCTTTAAACTTGATTCATGCCAACATTAAAATATCTATGGTTGGACTCAGAACACAATTTCTAAGCTAACTTTTTCTTGAACATAATCAATCCAACTTTGTTTTAGATACGAACGTATTCAAGCCGGGCCAGCCAAACTGATGGCTTTAACTATTAAGGCCCTAGCATGAAAGCTGTATCCGATTCGGTGGAAAAATATGTGAAAAAGGTTATTATTAAAGTTTTGGAAATGTTTCAGTTGAAACTACTGCTGCGCAACTTGCACATTTTTGATAGTTAGTTGGTTCCTTCGAGAGTTTGTTGCGGGTTTTTTTTATAAATATAACAATTCGTTCCTTTATTTATTCTCTATTAATTCATTTGCGGAATTTGAAGTGTGGGATACGTACGTACACATGCCTATAGCCGTATATATAAATATATTGATCTTTAAAATGTGTTGTTCTTATTGATACCACTGGTTTGGGTCATTGAACTGTTCTAGGTATGTGTCATAAAAATCATTAAAAAAAACCTGCTGTTCTCATTTTAATTGTGAAGATTATGAATTTATGATCATGATGGATATCTTTGGCAAGTAGTCAAGTACAGCCAGTGCGAAGCCACTTGAGACGTTACGGGGTCAAGTGACACCGTAAAGGTTTTGCAAAAGAGAAAAATTGGTTAAAATTTGTTAATATTTTTATAACAAAAAGGTAAAAAAACATGTTTGACCCCGTAAAAATAGATGCTAAATCACTATATGACCCCAGTAAAAAGAAGTTCTGGATTCGCCACTGAGTACAGCTATCAAGTTTCAACTAATTATTCTGGTTGTTTTGCAGAATTAATTTGTTTTGTAGATTGTTGTTGTTATCTACCTACATTTTAATAACATTTGTCTGTTTCAAACGCACTGACGTTAGGATTTGGCATTTGCGGACACTAATTCAGTACGTCTTTACGTTCCATATACATATTATACGGAATTGTTTCGATCCACTTCTTAAAATTCAATGTAACCTTAAGAAGTTCGTGTAGTATTAACGGAAATGTACCACTCGTATGTAAACATAGTTTAGTTTCGAATTTATATACTTTTTGGATTAGTCCACCCACCATGTAGTAAATAAACAAGAATTTCATGCAATATTCTAAAAGTTCAATATGCTTAGATTTTGCTTATTCAAAAATGAAAACTTTTAACTAATCCACAAAGATCCTAATTAACCGGGAAATGTACTCACAAAAATAATTGAATGATTCCCAACTAATCATCAATAAATTTTGGAGCCAATAAAATTAAATACAACAAATCTAAAGTGAAACAAATAAAGTCTCTCTTTTAGAAGAACACCCACCCATCATTCCGTGCAGCTTCTCCTCTCTTTTTCAAAGCCTTAAATCTTCGTTCCCTATAGCTCTCTCACCCATTAATTCCCCAACTCTCAATTTGAATCCAACTCGAAAAGAAAGGAGCAAAGCTTAAATATATTCTTCTGTAGTCTTGTTATTTTCTCAACAATCAAACAAATGAAAGAAGATGGTAAAGAAAATAAAACTCTCGTTCCTAAACAAGAACACTTCGTCGTCAACGTTTTCTTCTTTTTCATCATCTTCTTTCTCTTCATGGTCATTGCCTTCTTGTCTTCAACAAAATCCTAAAACAATATCCAAAAATGTCAAGGAACCCGAACCACCTCCACGTAGCTTCTCCTCCACCACCGACGACGTCATGGAAAATCCACCGGAGATAGAATGTATAGAGAATGTGATAAGACGACTAAAATCACCAAAAAGACTCATATTTGAACGCAGGGGAAAATCCAACTCTATACTCGAAGAAGCTACTAAGAGAGAAGAAGAAGAAGATGCTCATGAGGAAGAAGATGGTTTCACGCTCTTGTCCTTGGAATCAAACGATCCTCACTCTGATTTCAAGAAAGCCATGGGAAAGATGGTTGAAGCACGCGCGCTTCATCATGATTGGAGAAGCCTCGAGGAGCTTCTTTTCTTGTTCTTGAAAGTGAACGTCATTTCAAGCCACAAATACATCTTCGCAGCATTCGTCGACTTGCTCTTAAACTTGGCAGTAGGATTTTCTAAAGACGTCGCCAGAGAACCTCGTCCCGACCTCGCCAAGGAGTCTCCGTTGTCGCCAATATCATCTTACACGTCGTACTCGTCCTCCGATGAGACTTCGTCAAGGGCTTGCCGGGGAATCCGATAGGAGAGAAGAGTAGGGACGAGGACGACGTTTGATATTTATCGTCGTTTTTTAAGATGGAGGACAAGATTTAAGGACATTTGATAATTATAGCCATAGGAAGAGAAAAAAAGTATTGTCATTAGTTCATAGATGTCGAACTTGAAGATGCTGGTAATTAATCGCTTCCTCGTGACATCTTTTTAGCACGTGGCATATGCAGAAGACTAACGCATGCATGATATGATCTATATAGTTTGTTTGCTATTTGTACTGTCAAAATTTATTTTTATATTTTAAATCAAGCTTGTCAAAAACTTCAAGGTGTTTTCTAGCAAAAACAAAAAAAAAACTTTAAGGTGTAGCAATAAAAATGAGCAGGTATTAAGAATGAGCTTACATACATTGGCTCGAAAAGCTAGTGAAAGAAACCTACTTACATTTATATATTAGTCATTGGTTCTTTTTTGTTACCATACGCTTTTTCTTTTCTCAGATAGTTTGGATTCTGGATAGTCCCATAGCATTTCTTACCATACGTTTCAGTTTAAGAAGCTCAACAAAAGTGTTATAATCTTAAAGTAATATTGTATGCGTTTCCAAAATAAACATGTATTGCAGAACACCTTTTTGTTGTTGTAATGTACTAATACTTTGTTGCAACAAAAATCTCTTTACAATGAATGTTTCTAAATCTAAAGTACAATGAAGAAAAGGTGAAAAACAGAATGATTTTAGTGTATAGTAACTCTTTTAAGGTAAAACAGTAAAAGTCTTATATGTTCATGTAAGATAAAATTTAGGAATGATTTTCTTTATTCTTGGTTTTTATTTTCCCATTGAAACATGTTTTAATAGATTCGGATATAGGCGCCATTTTGGACTGCCTGGCCATCCATCCATCTAATCAAATCCTAAAATTACAACAACGATTTTATATTAAATGAAAAAATTATAAATTGTCGGTGCCTCGTTTCTTTTTCCTTTCACTTGACTGGTTTTGGCATCATTTCCCTACAAAGAACCGACGAGTGAACATCGATCATGGAGACACGCGCCAAGCTCATGGCTCAAACTAAAGCGTACTACGTGAACCTCAAAAACCTTCACGATTGTTTAAAATAAAAGAACGTTTTGAAAATCAAGAAAAAGAAAACAGAGATGATCATGTGAGCACAGTTTCTCAACTATTATCTTTCTTTCTCTGTTCGCTGAATCATTAAGCTCCGAAGAATTTCAAAGGAGAGGGGAATATGCGGAGGAGAGAACTGAAGAAGGCGGAGAAGAGGCGGATGAAAGAGGAGGAGACACGGCCGATGAATGAAGGATTAGACGAAGGAGTTGGAGTAGAAGGTTGAAGATAGGCGCAAGCGGCTTGCTTAACAAGGCGGTTGCGGATGGAGATGGTGGGACCTACGGCGGAGACGGATGGGGAATCGATGGTGGTGGTCGTAGAAGGGAGGATGTCCTTGAGGGAAGTGTAACATGGGAGAGGATCATCGGAAGATTTGTTGAGGGAGACGAGTTCCAAGTCTATGGTGTGTGAAACCGTGCCGTTTCTGCGTTGGAGAAGAGAGAGCTTCATCAAATTTTCAGTATCCATTTGAGAAGAGAATGAGACTTGAGAGAGTGAGAAGGGTTTGGATTTTGGAACTTTGGATTTGAGCTAACAAGTTATATATATCAATAATTCAATATCATGATCATCACGTTGCGTTTCTTTCATCTAAAAGTCAAATAAAGACGACATTATAAAGCGTGTTAATTTAATATTATAAAGCGGGACCTTGTTTTATTTTATTTTTAGAATTAGAAGTATATAAAAGAAAGTATACTAAATATTGAAAAGGATATATGTAGTGTAGTAATAGTGCTTGATGGTTGGCGGCATCTTACGCTCCAATCTCGAATACTTTCTATTTTTCAAAGCAAGACAACGACCACGTTTAGTTATTTTTATATGTTTTTTAAATAAGTGTTTTTGCACTTTTGGTATAAAATGGTAGTGTTTTTTGGTCTCTATGTGCTTGAAAATACATAAGACACAAGCAATGGAGTGTAAAGCTAATGCATTCCACTTGAAGCATTATACCGTAAAGTAAGCATTATAAAATGTACATATTACAAAACTAAATAGGTTGCATGTTGTTGAATCAGGCTCCCTAAATGAATACGATTTGACGAAACATATTTCAAGCCTTCACGGGATGAGTTGGATAAAGTCAAAGCAAACATCACAAGGAAAGGGTCAAATAGGAGCGGCTTTGGCCCCTTTCACATGAATTATCCATATCTTTCGCTTTTTCCTTTCGTTATCACTGTTATCAAATTGGTCATCGTCTGCGACAAAAACTCTTGGCGGTCGTTAGAAGTTCGAGACTGTAGGTATAGTGAAGTACGCTCACGATAAAATGAAAGAATCTTTTATCTCAAACAGATGTGTTAAAAATCCACATCGATAATTAAATTCAAACAGTTTATGTTTCCCAATTCCCGTTGTCCGTCGATTTTGAATATAAAACCTATGACATTCAACATTCAACATTCAATATCTATTTGACTATAATCAATACATTTTAGATATGTTTTACAACTTCTTGTCATATGATCTCAGTCACTTTGGTTGGGCCGATATGATGGACTACGCCTTATGGAATAGTAGTAGCTAGTGTCTTAACTGAAGTCCATAGTGCAAATGAGTAGTCAGATATTAGAAATGTCGTAATTAAGGCCCATAAGGTCATAATTCATTAGAGTGGCCAACGTTCCAATTTGGTAGAGAAAAGGTTATTCAAGAAACAAATTAGTTTCGATTTGGTATCATTCATTTTGCTAGGTTTATACATATGTAGTGTACTGCATCCAGCGATTAGGATTCGAACGTAACAGTTCGGCTCTTACACAGTTACACCATAACGTTTTCTCGAGTGATTTCTAAACCCTAATCATTTTCTCAACCTTCCATAATCATAATTTTTACACGAAATCTTACTTCATATCACAACAATCAGAAATGAAGTCTAACACAGAGAATGTGCATTTTTTAATAACAGACATAGCAAAAAATGGCCGTCTTCTAATAATGAAATCATCCAGTTCAAATGTAGTAGAATTCCTAGTCAAAATGACCCCATTATTTATTTTAATATATGATCAACATACGAAATAGCATTTCAAATTATGTTTTGACTCGACCGTGAAGGTGACGTCACAATGTGATGCAGCGTCGACCACCGCTTGTCCCACCATGTAACTCGGTTAGTTCACGTGCTTCCTAATTTCCAATTATCCACGGACAAGCATTAATCGTTTCTCAGATTATTTTTGTCCCTTTTGCTCGATGCGCTTTATATTTTCTTTCCCGTGACAATTCAAAATCATCCAACTATTTTTTCTATTTTTTATTTTTCAATTAGACGAATCATATTATAAGTGAAATTATACTTGGAAATCGGTAATCATGCATTATTGCTATAAATGAAAACAGCTGACAAAATAGCATGTCACGTTGATGTGTACTGATGACTATAGAAACATAGGCTGTTATATATGGAAACAGTGAAAGCGAAACGACACTATTCGACATATGAAGAATGAAGTTTATATTCAGAAGAGTATACAGCTTGAAGAAACCATAAGCAAGATAAGGGTCGTTTGGAATAGTATTTACGTTTTACCATTGTGTATAGAAAGTATCAAAGTAAGAAACAATCAAATGCTACTTGACGTACGGAATGCTTGCATGTAAACTTCAAAATTCATTGATTCTTCGAATGCTGAACATTAAAGGGTTCCACAAAGTCGTTGATTCAAAGAAAATTCCAAACTCAAGGAAGAAAAACGCCACTTTTAAAAGCTGTCTAACGTATTCTTAGTTTATCACGCACGTTAGAAATTAAAGTCCCTCACGTACGGTAGCTTTATTTTTTTTAAAACAAACAGCCAAACGGCCAAACCCAACAGAAAAGCAATTCCAAAAACACTAAGAGTAAATCAATAAAACTTCTAATTAACATAAATATAAATGTCAGGAAAACCACGGGCTGAGTTGAACTAGCTAGCTTGGAATGCCTCTTACCATCTTCTAGATGTGGGCTGTCATGATTGTATAAAATATATTCACATAAAAGTATCGTGATTAATGAAAAGTACAAGGTTTCAAAATTATATTATTTGGTTATTAATTGTTGTGTTATGCAGTTAGAAAAATATTCCAACACATTTTCAAAATTTAAAACTAAATGTATGACGTAAGAAGAATTTGCCAAGTATATGTTCTTGCCACACTAGCATTAGTTGCAAGGTAAACGGTAACCCACACGATTTTCATTAAACGCCTTTTGATCATTTTGCTTTCACATTTACACTAGCCAACGATATCCAAAGAGGGCAATTGACGATGTTTTACGAAACTTAGCATAAAACAACAAAGATAAGATTGGACGAAATTTTCCAAAAAAAAGTACTACTTCACTCTAACACATTACCTACCGCATAACAGATGTTTTGAAGTGGAGTAATTTTTCACAAACATCATGTTGTACCACTTTAAAATATTACCTACGGAGACTTTAAGAAATATTTACCAGCCACTCACCTTCAACCGTTGAAATGAGAAGTAAAACGGAAAGAAGAGTACCGTTTTTTTGGTTGGTAGAAGAGTACCAATATTCAGTTGACTATATTGTTTTGGTACATGTTCTTTCATATATGTAAATCTAGTTATTATTTGGCTTGGCTTGTTTACTAATTTCTAACAGTTTCTGCATATATTATTTAAATGTTATGTTTGCAATGGAAAAAAATACTGGATGCGGTTGATTTTACCAAACAAGATATCACATTTTAGTAGACGACTTTTTCCGCGAATGTGTTTAAATTATTACTTGTAGAAATATATCAAATGTAGTCGCAATTGCTTGTTTCAAGTTCCTAATTATCAAAAGTATATCGCATTATTGACTTTATAGATTCTTCATTAATATGGTTATGTGACTATGTGCAATGCCAGTAAGCCACTTGTTTGAAAATAAAGCCATTAATTTGTTTGATCACTGTTTGATACTTTTAAATGTTTAAGCCTTTTTAAGGTCACATAGTTTATGTGTCAACAAATATACATGTGGTTGATTACTCACACCTATTGTCTTCAACTTGGTCAACTGATTTTTAACGTTGGGGTAGATGTTACGATTTATTAATCTATTCAAACTTATACTAATCTATACGCAAACACATGTTAGTACTTTGTTAATGTTGTATTTCACATACGTGATTACTTTAACTGGAGATTAAAAGATACTAAAGAAGGTTCCTTGTGAATTCGAGTGTGAAAGTTGGACAGAGAAAAAGTCATTCCTCAAAAACTCAAGACAAAGACTATTCAAATTAAAAGCAACGTGTAAATTGGTTAGAGAGAAGATATGCATCAATGAATATGCATCACATGATTTGCAAATGGACGGGTTAAGACACTTGAGAGATCACATGGCCTATTATCAATCAAGCCAGTTAATTTTTAAACAGAGGTCTATTCTGATTCCTATTTCCTACAACTTCTATTTATTTATTTTTTTGTATAGTTCTATAATTAGCTACTGTCTTGGATTTCATTATTGAAGTATTAACCCATAGTCTCATATACATACATTCACAAATTCGGTCCGAATTGGCACGTTTCAATAACTACAAGTATTTGCTGGCTCTCTATCTTTGTATACGTATCACGTCGACACACAAAAATACATTTCCACGTACTAATTTTACTCGTAACGACGAAAACTTTTATAATTTTTATTATAATCTTTTTAATAAAAAGGAAGAAGAAAGTCACAGAGATCGAACATGATTCTCCACTTTCCACTGCTTTGTCTTCTTCTCCTTCTTCTTACTTAACCCATAAGCCATCAGTCCAAGAACAGCGCAAACGCAAAAACAATGGCTTCTTCTTCTCCTCCTCTCTTCTTCTTCTTCCTTATCTTCCTCTCCGTCGTCTCCGCCGTCAAAATACCTCTCTCTCCTTTCTCACACCAGTCTGACCAATTACCCAACGATCCTTACCTCTCTCTCCGCCGTCTCGCCGACTCCTCAGTCGCCAGAGCCAGACAGCTCAAACAGCCGAGCTCCATTAAACCCGACGAAGATGCTCTCTCCTCCTCCAAAACCTCAGCATCCGCCGCCGTCGTGAAATCCCCTCTGTCTGCTAAGAGCTACGGCGGATACTCCGTCTCTCTCAGCTTCGGTACGCCGTCGCAGACAATCCCTTTCGTCTTCGATACCGGAAGCAGCCTCGTCTGGTTCCCTTGTACCTCGAGGTATCTCTGTTCCGGTTGCAATTTCCCCGGTTTAGATTCGACCCGGATCCCCAGATTCTTGCCCAAGAACTCTTCTTCGTCGAAGATCATCGGGTGTCAGAATCCGAAATGCCAATTTCTGTTCGGACCCAATGTTAAATGCAGAGGATGTGACCCGAATACCCGCAATTGCACCGTCGCTTGTCCGCCGTACATTCTCCAATACGGGTTAGGATCAACGGCTGGGATTTTGATATCCGAGAAGCTTGATTTCCCGGATCTAACCGTACCCAATTTCGTCGTCGGATGCTCAATTATCTCGACCCGACAACCCGCTGGTATCGCCGGGTTTGGGCGTGGGCTCGAATCTCTCCCTTCTCAGATGAAACTCAAGAGATTCTCGCATTGCTTGGTTTCGCGACGGTTCGACGACACGAATGCGAGCACCGATCTCGATCTGGATACCGGGTCGGGTCATAATTCCGGGTCGAAAACCCCGGGTCTCAGCTACACGCCGTTTCGAACCAACCCCAATGTCTCCAACACCGCTTTTCTGGAGTACTATTACCTCAATCTCCGGCGAATCTACGTCGGAAGCAAGCGCGTTAAGATCCCGTACAAGTACCTCGCGCCGGGAAGCGACGGAAACGGAGGATCAATCGTCGATTCCGGATCGACATTCACTTTCATGGAGCAACCCGTGTTCGAGCTCGTGGCTGAGGAATTCGCGACGCAGATGTCGAATTACACCCGGGAAAAAGACATAGAGAAGACCACCGGGCTCGGGCCGTGTTTTAATATCTCCGGCAAGGGAACGGTGACGGTGCCAGAGCTGATCTTCGAGTTCAAAGGTGGAGCCAAGATGGAATTTCCGTTATCTAACTATTTCACGTTCGTCGGAAGCGCTGATGACATCTGTATGACGGTGGTTTCCGATAAAACCGTCAGTCCCACCGGTGGTCGGAGCGGTCCGGCGATCATTCTCGGGAGTTTCCAGCAACAGAACTATCACGTGGAATACGATTTGGAGAATGACCGGTTTGGGTTCGCGAAGAAGAAGTGCGTCCCGTGAGTTTCCAGGGGCAAATTTGGAAATTTGACTTTTCCAACGATGAGACCAATTTTATGATTTAATTTCTTTTTCAAATAAAAGAAAAAACGGTTGTTAAATGTTTATAATTATGAGAAATCGAAAATCTATAGTAGCAGTGAAAAATACGATTTCAATTTGTTCGTATTAATTTGATGCTAAGCCGACAAAAAAAAAAGGATGCATTATCGAAAGCAATAGAAAATGGATGATAATACAGTGAAACGACGTCGATGTCCATTGATCAAAAATAAGCAAACAGGCACTAATGCACTATATATGTTCACTGGTTTTAAATTATCTAAAAAAATAATTGAATGGTTATCGATGTAAACAAACATATAAGTACATACCCACGTGTACCAAAAGCAAGAAAAAGTGGAACTTTCTTTTTAAGATTTTAGAATTCGAATAATTGGATATTGTAGCTTGGGATATATCCGAAACATATACGATACGACCCTTTTTTCCAAAAAAACAAAAAAAAATACAATCCATTTTCTATCAATGAAAATATTAGGGAGAAAAATATACATTTGTATGAAATTACCTAGATATGATACTACAGAGAATATAAAATTAAGTTGTACTTAGCTCTAAAAGCAATAATGAAAGCGATAAAAGAAATATCAAATGCTAATCATGCCAGCTCACAAAAAGTTCATAGACAGAGATATTTTGTAATAATGCCAGACCTAATGAGGTTCCGATTGGTTTATGTTTCTGGCGCGATCAGTGTAATTTGTTGGGATTAGTCTTCAGTGTAATCAATGTGATATTTTTGATCTGTCAAAGAATGTCATCAATGTGATTAAGAAGATTGCATTACTATTATTTTTTAAGCTAAACAAACTATTAATTGGAGTCTTTCTCTTTTTATAATTATATATATATATATATATATATATCAGGTATTCTGTAACATCTTATACTCCTTCCATTTCAAATTAGTTGTCGTTTTGGCAAAATGTATTTGCAAATATTTGGACGTATCTGGACGTGTTTTGCATTGCAGATACGTCCAAATATTTGCAGATACATTTTGCCAAAACGACAACTAATTTGAAACGGATGGAGTATTAACTAGGAGGAATGCCTAAAGAATCTCTTTTTTTTTTTCAGATAACTTATCAGAATGTCATATAACTTTTACATGAACAAATCTTCTCAAAAACTGTTACGGCTGGACTTAGATGCGTCTGACCGACTAAAAAAAGGTGGGGCAATGTAAAGCCAAGATGCAGCTGGACGGATCTCTTTCATCTGAAAATGGTCCAAACTCCAAAGGGATAGAAGATAAGAGTCCAAGCTTTCAGACCATGACCATTTTCAATAAATTCTCTCATCAATAAATAAAAAAATCGTGACAAAATGTAGCATTGAAAGAAGTTTTTGGAAAACAAAATATCTGTTTTGTCATCAACTCAATACGTTTTTCTATTGGATATGAATTCAAATTGTAAAAACACTAAACACTAAACAATTTTTTTTCCCCTTTGTTTTCTTTAATTTAGAATGTTCATTTGGAAGTTTTTGTATCCAACGGCTAAAATAGTTAATGGCTCTAATTTCTTAACTTGTGGGTTATATGAAATTGCATGTATATTGGGCTTTAATATATTTTGCTCGTAAGATCGACATATACTTGGACCCGTTGGCCAAGCAAGCCCAAACATGGACGCGCGCGGAGGATCAAACAAGCGAAACGGTCGAGCTAGGGTTCCTCCTTCTGATCAGATTGAATCGTCGCCGGCGTATTTCTCCGGCATTCTCTCATACAGTTACAGGAATCAGCGGTCTGCTCTTTTTCCTCAAGTAATCAGCTTCAACCCTTTTTCTATTAGTACCAATTACCAAATTTCATAATTACAGTTCCAACGTTCTCTTTTGAACTTTGTTGGTTTACGTGTCAAATTCCGTAAAATCGAAATTTCATTCATTCTTTCATTTCTGCTGTCATATCATATAAGTTCGGGTGTTTCTTGTGATATGACTTTCTCAACACATGTTCACTTTATATCTGCATATGCTCGATCTCTTTAACATCATGGATTCACACATTTATCCGATGATATGAGACTTGTGCGCCCCTACTAGCTCAAACTTTTGGAATATTTAGAGACAAGTGATAAAGAATATATGCCACCGTTTTCTTAAGTAAGGCTCAGATACATTTGAAACAAAACGAACCTTTCTTTTAAATTGTGGGACTATTGATCGGTTATTGTTGTTATGCGAGGCAAATAAGAAAACTAATCTTTTGTGAATAAAGTTCATAACCATTAGATTAAGAAGGCTGTCACGTCAAAATTAGGACAACTTTTCTCCATTCCTCCTTTAATCTTTAAAGTTGATCTCTTTCTTTCTTAAAAGTTAGGCCCTCCAGAGGAGAATTATGCCTTAAACTATTCCTATATTTATTTTTCTCTCCCTTTGCTACTTCTATTCGTTTTTTTCCCACATGGCCACACCCAGGAGATCAAAGATGCTTATTTTGAATGCTAAGAAAGCTAAAATAACAATTTAGGATTTTCTTTCATATATTGCTTTTTAATGCTTGATTTTGTGATAAGACTGCCTTATCTTGAAAATGTTTAAAATAATTCTAGAGGCTCTTCTATTATGTGTTCCCACGAAAATTCCTGGAAAAGGGTTTTGATTTGATAGAAACCACTCGGAAAAGTCATGCAGAAGACGTATGTCTTTTACAACTCATGCAAGATTCAAAATCAGTTTCAATCTAACTCAAGACTAGCAATACCTTAATATTTTTGATTCTGACTGAAGGCCAAATTTTTTCAAAAGCTGATGTTACATTAACTCAAAGCTTTTATCAAGTTGGATGGTGAGATATTGATCGGATTTACGATGTATTTTTCCTTGAACATAAGTGCTTTAGAATCATCTGGGGTCTGGTCCTGGTTAAAGCATTCACATTTTGACCATCCTGGTCACACACTTTTCTTTCAAGGATTGGTACACAAATGACTTTTTTTTGGGGGGCAAACAAAGTTAGTTGATTTTGATTACAGGAAAAAGTTTGATTGGGTGTGCCAGAAGAAACCATCTATATTCCTTTGCTTTCTTTCGTTCAAAACACTTTTGTATTCAAATGATTTTGCTCTCACATATGTATGTCTTTTGGGACTAAGCTCTTTCTTTTTCCCCCTAATAAACGTATAGACAGCGTGGAAGAACATTTAGCGAGTTTTATTTATTCTCTTGTTGTCCTGTTCTTTGGTCCTACAAGCCAGTTTTAGTTTAACGTAAAACAAGAAAATACTCTCAATCAGCTTTGTAATTTTTAAAATCTGATGCAAAATATTCTGTGTTGTTTTTGTAAAAGGCCACATACTTCAAAAGTTGATGTCTACATTAGCTAATCTTTAGCAAGTGGGCTTGAGAGATGGGTTGATTTCACATTTGGTTCTTCTCGTAAACGCAAGTGCTTTAGAATCATCTGGGGTCTGATCCTTGTTAAAGCATTCACATTTGACTGATCTGGTCATACACTTTCTCTAAAGGACTCGTTTATGCAAATAGATTTTTCTTTTTCTGTGGTAGAGTTTGAATCTTTTAGTTAGGGTAAACAAAAGTTTACCAAGTTTTATTAAAGGAGAAAAGGGTTTTGATTGGGTGTGCCTGAAGTAACCATCTATATTCCTTTGCTCTCATCATTCAAAACACTTTCGCAGTCAAATGATTTTGGTCGTCCTTTGGATCTCTTTTGGGTCTAAGCTAATAAACAAAGCCACTTTCCTTCCCTTTTTTCTGTCTTAAACGCAGACAGCGAAGACGAAATACGAGTTTGTGTTTATTCTCACAACTTTCCTATTTGGCCCCACAACTCCTCTGTAACTTAGCATTTATCCATATCCGTGTAACCTCATGAAAACCTGAAAATTTAAACAAAGGGGCGTTTAGAAAACTTAATGGTCTATGTATTCTGATACATAAACGAGTTAGAATATTTTCTACTCTTTTTAGCATTCATGATAAATAGGAGAAATCAACGCTCTCTTGTGTATAGTGACCTAACGTTCACGATAATTTTGTGTCCTCTTCTATTCCAGAAACGTATAATCATGTTTGATTTCAAAACGTTCACTTGCTTTTCCTGAATAATGATTAGAGGATCATTTCTCTCTTTGTTTTATGGCACAACATTCTTGTGTTTTAATTTCCTCATTTTGAGTTGTTACACACATGCATGGGTAAATAATACTTTAGCTTCTTTTGTAGAAGCATTGGGAGAGGAAGTGAGTGTAATAGTACTTGTTGCAGGGAATAGTGGCTTTCAGGTGAAGGCTTACATAAAAACAAGTAAAAAGCTGTACAAAAGATGATTGGGGAATGAAAGGAAGATTTCTTGTTTCTTGTGAAGATATTGATGATTTTATAGTCTATTCTTCAATTCTCATCATAAGAAAAGATAAATTTATTTTACAGTATTTATTAGTCTTTTAGGACATACATATCTATAGTGGGAATATAGCTTATATGATTCTCTTACCAAAGTATATAAATCTTATTGAAGATTCCTAGGCAAGTTGAATGGTGGTGCATTTTTCTCTTCTTTCTATGCAGTGGCATGCTTCATGTGTGTGAGAGAGAGAGATATGTTTTCATCAAAGTAGAAGTATAATAGGTAAAGCTTGTTGTACCATTTACTGCAATGATCTCATGTTTGAATAATCCATACGCGGAATCATTTCTTTTTGTTCACTGTTTTTAACATTCCTTAATCAATGTTTAGATTATGGGGCCGGCTTTAATTTCCTTGAACAAAAAATGAAGTTGTGTTTTTGTCAGTGGATTCTTTAAAGATTTAGGCATCTGCATATGTTTTATCTTTGTGTGCGTATAGTGTTATCAAGTGAAGATATATACATGGCTTGACATGTTGGTTAGTGGTATGAGAATCGAACTCTTCCTTATCTCTTATGTTGCAACTATAAAATAATGAATGCACAGCTCTGTTTCTTTGAATAACTTATTTTATTTTATTTTGATGCGTGAGTTCCTGTTACTGATCTGAAACTTGGATTTCATTAGGCACATGAAAATGATTGGTCGTGTTGATAGGAGATACAATCAAAGACTGTCCCCACTAAGAGACTGCATTGTGCGCTTTCTTTTAATCTTTTACTTGTTCAAAACATCTTCATTTCTTCTTCTCTCTGGTTTTTAAAATGAGATTTATGGTCCAAAAGCTACACACTTTTATCAAAGTAACGAAAGCGAATGATGCATTTATATATTTAGTGTCTGTGATGGGTCAGATGGTTTTGTTTCTCTTTAGTGTTTTTTTTTTGGTATGATTCTCTTTAGTGTTTTGATAATTTAGGAGGAAGAGTTTCGATATACCATGCAAAAATTCAATAAAATACAAAGACCAGTTAGTGATCCTTCTTTGTTCTGTGTTTCCTGTCCCCAAAATGATTATGATTTTCGATATGACTCCATGTATAGAATTTATGATTTCGTTTTCTAGTATTTTGATAAGGTATGAAATTCTATTCATATATTTAATCATAACTGATTACATGTTAGCACTTTTAATAACTAATTAGTAATTTGTTTGTTGAGAATCTTGAGACGTAATTGGGTGTAAATATAAATATAACTTTTTTGACAAAAAATTCTGTTCATTCCCATGTTCTTGTGGCTCCTATGTTGTTGCTTACATGTGATGTTGAGTTTAGCTTACTTGACCGGATCTAGAATATGAGACTGTTGTCGGGAAAAGTGTTGGGACTTGGCTAGTAGGTAGCTTCAAGGTGCTAAAAGTGTTGTTATTGTGGCTATTATTTCTTATTTATATATTATAGAAGTGAATGATGATTTGCATCTTTAATTAGGCTCTTTTCTAAATAAGTGATACACTTTGCCGAAAAGAGAGAGACCCACTTAGCTTGCAGTACCCATTACATCTTTATTTTTTTGGGTGAAATTTGAAAAAGAAAAGAATATAAGGGCAAAGCTGAGTTACTTTGCCTTTTGATATTGCTTTGTCATCACATGCATTCCACTTTGGACCCTCAAAAAACCCCCAAAATTTTGCCTCTCTCACAAGAAAAGCATACACATTTCCTCCTCCTTACCTCATATATTTGACGACCAAAACCCTTTTCTTCCTCTCCCTCTTCCCTTAATCTCTCTCGCTCTCTTTTCTTACTCTGCTCTTAGGTTTAAGACTTTTCCCCACCTTACAAGAATAGATCCTTCTTCTTTGTTTTGTTTTTTTTCGTTGTCCAAATAAATGGAATGAAGCCAAGACTCTTGAAGCCTTTACCGTATACAACTCTCACTTCTCAGTACTAGTATTACCCCCACCTTGTGTTCCTTTTTTGGGTGTTTCGTCACCATGAGAGCTGGAGGCTGCACGGTGGAGCAAGCGCTCACGGTTGAGGCTGCAAACGTGGTGAAACAAGCCATGGGACTGGCCAGAAGGAGAGGACATGCACAGGTCACACCTCTCCATGTGGCTAGCACCATGCTCTCTGCTCACACGGGTTTACTAAGAACAGCTTGTCTCCAATCTCACACCCACCCTCTTCAATGTAGAGCCCTAGAGCTCTGCTTCAACGTGGCTCTAAACCGCCTCCCGACATCCACTGGGAGCCCTATGCTAGGGGTTCCGATTTCTCCTTTCCCTTCCATCTCTAACGCTCTCGGTGCAGCTTTCAAGCGAGCGCAGGCTCACCAGCGGCGTGGATCCATCGAGAGCCAGCAGCAACCGATATTAGCCGTCAAGATTGAAGTGGAGCAGCTCATAATATCCATCCTCGATGATCCTAGCGTGAGTAGAGTGATGAGAGAAGCTGGTTTCTCGAGTCCTCAAGTGAAGAGCAAAGTTGAGCAAGCTGTTTCGCTAGAGATTTGCTCAAAAACAACCTCCTCGAGTAAACCTAAAGAAGGCAAGTCGTTAACTCCGGTCAGGAACGAAGATGTCATGAACGTTATAGACAGTCTAGTCGACAAAAAGAGGAGGAATTTCGTGATAGTGGGAGAGTGTTTAACAACTGTTGACAAAGTTGTGAGAACGGTTATGGAGAAAGTTGACAAGAAAGATGTGCCCGAAGCTTTAAAAGACGTAAAGTTTATAACTTTATCGTTCTCATCGTTCGGGCAACCTAGTAGAGCAGAAGTGGAGAAGAAGCTAGAGGAATTGGAGACACTTGTGAAGTCCTGTGTGGGAAAAGGAGTGATTCTAAATCTTGGAGATCTAAACTGGTTCGTGGAGTCTAGAACCAGAGGTTCTCCAGTGTACAATAACTACTGTGTCGTGGAGCATATGATAATGGAGATTGGGAAGTTGGCTCGTGGGTTGGTCATGGGAGATCATGGAAGGTTTTGGTTGATGGGTCTTGCGACTTCACAGACTTACGTGAGATGCAAGTCTGGTCAACCTTCGCTTGAGTCCCTTTGGTGTCTCACTACTCTCACTATTCCGGCGACTAGTAGCCTCCGCTTGAGTCTCCTCTCCGAGAGGTAAAGTCTTCTCCTTTTCAATGTGCAATCTGGAGACTAGAGATGAGATTTTTTATTTAAAAAAAAAAGAAATTAGTTGGATATGATCTAACTATTTTGTCTCTTTTTCGAAAAGGACAATTTCACCTATAGTGTTTTTGCTTTATTTGGTGATCGTTCTAAAAGAACGGTGTAACAACGTGCATCTTTACGTACCTTTTTTTCTATTATTTTATAAATATTTTAATATTAGCTTTCTTGTGAGAAAAGAAGTTTACTTCATTTTAGAAGTTCAAGGACTAAATCAAGTTTAACACTCCTTCACTAATCACCATTTTGTTTTTTTGTTTTTAATTCAGTGAGCATGAAGTCAAGAAATCAGAGAACGTTTCATCAGAGAAACTCAGTTTCTGTGAGGAATGTTCCATCAAGTTTGAGGCAGAAGCTCGATTCTTAAAATGTGCCAATAGCAATGTCTCGACTGCAGCTTTACCGGCGTGGCTTCAGCAATACAAGAAGGAGAGTCAAAATAGCCACACTGTGAGTTGTCTAAACAACAAATCAAATTTACATTTCTCATTTGTTTCTTCTTCTAAGATCTTGAATCTTGGACTTGGCAGGACACAGATTCTATAAAGGAACTTGTGGTTAAGTGGAACACAATCTGCGACTCAATCCATAAGAGACCATCTCTGAAAACACTCACACTCTCTTCTCCAACATCTTCCTTTTCTGGTTCTATTCAACCTTCGACTGCTCTACATCATCTTCAAGCCAACGGTGATTGGCCTGTGATCGAGACAAATAAGTATCGTCATCATCATTCCGTCATCCCTGATGCATCCCCTTTGAGATTGTTTATTCCAGAACATGACAGCGAGAAAAAGACAAAGCTTTTCTCTTCGAATCCTAATTCAACAGTACACTCTGCGGCTTCTTCGAGCGATGCAATGGAGGTGGAACATGTTTCCTCTAGGTTTAAAGAGATGAATGATGAAACCCTAGCAGTTCTATGTGATGCCTTGGAAAGCAAGGTTCCTTGGCAGAAGGAGATAATTGCGGAGATAGCGGAAACGGTCTTGAAATGTAGGTCAGGGTCGAGTACTAGAAAGATCAACGGAAACGATTATGTTAAAGAAGAGACTTGGATGTTCTTTCAAGGTCTTGACGTAGAGGCTAAAGAGAAGATCGCAAGAGAATTGGCTAAACTCGTCTTCGGATCTCAAAACAGCTTTGTCTCGATCTGTTTGAGTAGTTTCTCTTCAAAAAGATCGGATTCGTCGGAAGATTTGAGGAACAAGAGGTCGAGAGATGAACAGAGTTGGAGTTACATTGAGAGATTCTCTGAAGCTGTTTCGTTAGATCCAAGTCGAGTGTTCTTTGTGGAAGATATAGAGCAAGCTGATTATTTGTCTCAAGTGGGTTTTAAGAGAACCATTGAGAGAGGAAGCGTTCGTAATTCGAGTGGTGAAGAAGCTTCTCTTAAAGATGCGATTGTGATCTTGAGCTGTGAAAGATTTAGTTCAAGATCAAGAGCTTGTTCTCCTCGTCCGGTTAATCAGAAATCGGACGGTTCGGATCAATCGGAGGACAAGAACGTTGCTACTTGCGTCGCACTCGATCTCAACCTCTCTCTTGACGATGACGTTTGTGAAGAGGAATCATGTGACAAGATTGGTTTGCTTGAAGCTGTGGATGCACGGTTTCATTTCAAGCGTTCATCAACATAACATCATGCATGTAATGTAACGTTACGGTCATGCGTTATTTGTTTTCCTTACGGATTTCGCTTTCATTGGGACAATACTTTGGGTTAAACGTGTAGTGGTAGATTTTGTTTTATATTTGGCTTAGGGAACTTTCTAGAAGGATATGAGGGTCGGTGTCTCGGACAAGCTTGAGATGTTTCTTTTTTGTAACCTTTTTTTCCTCAATGTAAAATTATCATATTATGGTCCTAAATGATGATTTATGTTCGCGGAAAACTGAAGGGAAAATGGCTGCTTCCAAGTTTAAGTTTCATTCAGGTTTGATACACAATGTTTCTAACAAAATAAAAAAAGATAGTCTAGACTTAAGCTAGAAGAAAGAACATGCTATGCGATAATATACTAAGTAATACTTAATACACAATTACATTTAATCATAAAGCATATTATTCCCATTCTCCTTTTAAGAAATTTTGTCGTTAACTATGAGAATTCTTAAATAAATCTTCATCCATTTTAAAACTAGTAATTTTTTTTATCATTTTTCTTGTTTTAAAACAAATGATGTTTTATCTTTACGAAAAAAATAAGAAAATCAAGCAATGATATTTATTGTTGTTGTTGTTAGATATAAAATACAGATATTTAATTGATTTTCAAAGTTTTTATAAAATAATTGTACCTTCAACTAAAAGATCATCTAGTATGAAACAGATGGAATATATACTAGACAACCCATAATTTAACCCTTAATCCGTCTAAACATAAAGCACACAAATCGACCATTGTTTCCTTTAGAATCCAAGACAGCTTGAATGATATTAAAGATCTCTCACAAACTTTATTGCCACACTGTTTCATTTCATCTTTTCTTTTCTTTTTTCCCGAGAGAAAGGAAGAAGCCACCACCTTAGAATCTAAATTGCTTTTCTCTACTTCTCTTTTGCCTTTCCGAGTTTGGTTTTCTTTTAAATCTCTGAAGTTTTACGTATTGTTGGATCGTGTATTAGGATAAATTCATGGATTAATTTTGTGAATGAATCTCCTTTCACAAACTTGAAAGAAGGTAAAGCTTTTTCCGATCGGATTGCATGAGTGGACGAAAAACGGATACCCTAAAACATATTCATGTCTGATTTGTACCCAAAGGAGTTGTTTTATGTCAATACATATTTTATCTGAATATTTATGATAATGATATCCGCATAAAATTAGGATCACGTGAATATTTATCCATAATCGATCTAATTCTTTCTAAAAAGTTAGTAAACGTGTACATATTCTATGAGGACTTCAACAAGATACTATTAAAAGTAAATGATATGATAAGCGACTTTGATAAAATGTATAGATATACGACACTGATCTAACTAGAAAATGAATCATATATATATAACACGAATTGAGATAAGCAAAAACTCATAAATGTATGTGAACGAATAACGGATTGTAGGCTGTATGTTTTTCATAATTGTCTAAATGGCAACAATTTCTGATTATGTGAATCATACCAGTTGAAGGAAACACCCATGTGTACACACAAAGATATCCTTGATTATAAATCGACGAATTACATAAATGCAATTATATGTATGCGTATATTTGTAATATGTCCATCAATTCATGCATGGAATCTAAAGTTTATCCTCAAAAGCAGGAAGGAAGATAAAGTTAAGCATGATTTTAGAAAAGTATATAGTGAATTTATTTACAAGAATTGCAGAAAGTGGGTGACCCTTTTAAAGCAGAAGGGAAAAAAGGAGAGTGAAAAAGCTAAATTCTATCTCTCTGCTTTTGGGGTTTTTTAAGCTTTTGAGAGCCTTGTGATGGGCATTTAGTCATTAGAGACCTAAACTTTGATCTCAACATAATGCGCTTTTTTATCTTTAGAAAAGCTATAAAAAACACACTAACTTTTTCTCCTCTTGGTAGCTTTTGTTTTTTAATAATTAAATACGAAAAATGAGAGAGTAAAAGTTATTTATAAGAAGTTTAGGATGTAATCAAACACATGGATCCAACTATGGCTTTTGTTTTATTAAACTGAGAGATGCTGGCATACAAGAATTTTGAGAGCTCTATGGCCCAAATCCATATCTTTAAAGAAGGTTTCTGGTGCAAAATATTACACTTCCATGAGCTCACAAAATAGAATTTTATGACATTTGGCTATAGTTGTTATCTGAAACAAAAATCGATGTAATCGTAAACCCTTGAACTATATACTAAATTCATGGGCCGTTTAACATGTTAGTTAATAATATTTGGGCTTTATATAATAATTGAATGGCCCAAAGCTATGAGTTTTAAAATCGCAGAGCCATCGTTCATCGAACGTGATCTTCTTCTTTCTCAAGAGTTAAATAATTTCTCAAGTTTGATGTTTGTTTATTTTAATTTTTAAACGTAGATCTTTTTCCGTCAACTAAACTATAAAACTCAAAAGTGATTTGACTATTAATGATCTTCTAACCGGAACCTACTCGGAAACCCTCTTTTCCGACAGTGACACTTCAACTACCCTGTCGAGTTTCTCTTCTTATCTAAAAAACACAAATCCATAATTACGACAGCGAAACGACGCAGTTTCAGGTCACATCTCTCACTCCCTCGCGCGCGCGATTGTGAAATGGGTCTAAGCCAAACCGCAACCGTTCTCGTCGCGGTGTTCGCGTTTTGTCTAGTTGCAATCACGGCCCAGCTCGCCTACGTGTTGTGGTGGAAACGTCGGTTTCATCGTCGGAGTGTCGCCGGATCAGAACTCGACGCGTTTTCCTCCCGCCGAGGAGATCCGACGTTGACACCACCGCCATCGAAAGAGCTTCTTTACTTCTTCCTCTTCTGTCTCGAAAACAAACAGTTCCGAATAGGATCCGCCACCGCTCCGCCTCTCCCTGCAGCCACACCGCCGATCGATGACGTGGCATCTAAATGGTCAATCAGAGGAGAAAATCTACTTTGTGGCCCATCGGAGACTCTGTTTACCATCGCCGAAGACTGTAGTAGCGAGACCGATCATAGGACGGCTGAGATTGAGCCACGTGGAAGCGTATCTACAGAGGATCATGCCGAAGATGACGAACTGGAAAATGGGTTTGTCGTGCCGGATCGAAATGACGACGAGGTTTACTCTAGTGACTATGATCACGACGATCGAATGACGCCTTTTTCAACTCCGTGTGCTTCACCACCGTTTTACACGCCGTCTCCTTCTCCGATTCGTGATGATCTCTCTAAGACGCTAGGTGAGGAGAGTTTACACGGCTGAGATTACGGAGACATTCAAAATATCCGATTAATCGGAAATTGACCCGGTCAAAGATACGGTGTCAATTCGTTTCTATCCGGTTTGGTTTCTTATGTGTAGTATTAAACCGTAATTTAACCAAATTAGCTAGAAATCGAACCGAGACCCTATTGTAAAGTTGTAACATATGGAATTGTAAATCTGTTTTGTTTTTGTTTTTTCTCACATGACTCTCTTTTCCATATGGAAGTGTTTTTTAATTTGGTCAGAGAAGAGAGGGTTGAGAAATGTCTCGGAAAGACCATTGAAATGATTAGGATATGTTTTGTTACATTACATAGTTTTCTTTGGTTTCATATAAATCCTTCTTCTTTTTTTGTGACATTTTCTCAAAAACCTCTTTTACGTTGACCTATAGGGCCCTAAGCTAAAACCGACGTATCTCTTTCTCAAACTAGTTTGGGAATTTTTGTAAATTACTTAGAACTTGATCATTTAAAATGATGAATGGCATCGTGATTTCTACCCCTGCTTCTTGGAGAAGCGATTCTTCTGTTTTATCATTAAATTTTATTTATTTCTTGTGCAATTTGGGTGCTCTTATCTCCACTTTGCGTCAAACTGAATCCTATAACGTTGAAAATAAAGCGTTGCACTATTGTTGAGGTATTACAACATATATCATAACAATTTCAATAAATATGCAATCAAACCCAAGAATTATTTACTGCATGTGAAAAGAAGTTGGTGTGTCGATATCTAGCAGCTAGAGAAAAGACGATAAGAACCATTGTTGCTAAAAGTACGGCAATTATGACCAGACTCGTGTTATGGAGATAAACCATTCGATCGAAAATTTGCTGATCGCTTTCAATTAAATTTAGTTTGTTTTGATTTGATCTAGTTCGGTTAATATACTTCGATTAAACTACATTTCAGGTCTCCTAACATATTCTCATCTAAAAAGTATATTACTTTATTCCATACAAAATTATTATGAACATATATTCAGAGTTCGGACCTTATACTTAATGAAAATTTCATAATTTATAATTCATTCAAAACATTACTTTCTACTAACAAATTATTCCTTCGCATTGCTTTTTACAACGTGAAGAAATTGAAGCTTATATTTTTTCCCCTATATATGTCAGATAATATAACAACACTAAAAAACATTAGTTAGTTAATCTTACTGAACTACTGGAATCTATGTGGTTAAGGATGTGATTACAAATATTATTGATGAATGCGAAATAGTAAATTTTATAAAGGAACAAAACAAACCGAATTTGAAAAGAACCAATCCTCCATTTATTCCAACTTTTAGTGGATTTACAATTGAATCCAACCTCACACCGACGCGGCTGTAATAATTCTACAATCAACAATAAGCTTAACAACCAAAAGTAGTGAAACAGAAATATTATCCGGCTGGTGAAAGAAGTTTGGTAAATCTTTATAGAACAAAAAAACGAAAATGATTGATCATAGTTTGCAGATATATAAAAAAAAGAGCAATTTAACGCCGTCAAACTTCTAAACGTTCACACTGCATCTATTAAGGTACGTAAACTTAACGGCGTTGTCACCGACAAGAACACCACCGGCTTTGTTTCCAAGATTAATCAAAGCCGCACAACGAACATGGATATGATATTTTCCGGTTATCAACGTCCCTACTTTCCACCTCACGCGCCCATCGGCGCGTATCATAATCGGGACAGGTCCACGACCTTGCTCGTCTCCTAAAGCGAGGGAGTTGTACGGCGCGATGGGAACGGCGGTTCCGTAGACAAACGGAGACCAGATGTTGTCTTCTTTGTGGCCTTGATACGTCGGAGGGATCGCCGTACGGAGAGTTATCTGCTGGTTCCGGTAAGTTGCGTAGACGTGGAGACGGTCGTAGTAGATTCCGATCTTGGAGTTTGGGTTGCGAGACGCGAGTGTGATCTGGAAGTTTGAAGTGAGGAGGTTTGGTTGCGAGAGGTTGAAGGCGAAGACGGTGGCGTCTTGGAGGATGAATCTTGGCTTGGTTGGCCTGAGTATGACCCAAACTAGGAAGATGGTGATTAGAACTATTAGAACGAAGGCGATTATGGCGGCGCAGATTCGCCGGACGGCTGCTTCTTTGCCGCCACCGTGGTTGCCGCAATCTTTCGACATCGTTTATTTACGGTATTGCCACTGGCCTACCTCTCTCCCTCCTCTCTCTCTCTCTCTCTCTCACTACGATACTTTTCTTCTTTTTTGTGTGGTCGTGAATCGTGACTAGTGATGATGGAGGAAAAAAATATGTAAGAGAGAGATGGTTGTGTATATTTATATTCTAAATGGGGTATTGTAAAGGCTAATGTAGTGTACTATTCGCGTTGTGTTTAGACTTTAGAGTCTATAGACTGAGTTGAAACTTTTTTATACTTTTATCGTTACATTTAAGTTCTTATCTAAGCTAATTAAAAGAAATTTATTGTTACATTATAGTGCTTTTGTGTTATGTTTTTTACCGTACGTTTGAAGAAAACTGAAGGAAGGGGAAAAGAAAACTGGTTATGCGTAGTTACATAATACGGTACTAGTAATACAAAAAGAGGTAAGAAAAATGTATGTGGGTAATTGGAGTATGCATTATTTTGGGAAATGGTATTTTGACATTTAGTGAGATTTTATCTGGCGCGTCAATTTTTTTTTTTTTAAATTGTTGGATGATGGAAGTTTCCCTCATGATTGATTCGGTTAAAACTTAAAAAATATACAATGCATCTATTTTGTTGTTATTGTTCAGTATATTATTTTAGTCGAAACAAGAACATGGCGCATGTGCATATATTCTTTCATATTCTTTTTATTTTCTTCAAACAGCATTCTTTGATATTCTACAATCGCCATTTTGTAATGTAAATCAAAGAGAGGTGAGTTTTAAAAATAATTTCAAAGATAAATTAAATTGAGTTAGATACGTGTCATTTTACTGTTGGTTTAGGTGAATAACTCGTCTGTTGTTATTTTTTCGTTTAAAGAAGAAGTCTATGGCCTATTGACTATTGTGTGGTTTATCGTGTTCAAAGTAAAACTGGCAGGTCGGCCATCAGCATTTACGGTTTATGTTCCCACGTGGAAACAGAACAACTCTACTATATTTCCTGGTTGTATCGATGCTTAAAATCATACTCGATGTCGGCGTTTATAATTCTTTTTATAGCAAAATTACTCAAAATATTTTTCACAATTAAAAAAAAAAAAAACTGATATATGAACAAACGGTTTCTCTCGTGGAAGAATGTTGCAAGCCTTTAGGCGGCTGGAGTTTGAAAGTAATTGACGAATGTTCGCAACACAAGTAACAATTTAGGTGATACGTTTTCTTTGGATGACTTTATGTTTAACTAGGAAAAGTTAGGTTAAGAAACTGGTGGATTTTGATAACGATTACTTAATGACTTAATGTATGTATGGACATATACTTGGCTCCAAAATTGTCCGTTTCACCAGCAAGAGGGCAAAGGCACGGACATACAAAGTAATTAAAAAACAATCATATCATATTGGTATGAATATCATATATAAGTTATCTGTATAAAGTGTTAGGTTTCACAATTTAAAATTGATTAATAGGTCCATCACAATTTTCAATATGACCTAACAAGTTTTTTCGAGATTATATTGTTTTCCATTTCGAACTAAATCTCACGAAGACTGATAGTTAGCTTTAACTAGGCTACACAATGTCAAAAACCAAGATAAAAAAAAATCAAGTTCCTTTTAAAATTTTGATATCGATGATCATCTCAATTATATATATTTACTCCGATCCTTGTTTAACCCCATTAATGTTTAGACATCGTATGTATCTTACTAATATAACATCTATCTAAACAGTTCACCGATGGCCAACAGCCAACTCGTCGGTAGGACAGGAGTGAGTGCAACGTTAAACCCATATAAATAATAGAAACATCGTAAAGAATGAGATAATTCCAAACATTCGATACACTGCCAACCAATTTTATAAAGCTTTAAGGATATGGACATAGCTAATTATTGGGTAGATCTTTATATGAATTAAAATGTGTTTATTGAGCAGTAATTTACATGATTTGTATTCAATGTTTTGTGTTGCGTCTGCGTCGGATGTTGACAATTGACTCGAAAACAAAACACGTCTCCGCCTTTTCTTCGTTCGTTATAGGGTGGGACCCTTGTGGTAACGTTACGGGCTACAAATGATATCCCCACAGCTCAACTAGCTAGAGACTTCGAATCTTTTTCTTAAAGTTACATTAGATCATAATGCAAAGTGTCTTTTTCTTCGTTACATTTTCATTTGTTAGGTTTATTACAAAAAGACAAAGCACCAACCCTATTATTTCTATATAAATTACGCATTACCAACGAATCTATATAAGTTAGGCATAAAGAATAAATCCAAAGCATCTCTATATAGTAGTCGGCTAGTCGCCTCTTGTGTGAGTGAGTGCACTGCAGATAATCGCATTCGATTGTATTAATCATAAGTGAATAAAATAAAACGTAATTCCAATAGACATACACTATAAATTTCGATGTCCCATTCTCGGTATAGTCATGATTTGACTGTTATTACATTTTATATATTTACTTGCTATGTGTACTTAAGTGACACTCTAGAGTACTAGCCAGAGTTTTAATGTTTTATTTACGGTATGATTTAAGTTTAATAAGTGGAAAAATGTTGGAGAGGTAAAACCGTAAAACAAATCGGAAAATACTGGCAAAGAAGCATAAAAAATGATTCCAAATCTCATAAACTATAAGTTTCTTTACTCGAGATATACTCGATCTCTTTGGTATTTTCTTACTCCACCACACATTTCATCGAGGGCCGAGTGGTTGATTCAAATTAGAAACTCGGAATATTTTTTATCGAGTAATATTCAAAAATGAAAACTGAATCCACATTTTCCTTACGTTTTTGTTTCCCTTAACTTAGACAAACGATAAGATGTTGTCAAAAAAAAAAAAAAAAAAAAAAAAAAAAACGACAGACGATAAGATTGAGTTCCCTATGCATGGATTTGGACGTACGTACTCACAAGTAACTACGACATTCCGAACCAAAGACAGTTTTCCATTACAACGCGCGACTGTACAAGATAAAACATGTGACGGAAAGTAGAGAACGAATCCTATTGAACGTAATCAACCAGTTTATAGAGCAAAGACCGAAGGCTCGGAGCAGTGTAGCACCCAGCTTGTCCCCTGGCCGATCATCACGAATCGGGACAATAGAAAAAAAAAAATATCGGACTTATTAACATGTTGTGTGGATGAAACATGATCGGACCAAACCACTTGATCACGTTTCATTTTTCAAGTCCAAAAAATGTGGCCCATGTTCATGAGGAGTCCCAGGGATCGCGATGACTCATTCTTTTATTTGAGGTTTCTTATCCGATCACCCCTATTCAAGATTCCCTTTATCTCGACCATATCCCAAATTCATCAAAGCACGACATTTTTTACATAAAAGTTTCCAACGACTCTTTCTTTATATTATACACGAAACTGTTTTCCTACAACGAGGATCCATTGGTTCACATTTAAACTTTAATCCAAGATGATCATCCCTTAATCATCTCTCCATTATACTTGATCGTTCTTAATTATTTATCAATCAATCAATCTCTATTAGATAGTCCGTAGATCGATATACCGAGTCATTTTGCCCCATCTGAATCACAGGCTGTATTGTTAAAAGTGAAAATATTACAAGCGAAAACTTAAGCAAATTAGACACAAAACAAAAGAGAATTATTAATTGGACTAGAGAAAAGTGGGAAATATTGACAATCAATCAATTAGCATCAAAATGATATACATACCAAATCTTTTTTAAAATAGTGTATTTTTTCTTTATTCGAGCTGCACTCACATCATATTTTTTAATTGTTTTTTTTTTCAAAAGTAGCAATCTATTTGGTGTGTTTTTTATTCCAACACATAATTTATCGACGATCAAGAAGTTGAATTAACAACAACAATTTGAATTCTTTTTCTCGAGCTACATTGGCAGTTGAACCTAATTTTTTTTTGCCCTTCAAAATTAGTTTGTGAGTTTTTCTCTATGAATTTGTATAATAAACAATCAAACATTAGAAGAGAAAATTAAGAAAAATTGCGAGGAGGAGGAAGAAGAAATCAAACGTAAACCACACATGGAAGTGGCTTAGGCAACAAAACGGCACCGTTTCCAGAAGCTCCTTCAAACGCAACTTTCAACTTCCCACAAAACACCTTAAGCCCTCTCTCACGCGCCGACCAACCGTCGGTCTTGAAAGTGACCCAAACCGCCATCCTCAGATCAAACGACACCGTTCCGGTATCTCTCTCTTTCTTCATCTCTTCCCCAACCCAGCTCGGCAGTTTCGGCTGTGCCTTCTCTCCCGCCGTGAACGTTTCTCCGATCGAAACCGATTCCTTCGTCTTCACGTAAACCGGTTGGAAAAACGCCATCGACAAGGATTCATCTTCCGCGATCGCGTTTTGGTGGTAGATAAATCCCTGGATCCGATCGAAGTAGCCTCTCAATTTCGTGTTTGGATTCTCCACGGTGAGATTAGCCGTCCACTGGGCGGAGAAAACCGGTCCGGTTACGTTGAAATTGGAGACTGAGAAATTGTTTACGGAGAAAACCGGAACTTGAGGACGTAGGACGAGCCATGTTATGGTGGTGGAGATACAGAGGAGGACGACTAAAACGATTAAACCGGTTAAGATCCCTCGGAAGAAACCGGACGGAGCGGGTCTCTGGTAAACCGGATTTTGATGACCCGGCGGGTAAGGAGCTCCGTAATAGGAAGCGGGTGGGGCTTGCGCGTAGGCGTATTGTTGGTGGTGATTGTAAGGTGCGTTTGGATAATTTGGGTAAGGAGGAGGTTGGTTGTATCCTGGAAAGCCCATAACCGGAGGGTACGTTTGCGGTTGCGGTTGTGGTGGAGGCGGTTGAGATTGCGGCGGAGGCGGTGGTGGTTGTTGATTGGTATCGCGTTCGGAGGTTTGACCCGAACCCGAGTCGGTTTTGGGTTGGGTTGCTTCTTCCGGAGGAGAAGGCATCGTCGTGTCTCTCTCTCTCTCTCCTCTCTTTCTCCGATTAGTTCTCTATTATTAATTAGAAACTAATCAACGATGAGAAAATTTCCGGGAAAGATTTGGAGAAAGAAACGGGAGATTAGTGGAAAGCACGAAGACTAACCTTATTTTCTCAAAGATTTTTTCTCATTTCGTTGGATAAAGAACAAAACTAATCAATTTTGGATAAAAATAGTGAATCCGCCATGGCTGAGCTAAAATTAGCATCACTGCATTCTTGTTTCCATGGATGTTTAACGAAAAATGTTTAGAGGATACAGATCATAAATCTCCTTCGTCATCAATTTAAGCTTCTCCTAATTTATATCTTCTTCAAAGAATGGAATTTTCAGATTTGACCTAATGAAAGTCTCAAAAGTTTCCATGTTGTACCAAGAAAAAATTGGAAATCCCCAATTAGGATAATAGGATGAGATATTGGAAGTGAATTGGTAACTGTAACACAATGATGGAGAAGCTATTATTAGTAAAGTGTATGTGTTCACTTCTTATGCCCAGTGATGTCGCCAAGTAAAGACAAATCTTTCAACTTTCATTACAACAACTCTTATAGTAATGCTTTTAGCCTTTTATGAAACGCACGTGTCCATATTATTACAGCAAACAGTGGAATTTTATATGACTTACGTACAGAACAAGGAATTAGTGATACATAGATAAATTTGGATCTTTTTGTTTTGTGATGAATGAAAACTTAATATCATAAAATGTTGTTCGTAGTTCTCGACATCGATGCGCTTGACCTAAGTTAAAGTTATTATTTACTATTCTTATGCATTTTTACCTGATAATAAACAAGTACATTGTGTGATATCCCCCTTCAAACATTTTGGCCTCAGTAATAAGATATCATAAAGATTAACATGTTTTTTTTTTTTGTTCGAAAAGGACGCTTTTATCATTAAACCGGAATTAACTCCGCAACCACCAAAAAGTCGCGGAGAGAGAGTTTTGCAAGAGAATCAGCCAAAACATTGGCTTCTATGGGAATTGAATCGAAAATTACATTCGAAAAGAGAGAAGAGAGATGAGCTATGTCCTGAAGGATACCATAGATCTCCGATGTACAGCTTCCGGAATTGATTGCCTTGATGAGCACCTGTGAGTCTGAAGCCACATGCAAGGAATAAGATCCAGCGCATGAATCAGAGCGTGACGGATCGCCAATCCTTCCGCAATCAGCGGCGAAGCGACGTTCCTCTTAGCGATTGAATTCTTGGTGATCTGGTGCTGTTTGTTGTTCAAAAATACCCAACCCATTCCTCCTGCTTTCGCTTCCTCGTTCCACGCTCCATCCGTCTGGCAACGCTTGAAACTCGATGGGATTGTGCTTCTGTTGATTCGCTTCTTTGGCCCGCTGGTACGTGGTATCTCTTGCGCTTCTTGCCATTCTCTAGCTCTTAACAACGCTAGATCTAGGGTTTCTCGAGCGGTGAAGAATCTGTTGCTAAAGATTTTGTTGTTTCTACTCATCCAGATGCTCCACATGATCCAAGGTGCTAAAGTTCCTTCTCTGATACCTGTAGGAGGCAAGCTGATTGTGGCGTTCATCACTTTGATTCCTGCTTTGATGCTAGTGATTCCTTCTTTGATGCTAGTGATTCCTCTGGATGCTATTTGGTTTCGGAACGGGGCCAGACTCCACACTTCTTGCGCTAGTTTGCAGAGGAACAGCATGTGGAGTGTGGATTCGGGGCTTCCACAATGGATGCAGGTGGATTGAAGCGAGATTCCTCTGCTTGCCAAGTTTTCCAACTGGTAAGGCTCCTTGCACTGCTCTCCATAAGAAAATTTTAAGCTTTGGTGCAAACTTTCCATCCCACACTTTTGATATCCAGTTGAAATCGTTTGATATTTCAGGGATAGCTCCTGCGAATTTACGGGCTCGTGCTGTGTAATAGCCTGATTTCACCGAGTAACCGCCTGAAGCTTGAGGGAGCCAAGCCAATCTATCGTCTTTATCAAAAGAGCCTGGGACTAAACTGAGGATCTGTTCTTTATGTAGAGGTAACATCTCATTAATCAAGGCCTCATTCCAAACTCCTGATGGTAGTAGTATGTCCGCCACTTTCATATCTTTAGCATACTCTGGGGCAGGCCCCATAGGTCGTATAGGCTCTTTAGTCGAGAGCCATGGATCATCCCAAATTCGTGTGGATTTTCCATTCCCAATGACTCTTCCCACTTTTTCTTTTAGCAGGTCTCTTCCTATGGAGATTCCTTTCCAGCCATGAGAGCCTCCTTCTGTTGAGATACCGTCTAGGAAGTTTGAAGTTGGGAAGTACTTGCCTTTTAGGACCCTTGCAAGTAAGCAGTTTGGTGATGTGAGGATGCGCCAGCTTAGCTTATTGAGGAGTGCGTCGTTGAAACTCTGAATATCTCTGAGGCCAAGACCCCCTTCCCGTTTCCCCAAGGTTAGTTTGTCCCATGCTATCCAACACATTTTCCTTTTTCCATCATTTGCATCCCACCAAAACCGGGTGAGTACTGACTGAATTTGCTTGCATAGCTTCACAGGGAGTTTGAAACAGGACATGGAATACGTTGGCATAGCGGACAGGACTGACTTCAGCATAACCAGCTTCCCTGCGCTTGATAGCTGTTTAGTTGACCAAGAGATCGCCCTTTGTCGGATTCTGTCTACTACTGCATTGAAAAGATCTTTCTTTCGTCTTCCGAAAGCTTCTGGTAAGCCTAGATACTTTCCTTGGCCTCCCTCTTGGTTGATTCCCATGAAACTTTTGACTCTCTTCTTTACGTATTCTGTAGTCTTTTTGGAGAAAGTTATCGCTGACTTTTGGCAGCTTATTTTCTGTCTTGACGCTTCTTCATACTTTCTGAGGATTTCTTTTAACGCTTTGCAGGTTTTCTCATTGGATTTGCAAAAGAACATAGTATCGTCTGCAAATAGTAAGTGGTTGATTTGCGGTCCTCTATTTGCAACCTTGATTCCTGCTAATTGACCATTTTCTTGTGCTTTGTAGCAGAGAACAGAAAGAAATTCACTGCAGAGGATAAATAGGTAAGGGGAAAGCGGATCTCCTTGGCGTATCCCTCTGGTCGGATTGACAGAGCCTTTCGCTGCTCCATTTATGAGAAATTGAAAGGTGACAGACGACACGCATTGCATTATCCACCCGACCCACTTGATATGAAATCCCAATCTCTCTAGAACTGACTTGATAAATCCCCATTCCACTCTGTCATATGCTTTCGTCATGTCAGTTTTGATAGCCATTGATCCTCTCTTCTTTGCTTGTGAGATTTTCAGGAAATGGAGGATCTCGTGAGTTATCATTACGTTGTCTGAGATGGCTCTTCCCGGGACAAAGGCGGATTGATTCTCTGAGACAAGGCCATTCAGGAGCGGATGTAGTCTGGCCGTAAGTATCTTTGAGATAATTTTATAATACACGTTACACAAAGCAATTGGCCTGTAATCGGCAACTGACTTTGGAGATGTTTTCTTTGGTATTAGGCAAATGTGAGTAGCATTGACGCCTTGGGGAAGTAAGCCGGTTGTGAAGAAACTCTGGATCTCCTTTGTAACATCAGTGCCAATTGTTCCCCAATTTGTGTGAAAGAAACTTGCCGAGAAGCCATCAGGGCCTGGGGCTTTATCCGGATGTATTGAGAAGATTGCTGCATTTACTTCTTCCGGCGAGGGGATTTGGATCAACCTTGCGTTGGTTTCCTCCGTAATCTTCGGGATTAGGCTTTGCTCCACCGTATCTGTTCTACTTCCACTCTGAGAGGTAAACATAGCTGTAAAGTAGCTAGTAATGACTTTCTCTATATTCTCCTTGTCATACACTGCTTTTCCATTCTCATCTTCAATGACTGAGATGTTGTTTCTTGCTCTTCTTCCTCTTGTAGCCGCGTGGAAGTATCCACTATTCTTATCTCCCAAGTTGAGCCACAGTTGCCTACTCCTCTGTCTCCAAAACTCTTCTTCCGCTTTGTAAGCCTCTTTTAATTCTTGGTTTATTTGAGCTATCAGAGTCTCACTACTCGCATTACTGGTCATTGCCTCCTCTAAATCTTTCCTGCTTTTTTCTATCTTTTGTTGACTGTTCCGGTGATTTTGCCGGTGCCAGTGGATTATTGCCTTTCTGCAATTTGAGATACGGAGCTCTATATCTGCGTTGGGGTAAGCCTTCCAAGTCTTCTCTCTACTAAAAGCTTTACTTCCTCGTTGTTCCTTAAGCTTCTATCATATCGGAATAAGCCTTTTCGTTTCTTCTTTGCAGGATAGAAGAAGGTGATGATGGGTCTATGACTAGATCCCTCGTAGTTTAAGTACTCGCATCTTCCAGACGGGTAAGCTTCTATCCATGCACTTTTTGCCATAGCTCTGTCTAAACGGCATTTAACGTTATGTTTATATCTGACCCCTCTCCAGGACAGGAAGTTTCCTGAATGCCTCAGATCGTACAGATCGCATTCTGACATGAAGGATCTGAAGTCCACGAAGGAGTTCTCTTGTCGGGCCGGACCACCCACTTTCTCGGAGTTGTCAAGAATTTCATTGAAATCGCCGGTTAAGAGCCATGGTGTATCTCTTCCCTCCGTTTTTTCTATTATTGCATCCCACACTGCTTTCCTGTTTTCTTTATCTGGAGCTCCGTATACAAAGGTCGCCATGAATGTTTTTCCTTGAAAGCGTATCTCTGTATCTATAAAATTATCACATTGATGTAGGATCCTTAGCTCGATTTCCTTTTTCCATAGGTGGGCTAGCCCGCCTCCTCCTCGCGAGTGCGGAGGAACCATTCCAATGTGATCATAATTTAGGAGATTAAGTTCTTTGAGAACGAACGTGTTTGAATTTTTCGTCTCCATGAGGAATAAGATATCAGGAAAATCATGAGTCTTTTTGATTTCCTGCAGGCGTCGAACTGTCGGTGGATTCCCCAACCCTCGACAGTTCCAACTCACAATTTTTAAGGGAGATGACTGGATGGATCTTGAAAATCCACCCTCTGCTTCGAGATAGCAGGAACTATTGTGCAGGGCGGTTGACCCTTTGACTTTGGAGCATTCCTGACACTTGGCTTTGGGGCATTCCTGACACTTGTCTTCCTCGAGGTACTTCCCATAATCAACCTTCTTTTTAGGGATCCTGTAAGTTGAGTCATCCTCCGTTTCTTAGGGTTTTGAGGTGTGCTTGGCATGACTTTCTTTTTATTTGGGGGCCTTCCCAATCTTTTCTTTGCAGGTAGGCGTATTGTTCCCTCTTCAATAGGGATGTCTGTAAGTACCGGTCCGAGTCTCTGCGATGCTGGGTCCCTTTCATGCATGAGTGGCTCAAGGACTTCTTCTTCCCTTTGCATCGAGAATTGCGATTGAGTCCGTAAGGAGTGTCTAACCATCTGCACTGCGGTTTGCTCAAATTCTCCTCTTTCCTCTGCTAATCTCATTCTCTCCTTGCGGGCAGCACTCTCAATTGGATCAGCACAGTTCGCGTATTGGGACATTACGTCTCTTACTTCCTCTCTCGCTTCTGTGAGAGCTGTGGCGGGGAGGTCCGACACGTGAGGGTTCTGATGCTCTGAGTGGTGACTGTTTCTGGACTGTGAAGAATCTGCGAGCGACCTTCCGTTTAGGTTGTTCTGCTTGGTAAGCCCCTCTCCACTTCTTCTCTCCCCACTTCTCCGTTCTCTTGTTTGCTCCTTTCTCAACTCACTACTTCTCATTCTGCTTGTATTGTCTGCAAGTGCCGAGGTGGAGATTCTTCTTCCTGTTTCAACCCAGCGAGGGTTGCATTCTCTCTGGCTTTCACGGATTGACATATTAGAGTAAGATCCCGGGTTGTTGCTTGCAATTCTGTCTCTTCCCCGGTAGTTGTTTGAGTGTCTTGAGTCATTAGACCATCTGCTCCTTTGTAGGGAGCTGGTGTGATAGGGATGCGTTCTGCTAATGGTCCCCACTCGGCCTCTTTTTCTCCAGCTCTCCTCCCTTCTGGGCTCTTCTCTCTGACGTTCAGTGATTGTCCGTGATGTGTCCCAGCTCGGGCGTGACGGAGGTAACACTCTCCGCTGGACCGGCGGTGGTGGTAGGCTCTTAGCCTCTACTTGCTCTGGTGAAAGGTCAGGACATTCACTTTCCTCATGGTCAAGCATGCCACATTTTACACAATGTTTTTCGAGCTTCTCGTAGACTAGGGTTGCTAGCACTTCATCTCCATTAGCAAACTCTAGGTTGTAGGTTTTTAGGAGGGGTAGTAGGCCATTGACCTGGACTTTCATTTTGGCGTGTACTTTTGTGATCTCCCAACTGTCAAAAATTCCCAGATCTGTTCCAATACTTCTCAGCATTGCTTCACTCCACAGGTGAATCGGAACATCTTGGACTTTAATCTCGAAAGGGATTTGGGATGGGAAGGAAGTGGCGACCGTCGGTTCCCATTGTTGGAGGATGAGCATCCAGTGTGCGAAGTGGTAAGGTCTATTATCCAGTACCAGTTGCATATCTCCTCTTGTTGCAAATTGGAACTGAAATTTCCCGTGACCTAGGTCTGCTCCCACAGACGGAGAACTTGTTTTGGTGTTCCGTGAAGAATGGGATAAGAGACCACATCCTCTGGATTTTGGGGTTGGTTACTCTACCAATCAAGGTCAGAGCATGCTTCTTCACCAGATCTGTGTTGTCGAAATCAGGTACTTAGACTCTTCTCGTGCGTGGTGGTTCGACGGGATGGGCAGGGCCTTTCCCCTTTTCCGTTTGAGAGAATCTTCTCGACATTGAAGCTAGCCACTCGTTGGCGAAAAGCACAAAGAGTAAGGTTTCAACACCACTAGGGTGAGAGTTTCTTCGAGTGATTTCCACCCGAGTAGGTTTCCTAAAACAAGTCCCAGAATCAAGTGTAAACTCCACAAAAAACTTTGTGTGAATAGGTTATAGTAGTGAGCATCAAACCAGTGAAGATTTGAGAGATTTTCATGGGTGGAGGAGCTTACCAGAGGCCTTTCAGGCGGACCCTCCGACAAAAATCGGAGGTTTGAACCACGGGATTCCCGAAACCAGAGTGGTATTTTTCAAAAAACCTTCCTTTTTTGATAAAACTTGATGGTTGAGATTTGAAACAGTTGACAGACCGCTGGTTAAGAGCTATCTTGGAAAGAGTGCCTAGGAGCGAATGTCAACTCTTTTGAGAATATATAATAAATATTATATTTATGTTATACTTCATATTTTAGTCTTCAACACAATGGGAATCGTCTTTCTTTGGTAAAATCCCCAGTTGCGGTTGTCAATTTGTTTTATTTCCGTTTTCAAGAGGCCTTAAATGGGCCGTATAGAAATTTGTTTGTGTTGTATTAATATCTCACAGATGCGAGTAGTATTGTAAAACTAATGTTTGAATCGTTCAGTATGTTTCTAATTTTATATCATCAAAATCATCATACTTGTTACACAAAGCATTTCTCAGATGAAAATTACATAAATCTTAATATTATTAAGAAAGTTAAGATATTTTCCCGTGGTATTATCCCATTTTTCAACAATGGCTTTGTTTTCATCTAATGCGACTTGTATCGTCAAGGAGCTTGATGATTGGTCTATCTTGTCAACGCTTCCTCTCCCCGCCATGTTATTATTATTTCATCATGGTCTGTCGAGTATTTCAATGTTTTTTAAGCAATTACGGAATGTACTAAAAAGTAAAAACTACCATTATACAATTAACCTGCTATTTTCAATTTGAGTTTCCATTTAATAATTTAAATAGTATCAAAGTCATTATTTGAGATCAATACTGAGTTCAATTGGCTTGGATCAGCCACTTAAAACTAATCCACTTCAGCAATCTCGGAAAGTCGTGATATATTGGCTATATAGAACTATGTATATATAATATATATAAACTTCATATGTCATATGTTTATCCATATTGACGATCGTCTATAAGTTGGACGTTTGGTATTACATGTAACAAGTCACAAAAAACCATGACAAAATCTTCAAAAAAAAAAACACAGACTGGTGTAATACGCATGTATACATAGCCATATCTTATTAACCAATTAACTTGCTCGATTCGCTAAAATTCAACTCCTATCTTTTTATTGGAACAATTTAAACAGTAATAGAAAAAAATTAAATAGTTTTCTGGCTAAGAAGATATAGCCAATAATGTAAAGTCAAAACATTTTTAATCCGATCCTATGTGGTAGCCTGTATGAAGTTGTCTATTTTCTGGCCAGTTTTACGGGTTATAGCTGTATACACACTTCACCACCATTTTTGGTACCATGTCAAATACATGAATCATCTCTACGCTGCTCAATTATTCTTGACTTAAAATTTTATACTGTACCTAGGTACTATTTACATATTCCACCGTGGCAAAAATCTATCTTATGGGCTTAAGACTTGAATCAACTTGTATCACACTACTTCAATGTACATTATCCACCGTGGCAAAAGACTATCTTATGGGCTTAAGACTTGAATTGCGTATCAACTTGTATCAGGCTACTTCAATGTACATTATCCTCAACATGTCAAAATTTTATAGAATAAATCAACAGAGAACAAGACCATGCTTTCCATTTCCCAACTTGACATACTAGTGACTACATTATCAATTCTAATATTTAGCACGAAATGCATTGTATATGGTACTTAATTGGGTTAGTGTTGTTCTAATGATGTGATGTCTACAATGTTTTTTTACCATTGGCCCATACCATGGTTACACACTTACACTAGATTGACCAAAATTATAGTTATCGTTACATTTGGTCAAAGAAGGATAAGCATTGTTTTCTTTAAATAAAACGTTTTCTTTCTGGCACAAAGGAAAAAGTCATTTTTAACAACTAATTTTTAAAACGGCCGCTTGTTTCGTTGCGTATTGGTCATTTTTTGACCGTTTTCTGGGAATTAGCTAAAAGCTTAAAATATGTTTGATCAGGTACTTGTTCACATTTGTCTTCGATAGATGAACGTCGTCATGGGAAGTTAATATTCACGTTAGTGATGGAACGAGTTTTAGTAATTTGATATTAAAAATCTGTATTATTGGTAATTTGATATTGAAATGAGTATTCATTCTTTTATCACATATTTTAACCTACCGACTATGTCACAGTATTGAATTTTTGTTAAAACAAGTCGGCGTGGCTTACTAATTTGGAACGAGCACGGGAAATATGCAAAATAAAACATCTTCCTCTACACTTAAATCAAGGATATAACATATACTTATTGGCTGTAATATACGACCACCACTAGAAAAATGAAAAAAACTTTATGTGCATATATAAACCAGATTAAATAAAGAAATCCTCGAGATCGAAGACAATTGTATATTTAGATACACTGTTATATTTTGTAGTTGAAACTTGAAACCCTGAATAATTTAGGAGTAGCATAGTTGCAACTTGCTCATGATTCTCGGTCGTGCTCATGAGTTGCATAACTTATTTATATTTTCGAATAATATCTTAACCGAACAATAAACGTAAATTGTTTACTTCTGTCTTGGTTTTGATTATATCTTATTAAAATTTTAAAAATATAAAGAAATCCAAGTTTCTATAATTAGCTCAAATGAACAGCTAGAAATGATAATAAACACATAGATTGAAAGAGTGGCCATCAGGCCATGTAAATAAGGACAAATGGCTTATGTCAGTGGAATCAAAGACTGTGGAAGCCAGATTACAACGAATTAGATGCCTTAAAAGAGTAGATGTCTTCATAAGAAAATCAGAACTTTTACTATTTAGTAAATTATATGTCTATAAAAAGATAAAATGATCTCGCCTTCTGCAACAGGTAAATTGACATGAATGAACCTGTTCAAAATATGATTTAACACATTTTGTTATTTTGAAGAAATATCATATTATCCTTTTTGATTATCATTTTATTTATTGCTTTGTAGTGCCAATACTAAAAAAAACAAAGAAGTTCAATTAATCCTACAGCAATTTTATGAACGCCCACTCAATCTCAAGTTGCTATAGCCACCACGGATTCAACATCATGTATACGTTCAGGGATGTATAGAAATAGAAGTTTACTTTTTCATTTTATTTTGATATATGAAAGCGAAGCATATAACAACATGTTTCTCACAAGAAAGTAACAAAAGTAGGATATTGTTTCGGTGAGAAATCAACTTGCTAGATACCGCTTTGGGTAATCTAAGTCGCAACTTTCAATTGCAATATCTTTCTGATTAAAAGTTGCATACATTATTACTTACAATAAAGTCAAAACAATATGGTTTATAGTTATATATTATGACATTGGTTATTTTAAATTTCTAGAAGGGATAATTCTGAATATAGCTTTAATTTATATCAAAATTTGGAAAACAATTTTTTAGTATGTAATAACTAATTGAACATATTTGTAAAAAGTAAAAACATATATCGTGCTAAATTTCACAACTTGTTTCGTTAATACACTTTTTTTTAATTTGTCATATTGTAAAAAAAAATATGATCCATTGGCCATTGCCTTTTATCAAATTAACTCTTAGCTTTATAGCAATATCCAAGATATTGTGGAAGGGCGTAGACAAAAGTAGCATAACAAGGGAGTATGGGTCTAAAGGTGTCATCCAAGTAGCAGCCTGAAACAAAGTACAAATCCAACAACGGACCGTTAATGGCACTTAGGTTTTGTCGGCACCAAAAAATAAATAACTAAACATAACAAACAATAATCTTGTTTTTGTTGACAAAATCCTCATATTCTTTTTTGGTTTTAAATCCTCATATTCTTCCTCCAACTTTCGGTTACAATGGTCATATATTGCTATAATTTTGAAATAATCTTGCTAATATAATTTTTATTTTATGGTACTAATAAAGGAAGAGACAAAATAAAAAGTCAAATAGGGGATGGCAAAAAAAGAGGTGGAAGCAGCAATTATGGCATGCGATGCGAGTAAACTCGAAACACAAAGCAGACAAACTATTTGTTCTTCATCACCGCCACGACCAATCCCCAAATGACTTCGTTTACTATTTACACTTTCTTCGCCGTAATCGCATCTCTTTGACAAGTCAACACTCTTCATACGTCTCACTTTTCTTAAATATTCCATATAAAGCATTTATTATTTAGTTTTCTGTTATTGTTATCACCCACACAAAAAAAGTCAAATCTATATACGTTCCTCGTTCGTTCTATAAAAATAATTACAGAAATAAACAGAGACAGCTATCCAAAAAAGAGTTTACCAATATTTGTATTTTCCGTGTTTTGACTTTTGTATTAATCTGAATATTTCTCCTATCCTTTATATTTAAAACCCAACCTTCCTTCTTCTCTCTTCTTGCTAACTTATTCAAACCAATTCACATCTCCTAAATCTCAACTACTACACTTTGAAGCAAAACTTTCATTTCTTGAGATTCATTCGTAGATTTATACATCAAGTTTACTTCTTTTCTTTTTCATATTTTCCGGCGGGTTAAATGGATCAAGAAATAGAGATTCCTTCCTT